GTTGCGTTTGGGCAGCTTGTCGGTGTGCCATTCACCGTGTCGAGTATGACCAAACGCACGCGCTCACTCTCTGTTCCCGCCTGTCCACGCTTACCCTCCGGATCGTCCCGCCGTCTGAGTCGGTATTCATCTGAGTCCGTAGTCGTCTGAGTCATCCGAGTCTGTAGCCGTTCATGTCACGTCACAGCTGCATACAAGTGAGCTGAGACTGCGGTAGTCGACCAGAGCAGGGCTGCTGGCCTCTACTGGCCGAGACCCCGGCTCGAAAACCACGCCGCAGCCTGAAGCCCACAGAGGTGGAGGCATGGAAGCTGCGCCTGCGTGTAGCCCCGTTCACTGTGGCCGAAGTGCCACAGCAAAGCGTGCGTTTTCACAATATTTTATCACGGTCTCCGGGTACTTAACCATTCCCAATTCATCGATTGCATCACCTGAAGTAGCCAAGCCGTGTCTAGCACATCACTGGCCGGTTTCAAAACGGTTGCTTATGTATTTATACACGAAAACCAGATATCAGCAAGCCAGTACCCATCAAAGGCATGGAGGAGAACATACCAATGTATCGATTAGACGCCTTTGTGTGAATGCAGAAATGCGGCAGGCTCCAGTCGCTTATGTATTGTTATCATGTACATGGTGACAACACCCCCATCTGTTATATCACTTCATTCTTGTCACTCAGCAAAAGGCATTCAACCGGCTAGCTATGGCTTCTCACTCGTGCTCATTGCCACGAGATAGGTCGTCCGACCTCATGCGATAGGGCGGGCCGTCGCGTCTGGTGGCGACAGGCAGCCCTACCTGCCTCTCACGACTTCTCACCTCTCACTTCTCACGCTGACGGGACGCGTTTTCCCACCGTGATGAGGCCGCCTCTCACCGTGATGAGGCCGCCTCTCACCGTGATGAGACACGGATATCCGCCGCCGGGCGCCTGCAAACGCGTCTGCTGATCATTACGGCCCTCCCCGCCGGCGCCGTGACGACCGGGGCCGGATCCGTGTCGCCTGAACAAAGCCGTCGCCGCCGTCGCCGGTTTCAGATGCCGGCCAAATTGGCGCCGTTTCTCGCGTGTGCGTGTGACCGCTTCCCTCGTTTCTGTCGCGGGCCTTTGTCGCCGTTTCATCAGGGGCCGGGTTGGTCGGCGCTCGCGGCGGCAGAGGTGGCGGCGCGATGGCACCTGGCTGGCAGTGACAGGACAGGGAAGAGAGGCAGGGAAGCTCAACGAGGCGAAGACGTTATTTTTGTGTACTCCTCGTGGGAACAATTATCTGGAAGTGGGCTGGCCGTGTCCAGAGTCTGACGGGGTGTCATATGGTGGTGCCGAGGGCTCGGCGTCCGCTGAATACCCTGACGATCATCAATAAGTCGAGTCCAATCTCCCGCGAGTGGTGCTTCAAGCCGGCGTCGACCCAACTTCAGCTTTCAGTGTCGTTGGGTGGCGTGACAGGATTGGCTGCAGTCGGCGCGTCGCCGAGAATTTGAATGCGACCAACTCACCGCTGCAAAGTAGGAGAATCGGCCTGGGCGGGCATGTTTACGGATGTAAATGGACTGGTGTACCCATATTGACTTGGCTCTCGTAGGGCCTTTAATCTGATGCAAAGGGGGCTCGAGTTAATCGCGACAGGGCATCCAACTTTGGGAGGTAATTCGGACGCAGACCGCGTCTTCCCCTCTGCAGCCTTTTTGCGGGGCGGGAAGACGAAGAAAAAGAGGGATTACACCCGGGGGAGGCAGGATCCGGCCGGCGCGGGCGGCAGTTCCCTAGATTACTGCCGCCGTCACCCCTGTGCGGCGGGCCTCATCAGTCGTTTGCTCTGGGATAATCACGGCGATGAGGGGTGGCGAGCTGGGAGAACTGCCAGCGCCGAAGAAGTCGCTCCCGCTCGAGTTTTCGCGGCTTTGCGCCGCTCGGTGCTCAGCCAGCGTGGCGCACTGCAGAGCCGACTTATTAATCACCGGCTGTCAGCGGACCAGAAATCATCGGCGTCACGGTGTCTCACCTTCTCGTACTAGCGTCAGCGTCTGACGGGGTCACAGCGCGCGGCGTCGATCCCCGGCCGCCAGCGGCGCCGGGCCGTGTCGGCGCCGCTGACGGGGCGGCGACGACAGCTGGGAGCGGCCCCCGCCGGCGGACGGCCGGGCGCCGCGTGACCGGCGGAACCGGCGGCGCGTTAGTCGTCATCAGCACTCATTACCGCCCCCCCCCCCCCCCGCCCCCGCTCCCCGCGTGCTCGGGCGGGGGCGACTTTGTGGTCCGGTCAGCCTCACCTGGCCGAGCCCACCTGCGACACACATGAACGCACGCCGCCCTCGGTGTATGTCACTGCCGCCGCAGCCGGTGGACACCACTGGACGCACACGGAAACGGGTGTTTTGCACGTGCAGGACTGTACGAGGAGGGTAACACTTCCGGCTAACGAATGGTGCGGGCTTTGGCCGAGATGCAGAGGGGTGTGCAAACACTATTTTGCAAATGCGGACAAACGTTTAACACAACTGAAATGCGATTGTCTGTCCTTGCAAGCAATGGCAGAGAACATATTTTGGCAACTACTTGTCGCGCATGGTCTTTGCAAACAGACGGGGTAGATGCTGGCGTTGCATGCCACCTCGCGTTTTAATGCGATGACCTGTGACCGGTGACCCGCAGCCGACCTGTTATGCAGCGGCACCGCGGTCACGTCGGGCCGCTGTGGGCCGACCCTGTTGCTCATCGGGTCACGACCCCGGCAACGTGCAGGAACAGTCTCACGAACGGTGCATGGGGCGGCGCACACAAGGCGGGTCGCGTCCTAGCTGGTCCGTAAGCCAACGGTCTGCAGAGCCTACAACAGCCCTGAGTATTGAAGTCTACGGGCCGTCCAGTCCGCGAAGCTGATGCTCACAGAGTCAGCGGAGCTATCGGTTCACGGGCGGTCGTGGTGTACACGGCGCAGTTCAAGATAACTCCAGAGGGCCGCTGTCCAGAACTTCAGAACTCTCAGCGCGCGGAGCACAGCTCAGATTCCCCCGAGTCACGGTCGGGAGCGTGCCCAGCCCGCGGTCGGCGATCGACAGGCCGCGGCTGCCCTTCGGCCGGCGGCCGGCGTGGGTGGCGGACAATGGTGTCGGCGCTGTCGCCCGGACGCCGCCGAAGTGCGTCCTTCGGGCGGCGGCGGACGGCGGACGCCTCGGCCAGCCGCCACGCGATCTGTTGACGCCGGGGTGGCAGCCACGCGATCTGTTGACGCCGGGGTGCCTTCGGCGGCCGCCCGAGTGATTGCCTCCTGCCGCTGTCGATCGCCCGCTGATACAACTCCCGAGCGCATCCGCTGATTGGTGCCCGGCCGCCGGTGTCGCCGAGCGGCGGCCGCGGCCGAACGACAGGCGCGGAAGCACTCGCCACCAGCCGCGCGTCGAGCCGGGCGGAGTCGCCGCCGCGCGCTGACCGCTCCGTCCTGACGGCCACCCGCCCGGTGCAGGCGCAGCGTTGTTGCCGCGCTGATCGGGCGGGACGTGCCGACACATGAATGGCGTTATCAGCCGGCGGTGCGTCAAGTGGCGCGGTGGGTCCGATCTGGCGGCGGGTCTGATCCGATCCGTCCGGCACACCGCCCACGCGCTGGCGAGGGCCGGGCCGTCCGCCCTGCACACCGCCCTCGCTCCGGCGAGGACCGGCCTGTTCGCCCTGCACACCGCTCTCGCTCCGGCGAGGACCGGCCTGTCCGCCCTGCACACCGCCCGCGCTCCGGTGAGGACCGGCCTGTCCGCCCTGCACACCGCCCGCGCTCCGGTGAGGACCGGCCTGTTCGCCCTGCACATCGCCCGCGCTCCGGCGAGGACCGGCCTGTTCGCCCTGCACACCGCCCGCGCTCCGGCGAGGACCGGCCTGTTCGCCCTGCACACCGCTCTCGCTCCGCTGAGGACCGGCCTGTCCGCCCTGCACACCGCCCTCGCTCCGGTGAGGACCGGCCTGTCCGCCCTGCACACCGCCCACGCGCTGGCGAGGACGAAGCCGTCCGTCCGGTACGCTGGCGAGGACGAAGCCGTCCGTCCGGTACGCTGCGCTGCCCGACGAGGCCGATCGGGCGTCAAGCGCAGGGACACGTGCTGGGGAGGGGCGTGCGCCGTTGGCGTGTCGAGTGCGCGGCAGGCCATGGCAGGCAGGCCGTGGAGCGGTGCTCTTGCGGTGGCGGCGGCGAGGGGACGGCGCCCCAGCCGACCGCCCCGTCGGCCGCGGCATGTCTGGCGCCGGCCAATCGCGGTAAAAGCCTACCCACGGCTCCGGCGCGTCCGACGGCCGCCCGACTCCGACAGCGGACAACGCGACGGGTCGCCCGCCGGCAGCGCCGACGCCGCCGCTGCAGCGCGCCGTTTTTGCCGCCGCCACGCCGGCCACGTCGCCCGATTGGACGGCGTCGGACGGGTACGCCGCCGGCAGCCGGGCGTTTTTCGCTGACTTCTTGTGGCCGTGCCGTGCTAGCGCCGTTCGTGACTTGGTTGACGACCGGCGGCGACGTCGGCGGCGGGCCTCTGAGCAACGACTCCCGGCGGGCGGCTGATCAGGGACGGTGTGTCGGCGGCGCCGCGGCGTCTGCTGACCCCCTGGGCAGCGCGCCCGGCCGACGGGAAGCCGGTGTGCGGCCGACCCTGGACGCTGGTCTGGCGGGGATGAGCCGGGCCGCCACGGCCGCTGGCAGTTGAACAAGTTCGCGCAATGGTGCGCCGAATTAGCCTTGCGCTCTCGCCATTCGCGCCGCGCTCGGCCGCGGCTCCGGTCAGCGGCGCGCGGACTCGTGTAGTACGTGATGGACTTGACCTTGCGCCCCTGAATGGCATGACTGCCGCCGTCCGGGGCTGATGGCTGACCATGTGTGTTTCAGTGCCGGTGACTGACTGGTGACCGCTTGACGTGCCGTTGTTTCAGTGTCGGTGACTGACTGGTGACCACCTGACGTGCCGTTGTTTCAGTGTCGGTGACTGACTGGTGACCGCCTGACGTACCGTTGTTTCAGTGTCGGGGGCGAAACCAGCCTGTGGCGAGTGGAGGCGCAGCAGAAGACGCCGGCGGTGGCGGCCATGGCGGCCGACCGGCCCGCGTACTACTCCTACACGGACGCCCCGGGCTCTTCCTTCCTCAAGGTCAGTCAGAGGTTACGATCAGGGACCTCCTGATCGCCCCTCCCTGGTCAACGGGGGGTGGCTGTGGTCGATCAGTATTGCGATCACGCACGAATGTGGCGTGAAATTCGAAGTACATACCTGCGCTGTGCCGGTTGGCATGTTTGTAGGACTAGTGATAACCATGTGGTAATCTTAAGCAATATGCAAGTAGGTGGAAGTTTGACACCTACACCTCCCCCGCTGCCGCAAGTCAAGCATGCTTGGCCCTTGGGCCAGGGCGCCCCGGGCCCAAGGCAACGATACTCCCATTAAAGGGAACTCTGCATATGATTTTGGCGCACGGAGTGGGGGACTGGCTGGTGGTTGTAGAGCGTGCACGGCTGTTGGGGATGGGGTCGTTGGGATATGGGCAGTATGTGTGGAAATCAAACTGAATACCGTCCATGGTTTGTGGCCTATCCCACCCGATTTTGACATGATGTTTTGGGATGTCATCCTCGATCTCATCGCGGCGTGGGCTGTCAGACGTCATGTCACTGATGCACGCCTGAAACGTCTGGCTCCGCACCTGCGGCTCGGCCGTGTCTTGTTCAAGACGTTCATGGCTTAGGACTGCATCATTTGGCACACGATCTACACTCACATGCCATGAAGTGGCTCATCAGCTACGATGAAAGTGTTGCGGATAGTGTCATCCGCGGCTAACTAGCTGGAATTCCTTGACCGGATGATACTGTCTGGCACTCACCACTTAGGATGCCGTGCTGCGTAGCGTTAGCGTTCATGAGCCGTAATTGAGCACCGCCAACCTCTTCGGCTCCGTGACTCCGTGACCCGTGAGCCGGTATTAGTCGCTGTGAGCGAGCTTAATATGTGACGTTCAGGTCCGATGTTGTAAAACAAAACTAAATGCCCCTAATCACTAACGCGAGCCGGCCTAACGTACGCGGCGGCGCCGTGATGTTTACCCGAGTACGAATGAGTTATTGGGCCGTAGCTCTTCTGCGGCGTGCCCAAAACACGCTTTGTTTGTCGTCTCGCCAAGTCCTCTGAAACCGTCTCACGTACTCCAGTTAAGCCGCCGTGCACGGTTCCGAGTCGTTTTTATCGTCCAGGAATGTCGGAGACGGCACGTGAAAGCCTGGACATCTTCCCACCGGAGCTTTAGAATTGGATTCGACTCACCAGGTTTTGCGGGTGTGTTTCGATTCTCCCTTCTCCCATCGTGGCTGCCGTCCGTTTTCTCCCCCAGTTCACATTGCTTTATCGTGCTTTCCTCGATCTGTCACCGTCTGCTGATCTTTCTCCACCGGCACGAGCTTTCGAATAGTTTCTGTCTTCCGTTTACCCACCTTCCGCCCCCTGGGTAGACAGGCCATCTTTTTTCAACTCATCCGGGCCTTCGCATCCGTGCCCACCATTGGCGGGTCGTCGCGCCGTCCAAGATGCGCCTCAGTCCCCGTCACACCCGAATTCTGGCGCGCTGCTGTCGGGCGAGCGTGATCCTGCCGAATCTCGGACACGCCGCGGCCGGGCCGGGCCGGGGAGGGCTCTTCCACGGCCTCGGAACGGGGCAGTGGCCCGTGTGAGGCGCCTTTTGCAGCACGGGCTGGACGGGGAAGCCAGCCGGCTACGCTCCCCCCGGCAGCTATCGGGGCATATCGCGGAGTCATCACATCCCACGCGGCCGGCACGGCCCGGCCCGGCCGCCGGCAGGCCGTCGACAGCGCGTCCGCCCCCGCCGCTGTTTTGAGACATATTTGGCGCCGACGCCAAAGAACGAGTCCTGCTGATGACACTTGGCGGGATTGCAGAGCAGCGTAAGGCTAACGAGGTTGTCCGAAACAGAGCAGGGCCCGGCGCACGCGTGGGACGCGGCTCGGCGCTGTAGGGCAGTCCATCGCAGCCCCCGCTCAGGCCCGCCCCGGTCTGGTTGAGGTACCCTGGCGACATGCGGCGCGCCCGCGCTCGGCGGCGACGGCAGCGGGCGGGGCGGGTCGATTCCCCGAACTCGTCTGCCGGTCCGCTCTCCGCCGTGGCCGGAACCGCCTGGCGTCCGCGGCCGAGTCCGAATGGCTTCTCGCGGAGCGCCGGGCACCGTCCGCTGCGGAATACTCGTGCCTGCGCCGATATTGCATCGGCCGCATCGGTGATCGCTCACGACTTTTCTGGCGCAAATTCACGGAGGAAATTGGACGTCCGGGCCCCAGGCGTGGTGGATGGGAAATTGATAGGAAATTTGGTTCGCTCTAGCAGCCCATTAGCGCAGCCACGTTAGAGCCCAAGCGTCCGGGAGCTGAAGGAGCGATGAGGCCGATCCTGCGCCGCGGGACAGCCTGGCGTTCAATGTTGTGAACCTCTCGCGGCTGTAGCTGAATCTGGGACGTCGACAGCACCTGTCCTATGTTGGAGAAGCGACAAAGAACCAGAGGCCATTGGCTATTCAGTGTTGTCGGCCTGCGTGATTGAGACAGGATCTGTTGCTAATGCCGTCACGCCTTTTCCAGCAGAGAATGGCGCACCCATCTGATCAAAACCGACTGGGGAGGAAGGATCCAGCGCCAGAGTTCAAGTGAGTGACACCATACGATTCCCCGTGCTTACCTGGTTGGCAGAGGGACGAAGTCTGCTGTATAATGCAGGAGAAGTGGCTAGACTTCTCAGAAACCATAAGCGACCGGTGCTCGCCGCGCCGACATTAGACCCGGTCGGAAGCTCACAGCTCCAATCAGAGGACAAGTCGAGGGCATTTACATAACACGTGCACGAGCGAGAGATGTGCTTCACTGGGCCCGTTAGATCCGCGTGGGCTATCAGCGCCTTTCCCCGCGGTGCCTGCTGACCCACCGTGCGGTTCGAGCGTGGTAATCGATGTTTGGACAAAGCAGCATGACAGCCGACTTTCATGGCTGTTCGGCCATCGCAGCAACATAATGTTCCGTGTCGCAGCACACATGGCACTGCGGTCTGGGTATTTACTCAGCTGCGTCATAGTGCCCGCTCTCATGCTGCTGCTTTTGTGGTTATGACCAAGTTGGCACACAGCGGCCCTGTGGGCTGTTCCCTGGTGCCGGCGGCTCCCCGCCGCCCGGAGTCCCACACCCTCGGCATCTCCCCGCCGCCCGGAGTTCCACACCCTCGGCCCTGGCCCAGGGGTGAGTCAGTGGGATGGAACGTGGCCCGCGCCGTCCGATCTGTCGATCTCAGGCACGGCCGACAGCGGGAGCTCTGCCCGGCGCGTCCGACACGCGCTCCGTGAGGGTGGGGTGGGGATCGAGCGTGACGCCCCGCAGCCGCCGGGGATCATGCGAGGTCGGCCTGCACGTGCCGCCGGCCGGCAGCTGCGGCGGCCGGGCTGGCGGCGCGGCGCACGGGCCGCAGACGGGCGCCGCTGGCTGAGCGGCGACCGGGCTGGCGGCCACGCCTCGAGCGGCGGACCGGCGGCGCGTGGCGCCGTCTGCCGGCCATGATTCAGCGTGTGGTGGCAGCAGCCGTGTTTATGTGGAGGACACGGCCCGCTCCAGCCGACCGGCGCCCATTTTTTGGTGGCACGTGCCGGCCGGCCTGTGACCGCCCGGCCAGCTCAGTCAGCGGCGGCCGACTGGTCAAGCCGAGCCTGCTCGTTTGAGCCATTTGCAGCCTATTCTCCGCCCGCACCAGGCTTTAGATATGTATAGTTGGTGGAAGAGGGGGAGGGGAGGGGGAAGGAATGTTCGGATGTGGATGTTGTATCAATATAGTGTTCAGTGCCGAGTGCTGAGCCGTTACTGCGTTGGAAGTTATGAACGGCGGGTCCAGCTCCAGTCTCCGTGTACTTTGCCAGACCTCATTGCTACCACTGCGTGGCGATAGTTGACCTTGCAGTTCAAGACATGGACATCTGTCTGACACATAGCATTTAATGCCTCATTAATGTCTATACGCGGTCATGCGCAACTATCGGTGTCTCCGCCGCTCGCGTGTTTCGCCCCGCATCTTGACGCGGTCGTTCCGGTCGGCCGGCGCCGGTGTGCCCGGCGGCGGTCCTCGGGGCGAGGGGCGCGACCGGTCGGCCGGCCCGCTGTGTTTGTGCCGTCGGGTCGGCCGGCGAGCGGTCGCACTGCGCCCCTCCCCGACCGCTCCCTGCCCCGCTCCGTCGCCGAATAAACAGCGGCCGGGGTCCTGCCGGCCGGCTGCCGGAGGTGCACCGTGGCAGGATCCGGGCGGTGGGCTAGACCGAGTCGGGCCGTGCCGGGCAGACCGCCCACCGGCTGGGGCGTGGTCGGCCGGCGTGCGGGTGACGCATGGCTCGGCGCCGCCCGCGCGAGGCCTCATTCGCCAGGTAGGCGGCGCCGGCGACCGAGCCGACAAACGGCCGGCTGGCGGGTGCGCAGTCGCCGATCTCCTCGCCGGAGCCAAGCGAGGCGAGATCGGCCACCGGACGGGGTACGGGCGCGGTGGCGGCTCCCGCAGCGGATCAGCCCCGCCCGACGTGGACTGGCACTCCCGAAACGCACGCTCGCTACGCTGGCTGGAGGGTAGGCACGTACAGTGCGCCAGATGTAGGGTAACTGCCGTTTGAGCTCATGCAGCGCATGCTATGTGGGACAGCGTCGCCGGGAGCACGGACGTCTGATGCGGGGCGGGGCTCTGTTGGCGCTCCAGCGGAGCCGTACGGCAGCCATGCCGCCGCCGCCGCCGCCGCGGTGCACGGTAGCACTCACCCTGCCCCCGGCCGGCCGCCTTCACCCGCCCCGAGTTCCTGGGTCACCGCGGCGCGGCGGCGGCATGCAAGCTCGGCCGAACACCGCCAGGTCACGGACCCAAGGCGGCCGGCCGGCCCGATCCACGGGCTCCTCCGGCGCCGCTGGGACTGGCCCGAGCCGGCCGAGCGGTCGGCGCCGATCCGCGGAGAGCCGACTCTTATGGTGGTGGCCGCGGGGCGAGTCGCCATCGAGCGCTTCCCTCCGCGGCCAACCGGAGCTTTCAGCTGAGCGGGCGCCGTCCACTCCGGCCCGAGTGACTGCGCTGTGCCCGGCGCCGTCCACTCCGGCCCGAGTGACTGCGCTGTACCCGGCGCCGTCCACTCCTGCCCGAGTGACTGCGCTGTGCCCGGTGCCGTCCACTCCGGCCCGAGTGACCGCGCTGTACCCGGCGCCGTCCACTCCGGCCCGAGTGGCTGCGCTGTGCCCGGTGCCGTCTACTCCGGCCCGAGTGACTGCGCTGTACCCGGCGCCGTCCACTCCTGCTCGAGTGACTGCGCCGTGTCCGGTCCCGTCCACTCCAGCCCGCGTGACTGCGTGGTGGCCAGTTAGGAGGTTGTGACGTGCTTGTGGCTGAGAATATTTTGGACTGGACCAGTTTGTCGTTTCACTAAATTCGCATGGTGTTGTAACGCTGTTCACGTTGAACATCTGCTTTTGTACTGGCTACCGAGTCTTCAGCCCCTTGTGGGTATCTGGGTTCATTGAGGTCACCTTTTTCTGCCATCGGTACTTGCCTGGCACATGCTGAGCTGAGGAATACGCCTTCCCCGGCACATCAGAGGCGCCGACATCAAACGGCGTAGGGACTGGAGCTGCACAAAACGCTCACGTTTGTCAGCCAGGTTGGACCCGGCTGTGCATGTGCGCATGGCTGACTCATTTTGAGCCGGACTTTGCACCAGTCCTTGCGAACCCGGCTGCGCGGATACATTGGGCCCGCACGTCAGTCAACGCGGGTCAGTGCGGGTCAGCGCGGGTCAACGCGGGTCAGTGTGGGTCAGCGCGGGTCAGCGCGGATCAGCTTGGGTCAGTGTGGGTCAGTGTGGGTCAGGGTGGGTTGCTGGGCTGAACCCGGCCGCCTGTGACGCGCCGCGCTGACCCAGTTGTGGTGCCGACTACCGTCCGCAATAATTTAATATACCTGTGCGACCGACGCCGGCCGGGCGTGACGCCATGGAATGACGGCTGATTGCGGTCCGTGACCGTGCTCCGGCGCTCTGATGAGGGCGAGCCTCGGTCGACCCCGGCCCCGGCCCGGGCGTGGGGTCGGTGTCGCCGTCTGTCGCTCGGCCGCCGCCGGGCGGGGTCGAGGCAAACGCGGCGGACAGCGCGCCATGCGTGGCGTCAAGACATGGTGTGGCCAGCACACGCTGTCTGGCTGGTGTAGCGTCGTACCACTGTTCCGTGCCCGGTAAGTTAATTACCCCGCCGTTTATTGCAGCGCACGCCTGCACCGCCGCAGGCCTGCGTTCAGTTCACTGTTGGGCGCGGTCGTAACACAAAAGGGGCCGTGTGGCACCTCTTCCGCGTTCATTCCCGCCGACCTTCCCATTCTGCGAAGGACGGAGCCGGTCGGGAAAGCTTCGGCACGCTCGTCTCCCCCGTCACCACGTCAGCGAACCCCGCTCGTCCAGACCTTGAGGCTTGAGCTGTCCACGGCGGGCCGTGCCCTGAGTGGGGCGCCATGCGAGCCCCGTCCGGCCGGCGCCCGGCAGCTGTCGGCGGGACCGGGCTGGTCCCCTCGAACGGCCGACCGGACGCCGGCCGCGACCGACTCAGGATGCGCCCCATCGCAGTCATTAGCTGGTTTAGCGTGCGTGGCGGGGCGCGCGCGGGCGCCGGCTGGCGGCGCGCGCTCGCGCTCTCACCGGGCCGATCACTGGAGTGCCGACGGTAGGCGGGAGCGGACGTCTGGCAGCGGCGGAGCGATCGGTGTCGACCGAGGCGCCTGGTGCGGCCAGGCCGGCGTGGAGAGACGCGGATCCAAGCGAGCCTAAGCGCTGCGCGGCTTGGACGCCAAAGCGGTCTTTCTGCCCGCGTGACCTGTACGGCCGGTCGCTCGAAGTCTGTAAACGTGGCCAGCGTGACCCGCGGAGACCGGGTCAGCCGCCAGCGGCCGACCCTTCCGGTCACCAGCGGCCGACCCTGCCGACCCTTCCGGTCCGTCTCGGCCACCGTGACCGCCGCCGGCCGCGGCCGGGCCGGTCGCCATTGGCTGTCGCTCCCCGGCGCTCCGCCGCCGGCTCACGCTGCCACCAGAGGGCCACGAGCGGGCCCGCGGGGCGCCAGTACGCCGGGCGGTGCACGCGAGTGTGGAGGGGCCGCCGCCGCCTCGTGCCGGTGCAGCACACGCCGCGGGGCAGAGCGCCGCGTGGCCGTGTGTGACCTGTCTCCGTCGGTCGGGGGAGCGGCGGGCTGGACACCGCCGCTGCGGAGCCGACTGTGATCGGGCAGCCGCCGGCCTGGCAGGCTCGCCTACTGACTGCTGCTTCTGGGCGGCCAAGTGGGAACACGCCGCTCAGTGAGCGCCGCGTGGCCTACGCCAATCATCCGGCACGTTCATCCGCCGACTCGACGGGCGGAACTTGGTGCGCGCGCGGCCGCCGCCGCGGACCTAGCAGCGCCGCCGATCGCCCGCCGACTCGACGGGCGGAACTTGGTGCGCGCGCGGCCGCCGCCGCGGACCTAGCGGCGCCGCTGATCGCCCGCCGACTCGACGGGCGGAACTTGGTGCGCGCGCGGCCGCCGCCGCGGACCTAGCGGCGCCGCCGGTCGCCCGTCAGCGTGATACGACCAATACGGAACGTGCGGCGGATATTGGCACCAATCGACGTCCGACCGGCAGCGCCATGGATCCCGACATCCCGTGTGCCGTCGTCCCGCCATGGTAGGTGGTGGTCTGCGTTGTTCGCGCATCTGATCGGCGCGTGTTGTTTGTGCCGCCGGTGCTGGCGAGGGCCACCATCTTACGTTGAACCTGTGCCCGTGAGCGGTGCCTGCTGACGGCGCTCCGCCGGTGGCCGACCGCTATCAGTTATCGCCCGTCAGTCAGCCGGCGTCGCTCAGCCGTTGTCTGCCGTGTCGACACCGGCGCTGTGTGGCCGCGCCGCCTGTCGGCTGCCGGCCTATCTCCGGGGCCGTCCGTCAGCGGCCAGCACCGCGCCGTGTCGCCGCCGATAGCGCCGCTCCGCTGATGTCACCGGCCGGTGCGGCCCCGTGCTGCCGGCTCCCCCTCCTTCACGGGGTCGCGGCCGGCAGCCGTCTGCTCTGCGATCGGCCGACATATCGAGGGGTGGAGGCGGAGGGTCGCGGCCATGGTGGGACAGGTCTGCCGTGGGCGACGGGCGAATGGAGCGCGGCTCGTGACAATTGGCGGGTCGTTGTAGGGAAGGCCACGATCAGCAGTGCTGTCGGCGAACTGCCACGAAAGCCACGATCAGCAGTTCTGAGCCGTCGGGAATGCCACGGAACAGAACACTCAGCCAATGTCGACGTCACCGCTTGTTCCAGGAATCCCGATCTTTGATCTCGATTCCGCGAGTGCGATGCGTGATGTCACATGCGCTTGCACGGCTTTGGAAAGCTGTGATTTAAGTCATTCCAAGACCTCATTATGCGCTATCGCTCTTGTGATCACTGGTCTTGCACGTAATCGGCGGTGTGGACGGATAAAGGCTGCCGCCGTCCCGTCCGGCGCAGACGCGGGGCGAATCTGGAGCTCTCCCAAACTCTGACGCGACATGGCGACCTTCTCGGCAAACAAACCCCGCCGGCCGAGCGGTCGGCCAAGGCCGACCTGCAGCGCCGCTTGCAGGCGACATTTTTGCGGCGGCGGCCGGGACCCGACACCCCGCTGCCGGCGCAGCGCGGGCCGGACCGCGGCGAGACGAGCGTCCCCGACGACATGGCGGCGTTGCCCTTCTCCCGATTGGATTGGCTCCGACGAAATGAATGCTAATGCGAGCCGTGCGGCGTCGACGCGCGCGTGCACGCACGCCGACACGTCGCGCCGGGGCTCACGCACGCCACGCCACGCCGCAGCTCACGCACGCCGCCACGCCACGACGCAGCTTACGTACGCCGCCGCACCGCGCCGCGGCGGACGCCGCCGCACGGCTCGCTCGCTCCCGCGCTTCATCCGTCTCTATTACGGCGGCGGCAGGTCGCGGCGTCCATTACTCAGCGTCCGTTCGGACGGTCGCGGTCTGATTGGTTCGCTCTCCCGGCCAGCCCTGCCGCCCAGCGGCCGGAGGTGAGAGGCGCCAAGCGCGGCCCGGATCGGCTCGAGGCGCTGCTGCCGTCCGCAGTCGGCCCGGGTCGTCCTGGAGCGGCCTCGCGCCGTGTTTGTCTCCCAGCTCTGAACGGTCCGTCGGTTGTGGCCGCGGCAGCCGTCTGTCGCCTTCGTTTAGATCGGCGCCCTGTATCTCTGCCTTTGCCGTGTGGGTAGGGGAGGGGACCGGCGGGCGCTCTCGTCCCGGGGGTGCCGGCGAGCTGGCGGCCTGGGCCCGTCGGGAGGCATCAGGTGGCCGTGGCCGACCCACCTGTGTACCGCTGCCAGCGCGAGCGACGATCGAGACCCGGCGCCGCCGCAAAAACCGGCGGTCGACCACTTCCTGTTTGTGGCGACGTGACACAGACAATGGAGCGGGGGAGATTAGGTGATAGGCTACGGCCGGGTGGGTAGGACCGAGCACCGCCCCGCAAACAGAGGAGGCGATGAGGGACGGAGACCTGTGTACACGGTCGAGTGCCGCCCTGCAAATATAGCCGACGATGAGAGGTGCACGCGACATGTTTCGTTTGCCGCTGAGTGCGCCAGCCGGCCCGCCCTGCCTGCTTAACCCACGGAGATTCTGTGCCATTATTTATTTACGAGCATCTGAGAGCGAGCGCGGTGAAGGCCGGCGCTGCTGGGCGAGAGCGCGGACCGCGCCGGGCTGTGGGCGGCGTCAGGCTCGGTGGGGTCGGCAGGCCGATGTGCCGTATCAGCGCCACCGCCGGCGCGCCAATCGTCCGCTTGATCGGACCCACTTGTCGGCGTACCGCGTGACCGAGCCGGCGTGGTCTGACGCCGCGTCGTAGGTCACAGGTCACAAAGACACAGGACGCCGGGCACGGGACCCGGGTCCGGTACCGGAGCCCGACACCCTGCCGGGCACCTCTTCCGGCGGCGGTGGCGGTGGCGGCGGCGGCGGCGGCTGTGGCGGTGGCGGTGGCGGCGGCGGCGGTGGCGGTGTCGGCTGGCTGGCTGACGCCGGACTCGAGCCGGCCAGAGTCCGTCGCCGGGCCCGGTGGACGGCGCGACGCAGCGCCGGTCCGCGCCGGTAGACGGCCGGCTGACGGCCGACTCGTGTTGCAGGCAGATCTCCAACACGCAGTGGAAGCGGGCGGTAGAGGGCCGCCGGCCGCCAGGCGACCTGACCTCTGCCGTCGTCGCCCAGGCGCCCGCACCAGACCCGCGTCGTGAGCGCAGCGCCACGCCCGTCAGCAAGCACAAGCGCGGTGAGTCTGGACAGGGGGAGAGAGGGACGAGTCTGGGGCACGGGGAGAGAGCGGGGCTGATACCGGAGACAAAATATTGCCCTTTTTGCGGTGTTATCCGAGCTGTCGGCACCGCAGTGTGCTGGGCCTGTGGAGGTCATGCTTTGCATCAGGGTTAATGGGATTGGGAAGGGCGAGTCACGCCGCGCGGCGATGGCTTGGAATGCGCTCGTCATTGGGAGGATGTACCGGCTCCCTACACGCAGCTCTGACCTTGCGTGCGTTTCCGACGGGCTGCCCTGACCTGGATGACGTGTGTGGGAGCGCTCTGGGGATGTGTGAGCGCCCTCCGCCTGCCGAGGCCCGGCCCCTGGGAGGCCGTCCCGCGGCCCCTGGGAGGCCGTCCCGCGGCCCGGGGAAAGGTCGCGCTGTAACCGGCCACCCCTCGCGCAGAGAACGGCGCCGGCACGCCCGAGCCCTCGGCGTCGCCCGCCGCCGCCGCCGCCGCCGCCGCCGCCGCCGCCTCCGCCGCCGCCGCCACCGCCGCTGAGTCCCCGAACCTGAAGTTCTCGCGCCAGAAGCTGCGCAAGTCGGCGACGTACGCCAAGCGGCCGACCAGCCAGACGTCGGTGAGCTCGGCCGGCAGCTCCGGCCTGCCGCCCAAGGACCCTGAGCACCGGCCGCGCACCAAGGTTAAGGTCAGCGGCAGCACGCAGACCACGGCCGAGCTGCTGGGCGGCGAGCAGGAGCTGGCCGCCCGCCGGCTGCAGCAGCTCAAGTCCTACAGTCTGACGGGGCCGGCGGCGCAGCAGCTCTCGCAGTCGGTGCGGGAGCGCATCCTGGCCGGCGGCGGCGAACACACCTTCTCGACACTGCCGTCGGCCGGCCGCGAGCGGGGGCCGCGCGTCGTCAAGGCCTCGGACGGCTCGCTGAGCGACAGCAACTACGGCAGCTACGGCGACCCACGCCGCCAAATGGCGCAGCGGCCCAGCTCGGCCTACACCGCCTACGTGGGCCAGCAACTGGCCAAGACCTTCAGAGGTGAGTCATGTGGGCCTTCGAGCGGGGAGGAAGGTGCGGGTCTGAGGCTGGTCAGTGGTCTGATCAGGTCAGGTCTGAGGCCGATCACACTGGCGGGATGCTGAGCCAGGGGCTCGGCTCTTGACTCGGAGACTGCTGCCGACTCTGCTTTAGCGGACCGAGTACGGCGGGCGGATCGCGCTTCTGCTAGACTTTAAAAGCTTCTCCTTTAAAAGGTCCATGCTGACGTAAAAGCCTTAAGCGGGCTATGTGGGTATCGATCCGGCGGCGTCGCCCGACTCCGCTCACTTTCCAAGCGCGACGACGTCTGTCTTGGCTGGGGATTTGGGCAGCAGATTTCGGTGCCGGCCGCGTCGGACTGCAGCAGGGCGGCGGTGCCGCGGACCGTCCTCGCGCTCCGAGCGGTGTCAGCTGGGGCCATCAGCGGACCGGGCCGCGCACCGGTCACTGTGTCAGCGGCTATTGATCGCCAGACGGTGCTGCTCATGTCGCCGTCGGCACCGCGGCCGGCTCCGGTCCCGGCCGGCTCGCGACGGTGCAGGTGCCCGCCGCCGCGAGCTCGCCGGGAGGCGGCAACGAGCGGGATGACGCCTCGCCCTCGCCCTCCTCCCCCACTCTGTCGCGGCGTAATTCGTCGGGCGGGCGCGGAGGGCAGCCCAGATTGAAGAGGCGTTCCGCTGCTGACGGCCGGGATGAGATGGAGGTACGACGCTGCAGGAATTGGCCGTCTGTCAAGTTCGAGTTGATGCTTGAAAGCCTTTTGGCAGGCGGGCCATATTGGAACCTCGTCTACTTTTCCCCGTCAATCTTTCTTTTCGGACTTCGCCGTAATTTCTCGCCCATCGCACGGCTTTGCCAAGTTTGGCAGGCTAAGTTGTCCCTCTTTTCACATCCATCTGGCAGCATATCACACGCTTCCCACCCGACTGGGCTCTGCCGCCCGTCTTAGCCGGCGTCCTGCGGCAGTCTGACCGATTGGGACCCGAGCAGTTGACTCTGACGACAAGCGGATGGGACAAGTTTGACCAGTGTCTAGAAAGCCTTTGTCTAAGAGTGGCTTAGAGGACAACCAGCGAAAAGCAGTCTATTATCGGTGGCGATGGGGACGATCAAAAACTTAGAAGATTTCAACCTTTTTGTTGTGGTTCATGATTCAAAGTAACGTTGGCCGTCGATGTAAAATCATCGCCGGAGAACGTCACGCCGATGTCGGAGGGCGTGACGGACGTGACGCATTTCTGCAGGCCGGGCCGCTCGCGCCGGCCGGCCCCGGCCACGCGTGACCGACTGTGGCGCCGTCTGGCGTCGGCCGTCCCCGGTCCCACGCTCGGCAGGGGAAGGGCCGGGCCATGGCGAGTCGCACCCGCCGCTGCGCAAAGCGGGAACCGGCTGCGACCGCGGCGTTGTGGGCGTCGGCGGCGGGTGGAGAGGGGTGTAGCGAGGCCAACCAAAGCTAACGATTCCAAGCGGGGGGGGGGGGGGGGACGGGGTGACGTGCGGCTCCAGGTGACCGGAGTGCCGCGGGTGCGGCCGGAGTGGCCCGCTCCGGGCGGGGCCCGGCTGCGCGCTGCCTCCAAAGCTCGGGGGATCGAACGACCCACGTGTGTCCCAGACCGGCGGAGGTCGATGCTGGCCTGACTGCAGCCGCGGATCTCGGCGCGAGTCCACGAGTCTGGGATGCTGCGCGAATGCATCGACGTGTTCAATTTCAAACTTTCTCGGAAATTAAACCTCTAAAGTCATTTGGTTCCAACTGGGCGAGCATTTCCGTCGAGTTTGCAAAGCGTTCGTTCCGCTGAATTCGGAGCTGTAACAAATCTAAGTCAATGGACCATGATGTGTTTTTATTCCCTTGTCGCTCCATTTGGAGTGCGTTTGAGGACGGGCCAATCACTGGGGAAAGTCGCTGAGTGGCCGACCATTCGGTGGGGAGGGGGGGGGGAGAGGAAGGGGGGGAGGGCGCAGAGGCCGAGTGGGTGGAGTCGGTGAGCCTGGTGTATGGACTCGACCACCCTGCATAGGACGTGACCGAGGCCGAGTCGATAGAGTCGGCGAGGTTGTTGAGCTGACTGGCCGCTGCCCGGCAGGGAGCATGACCGAGGCCGAGTCGATGGAGTCGGTCAGCTCAGGCGCGTCGGGCCTGCTGGCGCAGCTGCAGCAGCAGCGCAGCGGCTCGCTGACGCAGAACCGGCTGCTGACGTACCAGTGGGAGGGCCAGGCCGGCCAGTCTCCCCGCCTCAGCCGCAGCAACTCCATCAGGTGAGCACACAGCACGTCTGTCACGGCACGGCACGTCTGTCACGGCACGGCACGGTCACGGCACGGCACGGTCACGGCAGCCGACGCCACGGGCGAGGTTTGGCTGCAGACCGGCGCGGCTGTCCTAGTGTGCTGTCTCCGGAGTGAGTGCTGATCCACGTGTCCAGTCCAGAGATCGACGTGTCGACTGGGTCGGTGCAAACTTGGACCTTGAAGATACATGTGAAATTTTACAGAGAAGGGCAAGTAAAAGTAAGCACGGCATATTGCCACAATATGTGACATGTCTGGAATGTCATGACATGACTTCCGTGTTGAAGCGAAAGCTCCGAGAGCTGGAGTAGACGAGACCTTTAAGGCGGAAGCAAATGAAAGAATGCTGGTGTTTGGTTTGCAGGTCACGCGTTGCCATGATATTGATTTAGCGTTTATAATGTTTGTATCGAAAGCTCACTTAGTTATAAGGTAAAGGAAGCTTTTCCGTTGCAGATTTCAGCTAAACTTTAATTGTTCTCCTAACAAATGCTTGGATGATTGCATTTGTCATTGATTTAAACCTCGCACTGACCGCAAACTCCACAGCCTCGACACTTCTCATATGTAGCCTAGTAGACGTTTATTGCGTGGCTCATAAATGACAGGCTGGCTCGCAAAAGCAGCTTGACCATTATGGCCAGGGCTCGTGATATTAGGCTCTGCTTTTTACATCGTACCAGCAATGTCCGGACTTGGGACCGACGCCACTCGGGCAGTGCAGCGAAAACATCGCTTTCATGCCTTCCTGGGCCGACCTTATATACCAGCCAGCAGGGAGCGATGCGCCACTATCACCTCGCATGCACAAATCTTCTCCAATGTTGAGAAGCGCGCGCCACCGCCCTGTGTTTGGACGGGCCTTATATAGGGGAGCGGTAAACGGATCGAGGAGCGGAGTACAGCGGCCACGAACGTCGAGCGACCGGTTACAGGCGGGGTAAGCCAGTCGTTCGCGGAAGTCGCCTCTGTTCGGTCTGGCTGTTGGTCGTGCTCGTCCCCGCAGCTGCTGTGCTGTTCGTGGTGGTGTCTGTCCGTGGTGCTGTTCACTGCTCGTCAGGTAGGAATGCCGCTGCCTCTGAGGCACACACCCGCGCGCCAATGTCTGATTGTTCAGCCCAGGTAGTAAGGTGCCTCGCGCATGTTTTGAACAGCTCCAAGTCCGAGTGTTTCAAACTGCCGTCCCGCACTGCGCGAGGTCGAAATGGCCGGAGAAGCTACACCTTCTCACCACGCCGCCGCCTTCCCCTCAGGTCGACCAAGTCTGAGAAGCTGTACTCGAACCTGCTGCAACGGGGTGGCTCGGACGAGGACCCGTTCTACTCGGCGCTCGTGTCGGGCCGCGGCGAGCCGCCGTCGCCATCGCCCTCGCCCAGCCGCGCCAGCTTCCCGCTCTCTCCAATGACAGGCCGCGGCAGCTACGGCGCCCGCAGCACCAAGGACGACGACGGTATGTGGCTCTGCAGGTCGCGCGCCGGTTCTCCTGTCGCTGCTGGCGCCCCTCACCCCCCCCCCCCCCCCCCCTCCCCCGCCGCCCCGCCCCGCCCCACCGGCTGTAGGAGCCGGTGACGGATCTGGATTCTGCTATCGGATGATAAACACTCGTCGTCAATGTCTCAATGTCACCCCTGCCACCCGTTAAAGCAACAACACGTTGCTGTTGAATAAGGACGGATTCGAATGACGACATGGAACGTATGTGAAATATCGCGCCAATCACCCAAAACCAACACTGAGGGGAAACAAACTTCGCTTTGTCATAGTCTTCCTCTCTGTGGTCTTACCCATTTGGACTCATCTGTGCTCATGCGTAGGCAAGACATAATGAAATTCACGACGGCAGCATCAAAGATGCACCGAGCGCTGTATTGAGTTGCGGAGCTGGTAGATGGCACGGCTGATTTGTCTGGTAGGTTTCAAAACAACAAGATGTGATGCTTTCCGTGGTTTAGAAGCCGACCGGTGGCTATGTTGTTTTATCCGAACCGGATGAGTTTTTCTATCGACTCATATCGCTTTACTAGCCGTGCTGTCTTAAATGTTCCGGTGTGGTCGTCGGGAATCGGAAGGATCGCTTTCAATCTCGGGGCACAAACGTTCGTTTGAAAACAACAGTGCGGGGGGGGGGGAGCGGACACGGCACGCCCGTGTACACGCGGACACGCCCACCGCCCTGTGTCGCGGCCGCTGACCACTAGCGGGACGTGATGGGCAGCACTTTGTCCGAGCCGGAAGACATTGATGCCGCAGCGGCTGCCGGTGTTACCGGCCGCCTGGGACTGGCGCCGCGTGCAGCGCTCGGCTTCTCTTGAGTGGACGCTCGCTCGCCTTTTTCGTAACGCGATGCCGGCGGCTGGTGGGAATAATGGGCCGTTTGGTGTTTTCATCGAGGTTTAGGGCCGCTTTGATCGTTGGACGCGCGCGCCCGCGTTTAATTGGTCAGCGATGCATGTCAATGGTTTGAATAGCGAGCGGCCAACCGCGGTCGGCAATGGCGCTTTCTTGGAAGGCAAATTCGTATTGATGGAAGCGGTGGCTTCCTTTAAGATTCCTCGCTACGTTCTATGTCCATTGCTCGTCCAGGCAATCGACGCCACTTGGCGTTTTTGACACGATCGGTCGCGAGCGCCGCCAATGCCAGTCGAGCGGATGCAACAGTGATCCCTTCTCCACGCGACTCTCAGGGCGGCCGGCCACAGCGCGTCCCCGGCACCACAAGGTCGCTGGCCAGCCTCGGGTGACGCCGATCTGACGGTGATATGGCGGCGGCGCACGGGGCCGGCTGCGGTGCCGCACGGGCCCGGCCCCGGCCCATTCAGGTGTGCGCCGGTCGTCGCCCTCAGGCCGGTGTCGTGCGGGGCGGGACGCTGACCGGCCGCGCGACGCCGCTTTCAGCGCACGGCTCGTCTCTGAGCCTCGTCTCCACCACGTCGTCCATCTACTCGGCGCAGGAGGAGAAGCAGGCGAGCGAGACGCGCCGTCTCAAGCGTGACCTGCTCGAGTCCCAGGAGAAGGTGCAGACGCTCACCAACCAGCTGACCACCAACGTGAGTACGGGCCGGCCCGCCGTCGGGACGGGGACAGACCTGACTGGTGACGCGCGCCAGCCGGGGGCGACCACGGCACGACAGGGCGCGGACAGCAGCGGGCGGTGAGCCCTGTTGGCGCCACCGCCGGTCGGGACGCCTTGCCGAGCGCGCGCGCCGCTGCTCCTAAAGCACTTGTACAGGAGACTCGGACGTAGCGGCAAGTGTCGGCGAGTCGTCAAGGCAGACGGTCCGACAGGAAGGGCAGCGGTGGCTCGGGACCAGCCGAAGCCGACCGGCCGGCCCTGGCTGCTCCCCCGGGTCGCTCCCCGTGGACCCCGGGCCTCTCCCCGCGGGCCCCGGATCGCTCCCCGCGGGTTCCGGGCCGCTCCTCGCGGACTTCGGGTCAGAGTTGTACTCAGCTGGATGCACGCTGATCGTCGGAGCAGGATTGCCTGGAACTACGTGGGCTGAGCAGGCAAACCGGGTGACCACCACGCCAGCTTAACGGAATCACGCCCTCAGGCGTCCCTCCGCTTATGACTCACGTGACGTCCGACATCTGCGGCTTTTACGGCGTCGGAAAATGCAGCATCTCGTGGCAGTATTGGAGGTTTTTCTTCTTCGTCTTGCGAAGTCGGTCGTTCGGCCGGCATGGCTCCGAACACGTGCGACAAATTGCCGTTCCGCCGCGATCAGTGTCGCCCACAGGCGGATCGGATCGTGCCGGCTTCGCGGCGCTGCACGGGCTCGACTTTGCGAGCGAAGCGCGCCGAAAGTGCGGCGCTTGATCAAAGCTCAGAGAAAAACAAGAGGTCGTCTTTTGGACGCCAGCCCAACTTCAAAGAGTGCCACCGCGCCGGCCGGCAGCACAAAGGGCCTGTCGACGTATGGTTTTGTCACGGCCCGTGTCGATGTTGAGCTGGTCGCGCCTGTCGCCGACACCGGCCTCCCGTGAGGCCGATCAATGGCGGCGGCCGCGGACAATGGGGCGTGACGTCACTTGCCGAGGTGTTGACGGTGACGGCAAAGGGTTGGCTTGTCTGACGTCACCCCTGACTTATTCGGCAGGCGCACGTGGTGGAGGCGTTCGAGCAGTCTCTGACGTCGATGACGAAGAAGCTGCACCAGATCACGCTGACCAGTGAACAGAAGGATAAGGACGTGGCCGAGATGCGGCGGCAGATCGACCGACTGCAGCGCGCCTTAGCGGCCAGCGGCGGAAGCCAAAGTGCGTCGCTCACCCGCCAGACGTCGAACGAGAGCATCTCAAGTCTGTCCTCGGCGTGCAGCGTGCATTCTCAGCAGAGCAGCCGGACCCCGGACAGCCCCGGCTCTCACAAGAAGAAGAAAAAGGGATGGGTAAGTCTTCCAGTTATGTGTTCTCAATTATAGGCGCATATGCAAGTCGAAACCTGAACATTTCATTCGGGGCTCCACACGTGATTGTCTAGCTATGCTTTACCCTCGCTGCACTCCATTGGTTCGGTCGTAATCGATCAAGGAAACCAGCTTCGTTTTTAACCAGTGACGGTTAACCTAGATACATGCTTGCCTGCGTCGTAAATAATTACTTCTAACTTGTGGAAAGGGGCGGGATGCATCCGGCGCTCACAGCGATAACATTCTAGCATGATAATCCCACCATTCAACTATAACGGGCCTTTCAACTGTAACGGCGCCCTCCCGCCCGGTCGACCCGTTCCCCGTCCCGTCTCACCTCCGCACCTGTGTCGAGCGCGACTAACGGGGCTGGTCCGCATGCGCGACGCCGCGACCTCGCCTGCCGCCGGCGCGGCGCCTGTCGCTGCCGCTGACCTGTCCTGACCGCCGGTGCTGGCCGGGAACTCCAGTTCTCCGCCTCCCCGCAGCTGCGCAGCTCGTTCGGCAAGGCGTTCTCACGCCGCAAGCCCAAGACCGGCAGCGACATGGAGGACACGAGCGCGCCCTCGTCGCCCGTCATGGCTGCGCGACACGGCGGGGCGGCTGCCGACCAGCCGGACACGCCGTGAGTGAGGCTCCCGGATGGCATGGCATGGGCTGGTGGCTGGTTGAGGGGATTTGTATTGGTTGGTCGATCTTGCCGGTCAGTTGTTTTGTAGCAAGACTTTCGGAAGCGTAATGGGAGCTCTCGGACGGTCCACAGTCTCCTCGAGAAGGGAAGGGGATCTGTTCAGAGAATAGCCCATCAGAGCAAGTAACGCCGCTGCTTTGCAGTCGATGCTTTAGATACCCCACGTATGCTGCAGAACTGCGCTGTGGGTTTTATTGAGTGAACTGTGACGAGGTTGATTCGCTCGTGGTCGTCTTTTATATCTCCGTTTCGTTCATCAGCTGTCCTGCGTGCTTCTATCATCAGCACCCGTCCCAGAGCCCTGTACGGATTTCTGCCCGTCTCGGATCCCTGTACAGACCCCTGCCTGCCCCCGGAGGCCTGTACCGACCCCTGCCTGCCCCGTGCCGCAGCGCTCGGGCCGAGGAGCCGTCGTCGGCCGGGCCGGTGGAGGACGACCTGCGCCGCCAGCTGCGTGAGAAGGACACGGCACTGACCGACATGCGACTGGAGGCGCTCTCCTCGCATCACCAGCTCGAGACGCTCAAGGAGACCGTCAACCGTATCCGCAAGGAGATGGCCTGCATGCGCCAGGACAACGAGCGGCTGCAGCGTCTGGTGGCGTCACGCTCGGCCAACTCGTCGCGCTCGTCGCTGGCGGCCGAGCCGGGCGAGCGACCGCTGACGGCGCCCTCACCCACGGCCGAGACGGCGCCGCGGCTGGAGGAGGCGGCTGCGCCGCCGCCGGCGCCGGCTAGCGCCGACCAGAAGGCGCTGGTGGTGGGCGTGCGCATGGGCGGCGAGCAATGCCCGGTCGGCGCCGTCACCGTCGGACGCAAGACGGTCTGGGACGTCCTCGACGACGCTGTCCGCAGGACGTTCAAGGTGGGCACGCCGTCCGGACACGGGCGACCCCGCTGCTGGCGCTCAGCCGGCGCCCGTCCGGACACGGGCGACCCCTCTGCTGGCGCTCAGCTAGCGCCCGTCCGGACACGGGCGACCCCGCTGCTGACGCTCAGCCAGCGCCCGTCCGGACGCGGGCGACCCCGCTGCTGGCGCTCAGCTAGCGCCCGTCCGGACGTGGGCGACCCCGCTGCTGGCGCTCAGCTAGCGCCCGTCCGGACACGGGCGACCCCGCTGCTGGCGCTCAGCCAGCGCCCGTCCGGACGCGGGCGACCCCGCTGCTGGCGCTCAGCTAGCGCCCGCTGTGGATGTTATGTGTGCTTGGTGCAGCTTGTAGTACATTTAAATAACGATCATTTACCGATAGCTTTCCATCATATGCTTGTGAACAATGATGCGGGAGTGATGTGATTAGCATTTCTCAAAACTTAAGTCATTTATGCAGTCTGAGAAGGGCTGCCATCTGTGCACTGCACTGCACCACATGCTGCAGCCGTCGGTCAGGACGGGGCCGTGCCGACATAGCCAGCTCCCCACTGACCATCGGTGGCGGCCGTCAGGAGTACCTGTGCCGGCTGGACCCGGACCAGAGCCTGGGCATCGACACGGACGCCATCACCGGCTATCGGCTGGGCGAGGTGTCGCGCGCGCTGACGGGCGGCGCCGAGCCTCCCGAGCTCATGCCCTGGGGCTACACGATCGGCGACGTGCGCCAGGCGGAGCTGAGCCTGCGCGGCCACCGGGAGGGCTGCGTCGACGCCTTCGTCTTCGAGACGCTCATCCCGAAGCCGATCGTGCACAGGTGGGGGTGCGCGGCGGGCTGGCGGAGTGAGGTGGCGCCAGCGCGGCGGACCGCAAGCTCGACCTTGACGGGCATGACCCGCGTCTGCATGAATGTGTTGTAGTCTAAGGCAGGGAGAGCGTCTCGCCGACTTGTGACGTCCCCGCAGGCTTGAAAGCGGTCATTCCGGAGCCCGCGGGCCGTTCTGTCGAACATGATTGTTTGACACTGCTAAACGCGACCGTATGTGTATATAAGTAGGCGTGAATGGTGGCGCCCGGTAGCCGTTTACCTTGACCATTCTCGCTGCCCCGACAGGTACATCTCGATCCTGCTGGAGCACCGGCGCGTCATCCTGTGCGGCCAGAGCGGCACGGGCAAGACGTACCTGGCGCGCCGTCTGGCCGAGTACCTGGTGCGGCGGAGCGGCGCGTCGGCCGCCGCCGCCGCCGCCGCCGCCACCGACGCCGATGCCGTGGCCACGGTCACCGTGGAGCCGGGCGGCAGCCGCGAGCTGCACCAGTACCTGACACAGCTGTCGGAGCGGTGCCGGCAGCCGGACGCCGCGCTGCCGCACGTGCTCATCCTGGACAACCTGCACCACGTGCAGGCTCCGGCCGACGTGTTCAACGGCTTCCTGAGCACGGCGCACACGGACCCGCGCTGCCCCTACATCATCGGCACGATGAGCCAGCCGGCCGGCGCCTCCACCGACCTGCAGCTGCACCACAACTTCCGCTGGGTGCTCTGCGCCAACCACGTGGAGCCGGTGCGCGGCTTCCTGGGGCGCCACCTGCGCCGCCGGCTGGCCAGCGCCGAGCTGGCCAGCGGCACGCACGACCCGCAGCTACGGCTCGTCTTCGAGTGGGTGCCACGCGTCTGGCAGCAGCTCAACAAGTTCCTCGAGACGCACAGCTCGGCCGACGTCACCATGGGTGAGCGGCGCGGGGGTCAGACGACTCTGACGTCACGGACTGCGCAGGCAAAGGACTTGGTGCGAATCGTCTCTTAGGTGTCGTGAGGCCTGCTAACGAAATATTTCACCATCCGTGGAACAGAAATCTCATTGGACGATGGAAACGCGGTAGTCTAAACCTGTCTGTTTCTCCGCTGTGTTGTTTTTGTGGTGTTCCGCTTTCTGTTGTACTGTGTGCGTCGTCGCCGTCGGTCGGCCGCCGCTGATCCATGCTGTGCCCCGCAGGCCCCCGGCTACTGCTGAACTGCCCGTGCGACCTCACCGCCTCCCAGGTGTGGTTCACGGGCGTCTGGAACTACTCGATCGTGCCCTACCTGGTGGAGACGGTGCGCGAGGGCCTGCTCATCTACGGCCGCCGCGCCAGCTGGCACGACCCGACCCAGTTCGTGCTCGACACGTACCCGTGGCAGCGGGCGGCGCCGCACGCCGGCGTCGACTCGCTGACCCGGCTTCGACCCGAGGACGTCGGCTACGACGCGGCGGCGCCGGCGGGCGCGACGCTCGGCCGCGACGCGCCGCCGCCGGCGCCGGCCGAGCGGCGCGCGTACAAGGATAGCGACCCGCTGCTGAGCATGCTGATGAGTCTGCAAGAGGCGGCCAACTACAGCGTGGTGCCAGGCCGGGTCAGCAGTGCGGCCACCACGCCCGAGCGGGCGCCCGAGCAGGGCCGACGCCAGGCCGGCGGCCAGGCCACGCTCTGAGGCCACAGAGTCACTCCCTGAGGCCGCCACTGGCCAGGAAAACGCCCTCTGAGGCTACCACTGGCGAGAGAGGCGCCCTCTGAGGCTACCACTGGCGAGAGAGGCGCCCTCTGAGGCTACCACTGGCGAGAGAGGCGCCCTTTGAGGCCACCGCTGGCCGGAGAGGCGCGCTCTGAGCCCGCCGCTGGCCTGAGAGGCGTCCTTTGAGGCCGCCGTTAGCGGGGAGGAGCCTGGGTCAGGAGCTTGTGATCAGAGGAGGCTGCGCGGTGTAGTTAGGGCCGGAGGTCGCGTCTGGCGTAGATGTGACTGCCTGCTACCGCGGCGCCAGCGAGCATCGCACTGTCTCCACTCGAGGCCCCGTCGTGTCGGGAGGTGGCGGGGCCTCCACTTGCCAGTTTCGTTCGACACATCTATATCTGCTTGCGCAGTGCGCTTGGTGTCGGTGCGGGAGCACGCGGCATCCTTCGCGCGTGCATGCAACATTCGCTCCCGATGTTGTGTTTTGATATGACGTTTACCACCGTAAACAGCAACAACGTATCGCAAATGTCTATTCACGTGCTTGGGAATGCTTGAGACCTATGTGAAACCAAAAACTGGTGTGGTGGAACCCCGGGGACCTTGGTCGGTGCTGTAGTCAGTGGCGCTGCATTTATGATGGCATTGATGTCGGTGTAGTTTGTATTTTTGCACGACGCGTGCCCCGCCCGCGGCGGAAGTCGAACTCGAGTCTACGGTTTTATAAAGTGTTTTGAGTGTTAATTGCTGACACGTGGAGGCGTGCTTTGCCTCCGAAATACATGGATGTGATCATTGATGTGCGTGTTTACGCGGCTGGGCGGGGAGACGAATTTTACGAACTTCGCGGAGTTGAATCCGTGAAATTGTGACATCTGCGTTGAATTCAAGTAACCAACGCAAAATAACTGAATTAACGTTCCCATAATGGCTCACAAGCAGAGACAACACGGAATGACCTCATTGTTGGGATCCGCCCTGTTATCATCTTTCTTGCTTATAGGGAGCGTTTTACATTTGTATGGGGTTTTGAATCGAAGTAGCCATCTTTCAAATCGTTTGGTGCAGTTCGCAGCCCTGCCCTTCTTAAGACTTAAACCTTTCTAGTTTCTTAGTAACACGCTCGCGAAGATGTGCCGACTACTCCGGGGAAAATATTTTGAGGTCACCCAGACATCCATGACGCGATAACGTCAATCAAGTCAGGCCATTCCAGCAGGCATGCGGGGATCAAAGCCAATCAAAATATAACTCGAGTTGTTGATAGCTGGCGCTCGTGAGCACGATTTAGATATAATGGCCGACAATTGGCTTCAACCAGCGTTGTGCAAGATACCGTGGCGAAATCAGACAATGGCGTATTGAGGACCATAATTGCCACGCAGGGAAATTGTGTTGTCTGGAGCAGTCTTTTCCACTTACAAAAATACTGACAGTTGTAGGTTGGCTTATTTCATCATATCTGATGTCTGCCCCAATATCTTAAAATGTGGAGCATCCCCTCTAACCGGCATCCTCGGGGCGGCCCGCTTGTGCGCGGCAGGCTTCACGCGCCAGCCACGAGTGAACCGCTGGTGGAGGCCCCCCGTTTGAGGGCCCAGCACCAGACCAGACCCCGCAGGATGGTCCCTGTGCGGACTTAAGTCTCGGCGATTGGATCCCCAGGGCGCTGTAACCTACCCTGCCGTTATCCATTCTCCCTCATCTCATAGCCATCAAATTATCGTTACTGGTCGAAATGGCCTAACTCACATAACCAACAACCAGCCTAATTGTTGTGCCATGTATGTGGCGCTTTTGCAAGGAACACCCACTTCCCCTTTTTCCCCTCAGCAACATTGCCGCTGTCGACAAACGTCACGCGAAAAAAGATCCCCAATTGCCCGAGAGGACCTACCTTTTTGTGACATATTGGAAGAACATGTCCGCACACGATACACGTACTGTCGGAAAATCGACTCGCCTTGTTGGCCCGATCCAGGCTTCCATGCTGACGGGGATGCACCCGCCGCCGGGCCGACTCATGCCCAGCTTAACCCACCGGATGCCAAGCGTGTGACTAAATGCCGGTCACCTAACCTGTTTTTTTTTTTGGTAGTGAGGTGTTCATACAGACGCAGAGAATAACTCAAAGGCCTTCGCAACTGGCCGGGCAGAGCCCCAGTGCCGCCCGGCTGGGGTGGATGCGACGCTAAAAGTTTGTCGCCATCGCTGTAGAGCTCGCGACTCTCTTGATATGCGGAGGCTGACGATATATTATCGGTGCTATCGATAGGTGCTAGTAGCAAAAAATGAGCTGCAGTTAGACCGATAAAACAGAGATGGGAGTCCGGGACGGGAAGAGAAGGGCACTAGCCCACTGGAAGCTACTTGGCGAAAACAAGTTAATCCAGGCCAGTGTCCCTACCGCATTTCAAAAGGGTAATACTTCAGGTTCGACTACTCATACTCCTTTTGGATCGCTCGGACGACCTTGCCCACAACCGGCTGCCTTTTAATGACGTTGCGTAGTGCCTACACATGGCGCACATCACGCCCGTCACCGCTCCCACGAATATGCACGTTCAACAATAACACGCTCCCAACGAACGCTTCGTCCCAAGTCACGCTCCATGGTCCAGCACTGTCATGACGCTAAAGCCCACCATATTCATCCAATAAATCTGCCCGAGCAAATCTCTTCGCCTTCTTCGAGCAAGTTCAGGACATCCGAATTCCAGACATGCTCGACAGACATTTCTATCGGATCAGCCAGGCCGACCTCAATGTTTGTCACAGGTCTTCCCACGTAACGCCAGTGCTGATGCCACAGTTCCCCTAGACCAGACATGCTGCCCATCTGCGTCCCCACCGCAGCAGCTAACCAGATGGTTTGCCGACCGTGGACCGTGACCGTGGGCCGTGCAGACCGTACAGACCGGGGCGCTGACCCATGCCACACCGCACCACCGCATCAGCGGCCATTGGTCCACCGTTCACTCAGAAACGATATACACGGAGCAGCTTTCTGGTCCCCGACGTCCAAACCGTGGGTTTCAAACACAAATTCAGCGGACTACTTTGGGTCTATTACATCATTCGCGCCACATGTCTATGTAGAGTTTACAGGGCACCGTTCTTTTCATCACTCCCTCATCTCGAAGGTGTAGTGGGGACCGTCCTTCGCGAACTGCTTCGGCATCTGCAACACAAAGCGCATGACTTGTTAAGTACACTACGCACGGACAAACTGCCTATTGTTTAACAGGCACACACCACAGAAACACGCAATCAATACGCAGTGTTTTCAATGCTGCTCCTACCATCCGAGGTCGTTTTGAAACGCGTGACACTATGCAGTACGTACCACGGGCCGGAACATCTTCTTGTCCTCGAAGTACAAGAAGACGAGGGTGTAGCTGGCCATCACGCCGAGGAACATGGCCCACATCTCCGGTATGGATATGCGCAGCTTGCGGTCGGCGTTGTACCGATCCTCGCCATACATGTCCATCGAGTGGTGGATCTGCCGGCGTCGGACGGACGTGACGCCCCACGCGGCGGCGCTGGCGACAGCTCCTGCTCCTAGCACTGTGCTACGACCGCGCAAGCCCACCAGCTTGTAAGGCTACGTGAAACGAGCCGACAACCGCTACGACAGCAAAACCTTCCCGTAGGAATAACCCCGGGCATCATTTTACGCCGCAACTTCGTACAAATGCAGCAGAAAAAGTGCAGCGCCGAACGCATCAAAAGACAGCTCGCACCGCGACACTGGTCTCCTCCCCGACCGAGCGCAGCAAAGACGGCTCTATCACTCCTCCCGCCGCCGGCGCCCGCGCAACGTACCGGTTCACAAAAGTCGCGCCTGAGCTCGGGCATGTCCCAGTTGTAGTAGGGGTCGCGCGCCTCGGCCGACACGAGCGGCACGTCCGGGTAGTCGCCCAGCGCCGTGCCGTCGTCGGGCATGGGCCGGTAGTCCTGCGGAAGCATGCCATACTTGGCGGCGGCCGCCGCGTGCTCCTCCGGCGTGCGCGGCGCCACCGGCTCCGGCTTCCAGTCGCGGTTCCAGTCTGTCCAGCGGGGCACGGGTTAGCGGCTCTGTGCGAACCCCGGCTCCGGCTCCCAGTTTGTCTGGCGGGGCACGGGTAAGCAGCTCTGTGAGGACTCCAGCTCCGGCTCCCAGTCTGTCCAGCGGGGGACGGATAAGCGGCTCTGTAAGCACTCCGGCTCCAACTCCCAGTCTGTTCGGCGGGCGACGGGTAAGCAGCTCTGTAAGGACTCCGACTCCGGTTCCCAGTCTGTTCGGCGGGCGACGGGTAAGCAGCTCTGTAAGGACTCCGGCTCCGGCTCCCAGTCTGCTCGGCGGGCGACGGGTAAGCAGCTCTGTAAGGACTCCGGCTCCGGTTCCCAGTCTGTCCAGCGGGGGACGGATAAGCGGCTCTGTGTTTTGTAAGTTCTGGCTCTGTTCAGCTCACTGAGAAGGGGGGGGGATGGGTCCTGCCTCAACTTCAAGTCTGAGTGACCCCTAAATTCAGTTTGCAAGGTCCTTGATTCCATAGGATACGATCCCATTCCCGATTCCAGTTGTCCGTTCGAGCTACACAATAGTCACAAAACTTATTGTTTGGGCGGTGTCAAAATCACGGGTGTGACACTAACAGCTTCTATCCATTGCCATAATGCCTGTCCAGTGTGTTATGAAATGTCATAACACACTGTGTATGCATGGTCGGTGGTCACCAAACTAGTGGCTTCCAGCGGTAGATACGTCACAGGCTGGAGGAGGGTCGCTGTCAGGAAGTAGTCACTGTCCGGAAGCAGCCACTATCTGAAGGAACACCGCTGTCTGGACGTTGCTAGTTACAGGAAGGTCACTGGCAGGGAAGACCTCAGGTCTGGTCTGAGCAAGGCCATCACCAGCTGGAGAAGGGCTCCTGACTTGAGTGAGCAAGCTGGCCACCAAGAAGACCCAGTGTGCTGCGTCCACAATGGGAGACGCTCGCCAGTCAATGCAACACAATCATGTCAAAGTCACTTGCACCAAACTGACTATCTGATGGGAGGATCACAGCTGAGAGAACCCATGCATGACAGTCCATAACAGGTGCATGGGGTGAGATGTGTGCAGCAGCAGACTGGAAGCATGTGAACAGGGTTAGACCCAAGTAACCTAACAGTCTTGCACTCCCAGGACTACACCTGGGAAGAGATGGGTTGTCACCCCATGTGATTTATGAGCAGTTTGTTACAGTCAGTTCTAACTGAAAAGCAGCAACTTTTGCTCTTAAAGAGCTACAATAAACTTAGACTACAGAACAGTGTAGGGCATTTGGTGTTGGCTCTACAAAATGTTACCTCTAAGTTTCATATTCAAGGGCATTGACCTGGAAAATAAGGTATTAAAATACATCAATGTAAGATGCAGAACTGTCTCAAAATGTGAGCTCCTGGACATCTCAACAGCCCAAAGGTTTTGACCATGATCAGTGGCTTTGAAAACAACTATTTTAGATTGTAGGTATAGCTTACAATAGCAAAAACACATATTTCAAACCATCTTTATTGCGGAACATACACTTCTTACAATGGTCAGCAGCTTTAGCAGGTCTCCTGGACTGCCAGTAGCTTTGTCTAGCACAGGATGACCACATCATAGTATTGTGATACTGAATTGATTCCCTAGCAGCAGGTGTCAAGAAATGTGCATTATATAATGCCCATTGACATGTGTTTCAATTAAACAGGTATTACAAGCAACAGCAAGTTATCTTGATTTGCATACACTTTTTATAGTTAAAACAGCAAGTGGGAACTGTTTATATGCTTAATTATCAATATGATGCCTTTATATGGTAGGAATATGACATGGCATTTGATCTTCAATGCCAACAGGATGATGGGTTGCTGAGGGATTGGGTGGGAACTGAAAAGCAAAATGAAACTATGCAGCTAAATTAATCTTCTTAATATGGTACACATATATCACATGGAACAAGGACACCGATGGAATGCTGGCTTGAAGGGGTAGGGTGGGAAGGTCAGTTTAGGTTAGGTTAGGTTCTAGTCTAGTATTCTGGTGCATTATTATTGTTACCTTGGCCCCCATATATGTTTAAAGTTCTTGATGTGCAGCAATGCTGTGACCATGCACCACTACCTTAGCAATGATGCTGGGGGTTGAGGTTATAGTGTGTTTGCGGTGCTTGGGAGCTCGCTGATAATTATCAAAATTTGAAGGTAAGAGCATAATCTACCTGTTTTATGACATTATGATATACCCTGCCTTATACATGACAAATGTGTGATGCTCCTTTTTAACATTAGGCACCAATGTATACCTACACCACTCAATGCTACATTTCAAGAAAATGCCAAACCAAAGCAAGAAATATATTCTAATTGTGTACTTTTACATCAACAGGCATATTTTACATGACAAGAATGATTAGTGATGTTAACCTGGCATGATTTTTAGTTGCAATAGTCATTATATATTTTGCTGCAGTTTTTATAGTGTACAAAGGTAAAGGCCTGGTTTAATAGTGTGCAAAGATTTAGCTCTGGTTTTGGGATGAGAATTCAAGTCAGATGGATGACATGTGTCCTAATCCTCAAAATATACAGAAACTGGGTATAAGTACCCTCCAAAATCAATTATAATCCCTTCTCATTTTAAGGGCTGCTAAGGCCACAGGCAGAGGATGCATCCATTCAATTTAGGGTCGCAAAACCATAGGGTATCACTGATGTGGTGCTTAAGCATGCCAACCATCTATATTTATTGCATGGATGCAAGAAAGCTTTGCTCCCTATGAGGGCATTTCCAGATATTTAGTGACACTATCTGCATAACCGTAGTCCTCCCATTCTCTTTAAGCACTCACCATAATGCAGAAGGATACAAAAAGTACCATTTACTTACACTGTGTCCTTTCTGATGTTACCAGCAAAGACTGGGGTTTCAGCAGCTTAGAGCTTGAAGCCCTCAGAGCAAGCTGACCTCCTATCCGAAGAGCAGCCATTGCTGACAACAAAGTTGTTATCTGAGACCGGCCCCCGTAACCTACACAGGTCACCCCCCTAGGAAAATTGGGGCACCCAACTGGGAGGAACACCACTACACAGCAAATTCCGACGTATGTAGCAATGCAAGGCAATAGGTATCATTGCTTTCGTCGACATAAAGTGTGTTCTAATTCAAGGGTCTGCCCAATACTTTACTGGTTAAGCCATTCATGAGCCAATTATGTTCTTTCTTGTCCAATCATGGGCAAGCCTTTAGGAATGACTTTTAGCTATGAACGCTGTAACCTGGCTCGCCGCGAAAGATCGTATTCGACTGAAAATTGTAATCATTGTGTTTTTTTGCTTTGTCAGGACATCGTTGTAAAACAGTTGTGTGAAAATGATTAATTTGGTTAGAAAATGTAGACATATCGACGCCAAAAACAAACAAATTTACGACTTGCGACTCACAGACTCCTTTAGCAAATGGAAGGTATAACATAATTATAACCAGAATAGGCAAATTATCACCAAAAGGATCCTTTTGTGGTACAATCAAATGTTGAATGCTCTCACTGATAGTACATAAGTAACGCTGATCAAAGTGAAAATACACCATTTGTGATATTTTTGTCAACTTTCTTCTCGAAAAACAGTGTTACCCAAGATCGTATTTCGTAATGATTCAGGTAAAACACACTCACACTCACATATATAGTTCATATTTACATTTGGCCCAACCATTTAATGCGAACCTTGAGGCACAACATAACAGCGATACCAGCAAGACGAGTGAGACGAACCAGGCGCGTTTGTGTAAAGCGGGTATGGCTCTATGCAAGGTTTAGAATTGTATGCCTTGCAAAACGGCTAGAAATACAAAATACAGGTGTGCTGTTTTGTTGGTTTTGTGCGCTTTGTCCAGGTAAGGGTGCGTTCCAGCTATTGCAGATGGATAATAGCTGGTTTGGCGGATATGGCGTGGGGCTAGAAGATGACACATGCGGAATTGAGATTAGATAATTCTTGTAGGAAACAATTTTTATTTTTTCGTGTAGAATCAGATCCTAAGCTGTGGACATTTTGAAGTGCCATTATTCAGTGTTTTCCCTGAACTATAGTAATCTAGGGTTCTCATGCTGGTGCCAGCAAAGAAACAGAACTCATGGTTTAGTCTTAAAATGTCCAATAGCTAGAACATTGCTACTTTTGGTGACCTGAACCAATTGCTTAAATTTCCATGCTGTATCCTGTGTTGGGCTTTTACTATATAAATGTGATCATGGCTGATATGTGCAGAAGATTCCAAAATCTATTAAGTAGAATGTGCAGGAGCCAGGGTGCATTAATGGTATCAGACTTGCAGGCCCAAGGGGGCCTGTGCACATGTGTCTCAGTAGATGCCAGTCTTTTGCCTATTGACCCCAACCCTGACAGCTGATTCAGGTAATCCAGTTGACAGGCCCAGAACCAAAAGTGCAGGGTTGAAAGATATCTGGTTGATTTTCTGATCTTGAGCGTGTGGAATGGCGGCAGGCAGTGAATTCCGGTCTGGAGATGAGATGGCATAGAAAACATTATGTACCTACCATCCAAGGGGCTGAACATTACAGCACTTTTGCAGATATTTTATGATATGTACATTTACGTGTGAGGCATTTTTACCCATTCCTGCTGTAGACTTAAAGCTGGATAAATTTGCTCATGCTGCCTTACACATGGCATGGTCTTAACACAAGCATGATGGGTCATATTAAAAACATAATATGAGAGGTGGGGTATGTACATCACATTGAGATGTGCAATGCAAAATTAAGAAACTTTGTGTTCTCCATCTTTTCCAAGATGGAAGTACATGGCAGATAAACATCCAAATCATATGCTTCATTTGCAGAGTGAAGAATGGGATTCTAACATCAAATATTATGCAGAAAATAAGAGACAAGCATTAGTTATGTTTTGACATGGACTCATATAGTATGCCAGCCCAATATGCTGTGACCAATCCAGCCTCACTATGCAAATCCTTAGGGGGGGATTTCTGAAATAGGCAGGTAGTGACCAGCAAGCACATGCTTCAAGTGATATACATGTATTAACATAAAATGATGCATTTTGAATCTATTTAGAAAGAATTAGCTCACTTCACAAGATTATTACTAAACAGGAATGTCAGTAACTTACTTTGGCACAGCAAAGTTGAGTTTCAGGCAAAATACTGCTAGCAACAGGTTACTGACTAACAAAGCAGCAGTCTTCTCTATGAGAATACTTTATTTATCTCCCCTCTCCATGATGGAACTGGAAAACAATAACAGTGCTCTCAGTATGCAAAGTTGTTGCCAGTTAGCTGTGTGTGTGCCACAAAATCTAAGCATGTACATATCTGCTGCACAGAACAGCCATACTAGCAAGGCCCATGCTATGGCAGGCTTCACTCATAGCTAAAGGAGCTATAGTGTCTGCCCCCAACCTACCCAAGCTGGGTGGATGGGGCTCTGTAGTGCTCCTGGCTGGGATGGCCTGCAATCAGTGACAGCAGCTGTTGTAGCTCAGATGAGGTCAGAGTGTGGGGTAGAATGTGCCAAGCATTGTAAAACATAACAGTTTTGCCACAATGTTCGGATGTTGAAGCAGATTTCACTATCAGGTAGTAGTGTCCTGACTCACGCAATTATCGGTTGTGGTGAGCTCTTATCCAGAAATGTTTTTGATTAAAATACTGAGACTTCAATTAAAGATGGTTACATTTTTCTAACACTACATAATCCATGAATATGTATCATGTAACTAGTGCCCCCTGCAATTCACTATGACATGTGGAACTGAACTGTAAAACCCAAATTATAACCTGAATGTTCCAAAGCTGCTGCCATAGATGTCAGAATGCTGTGTTGAAATTTATGCAAAGCAAAATCCTGAGAAATGGAGCGATACCAGGATAAATAACACTGCCATTGGGTCACTGTGGCACTGCATTGTCAGATGCTATCATTTTTAAGGGCTCAATGACATCAGGAAGGCATTTTCTGAGATTGGCTCTAACTATAGTTGCATTCCATGCCAGATGTGTTTGAAGACTGTAATGAAGGCCTGAGTGGATCAGATGTATGACAACTGATAGAATATGCCTCAAAATGACCTACCTGCTGTTACTTTACCTCACTAAGTGCAGGATTAAGAGGACTACTTAGCCTGCTGGACCTGCTTCCATTGAGCTCCTGGCAGCTTGAACTATATTAAACCTGGTTTGGCATGTTGTGTATTGGGTGTTGCAGCTCGAGTCTTGTTGAGATTTGGACTAGCTTAGTGTATCAGGTGCAACACCACTGGGGAAGTGCATTCCAGTGGTTGAAAACTGTCCCACAGAAGGCTTTCCTTCTGTCCCATGTTGCCACCTGAGGCCTGTTTAGCTGTGTGGTTCCTCTGGGAAGGTGTGGTTGGTGAGAACTCAAGATTCATTCTGGAGTGCAGGATCAGATAAACAGTGATTATGTCCCCCTGCTGGGTGCCATGGTAGGGGGGATGACAAGCCGAGGACAGGTGGGCACGGCTTGGTCGTGATGTTTCACACCAGCTTGGTCATATGCCTCCAGACGTGCTTCAACAGCTCCTGGTTGGCAAAGTTGAACAGTTGTGATGCCATACTGGGCTTACTTGTTGATGAGAAGTCACTGGTAGTGACTTGGAAACACCACAATCATGATGTGTATAATGCCACATGCCACAAGTTACATGGTTGCAGTTGACAGAAAGTCATACCAGTAGATCTGGGATCAGAGATGACCATTGTGTTGTTCCGTGACCAGTCACCTGTGTGAGGGTCGCAGTAGGTGTCCTGAGGTCCCCTGGCTTACTACACCTGTGACCTGATGTCACCTGGCTTATTACAACGCATTGGTGTATGTGTGTGTGCATGATGTGAACTGGCCTAGCAATGTGTGCCAAACCACAATGTGTAGTTTTACTGAGACCATGTGTGACAACACATTGCCCCCAGGTGTGTCTCTGAGGTCTGACTTGTCACATGCATTAGAGGTGCTTTAGACATCAAATGGCGTACTTTCTAAGAGGCCTAGAGTATTACATCATGACTGTTGCCTGAATATGCTCAACAATGTGATGTATAAGATTGCCTGTGCCTGCTATCCTGCAACATGTCACACAGTGACAGGTGCACTTGGAGGTACCAAACACATCATGTTGAGTTGAATTATAAATCTTGTAGCTACCACTTCAAAAAAGGATGCCCAAATATGATTATCATGCAAATTTAGACCCCAAGTTACTGTGTTTGCGCATTGCTGTCCCGCTGTACCCTCAGGTATGTTTCACATTGTGTGGGCACCAATCTGCCAAGGTGTTTCCGGTATTCAAGATCAGATTTCACCCCTGGGACAGGGTTTTTTGGGCCTGAGGTTTAGCTGTACCTGAATGGAAAAGATGGAATGCCACCAAAAAGTGCTTTAGTTGTCAGGTTTTCTCCTGTGGCACTTCCGTGCTCCTATATATTGCATTCCAATACCACTTGGCTATTGTTGATGCACTTCTTGAATGTGATATTGTGTGATGATGCTGTGTGTTGTTGGAGACCTTTCAGTCTGAGGTGGTCTGATCTGAGCTGTAGAGTGGGGACAATATATTTGTATTTACCTCTTGTTTGTGTATGTTACTCTGCAGCTACTGGTCCCCATCCTGTGTGCATGCCATATTGTCCACTCTGATGCTTGCTAGGGCCCTGTCTTTCTGCTTGGGGTCCCCAATGCTGGGGGTTGACTTCAGTTGATGATTTGTGTACACTAGAAAATCCAATCAGGTGTTCTTCTGTAGATTTTTCAATGATCAGGAGTTCTTCAGTATTATTACACACTTTTAGTATTACACTTCAGCACTTGACGCATTGTTTAAAGGGCACTTGGATGGCACTCACTAGCTTTGGGCACCTGGATGGCACTCACTAGCTTTGGGCACCTGGATGGCACTCACTAGCTTTTTCTTGAGGTCCTCTGAAGTATTTTTAACTTTTGTCCTTAATGGTGCATTTGTACATGGACTTGTTTTGATTGGAGCAAATGTTGTCACAGCATTTATCCATTGTGTGTTCCAGCAGGTCGTCCAATATTCTAAGTTGTTAGGGTTAGCTGTGCTGCCTTTTCAACCTGTTTTATCTGCTGAGCATGACCTATTCTAAGCACATTCTCAGATTGCTCAGATTGCCCAGCATTGGTTTTGTTCACAGGCATGGAAAACCAGGGAGGCTCCACTGGAACGGAGCAGCAGTCGGTGGTGATGCAGATTGGAGGACAGAATGTAAGTCACATGGCATGTGCTGCAGCTGGTAGGACATAGTGACTGCCTTTGGAGGACGGAATGTAAGTCACATGGCTTGTGCTGCAGCTGGTAGGACAGAGTGACTGCCTTTGGAGGACAGAATGTAAGTCACATGGTATGTGCTGCAGCTGGTAGGACATAGTGACTGCCTTTGGAGGACATAATGTAAGTCACATGGCATGTGCTGTAGCTGGTAGGACATAGTGACTGCCTTTTGTAGCCCTAATGCTGTATTAATGTGTTTATCCATCAGACACATGGATTTTGGTGCATTTATAGTGCATTTATGTTCAGTATAGCTGTGAAGTTTATAATTTCATTTGAGCAGGCTGTGTTTAGCTGCCGGTTGCAGTTGTAATTTGTGGTGATATAGTGAGAGCATTTTGATTGGCTGAGTTTCTACAGTTATTATGCAATGTGCAGATTATTCAATAGAAGCGTATAGTCCGCTGGAGTTCGGCTTACTTATGTACTTCACCTGGGGCGGTGAGTCGAGGTGTGACGTGTGGTCATGTGCGTTGCAGGGCCAGCAGGTGATCCAGACGGTGAACGGGCAGCAGGTGATACTGCAGGGGCTCGGCGGCGCCGCCGGCCAGATCCAGCTGGCCTCCGGCAATAATCACGTACAAATCATCCCCATCCAGAACCTGCAGCAGGTCAGTGACACGGCTCCGGGGCCGGGCCGGTGGAGGTGTGGCCCGGTGGTGGGACGCCTCGTTATTTGCTGATAGATAGCCGTTTTTAGGCGATCGGAACTGAGTCACGAGCATCCACTAAAAGCACTGCGTTTCCCTGCCATTCCGAAATCACAGAGAATTTCGAAACGGGTTTGCGCTGGAGCAGATACCACAACTGTACCGAAACGTGTACCGAGACGCACAGCTTTACCGAAACGTGTACCGAAACGGCGAAAGGAAAGGAAGTTGCACCGTAACGATCCGCTCCACCGCGCTGTATTTGCCCCCCCCCCCCCCCCCCCCCCCCCCCCCCGCCTGCCCTCTGCTCGGTTGGTACGGCGTCCGCTGGTTGCTGTGAACATGTTAGAGGGAAATGGCCATAGGCTTCAAACACTGTCGTCTGCCGACACTCCCCGTTGTCCCGAACCCGAGACCGTCTGCCGACACTCCCCGTTGTCCCGAACACGAGACCGTCTGCCGACACTCCCCGTTGTCCCGAACACGAGACCGTCCGCCGACACTCCCCGTTGCCCCGAACCCGAGACCGTCTGCCGACACTCCCCGTTGTCCCGAACCCGAGACCGTCCGCCGACACTCCCCGTTGTCCCGAACACGAGACCGTCTGCCGACACCCCCCGTTGTCCCGAACACGAGACCGTCCGCCGACACGTCCCGTTGTCCCGAACACGAGACCGTCTGCCAACACGCTGGCTCTCATGACGGGAGCCGGGGTCAGGTAGACCAGGCACGCCATCATTACGATTGGTCATTGGCGAAAAAGCGAGCCACATTATACTGCGAGGTACTGGTCGAACGACGACATCCAGAAGTTACCTGGACGCAGTGTAAAAATGCGTTGCGCTTTTGGCAATCAGCTAATGGTCACGCGTGCGTGATCATAGACGCTGACTGATGTGAGGCCATCGGAAAGGAATGAGTGGTAGAAGCCGGAAAATGGATGGTCGTGGACAGACGGGAGGAGGGATGTGGGTTGGAGCGGCACCTCAGTCCGACCCTGACTCGGAGCGGCTCCTCGGTCCGACCCTAACTCGGAGCGGCTCCTCGGTCCGACCCTGACTCGGAGCGGCTCCTCGGTCCGAACCTAGCTCAGAGCTGCCCCTTGGTCCGGGCCTCTCTCAGAGCGTGTTGCGTTGCCGTCAGGCGGCGGGCGGGACGCAGCAGATGGTGTTGCAGCAGTCACCACAGATCGTGCAGACCCAGGACGGCCAGACGGTGCTGTTCCAGCCGGTGCAAATGGACAACGCGCAGGCGGCTGTCTCCACCGCCGCCGCCGCCGCGCCCGCCACGCCCCAGGTATGAAGCGCGCCGAGCGGCGGCGAGCCGATCGGTGGGCGCATCTGCGGGCTCCATTGTGAGCGTCTGATGTGTCTGTGTGAGGGGAGGTGTCTGGTCGGCAGAGGCGAGCGTAGTCGTCGCATGGGTCGCCTGATCATACGTCGCAACGGTTCCACGTCCCGTTGCCGCCATGACACCGTCTCAGTGGCGCTGGTGGCCCGCCACCACACCACCGACTGAGTTTGTCCTATCCACCGACACCGTTTCCCATCCTACTGTCGCTTCTATATTTGTCCGTGCCTGACGGTGTCATCCCGTCTCACTAACGCTGATCCCCGTGGTTTTGTTCTCCATCGACATTCTGGTCGCTTGTGCATTTCCTAGTGGTGCTCCGTTCCAGTCCCACTGTTGTTTCCTCCCTGCTCCGCGCTCCCAGGAGCGCTCCATGACCGTGGTCTGGGGTTTCCTCCCCGTCTTGTGTGCCCTCCTCTTATTCCTAGTGTTCTCTTTCTGTCCCTCCAGCCTAGTTCGGTGTTGTCCGCCCCCTCCGCTGGTCTGGTATCTGTCCACCCTGTACACTGTTCTAACGGCCGGCTCGGCCGACGCCATCGTCATCAGCAGGCGATCGGCGTCAACAACGGCCAGATCATCATGCTGGTGCCGGGCAGCGGCGGCGTCTCCCAGCTGCAGCGCATTCCGCTGCCCGGCCCGGAGATGCTCGAGGAGGAGCCGCTGTATGTCAACGCCAAGCAGTACCACCGCATACTGAAGCGGCGCCAGGCGCGCGCGCGCCTCGAGACCGACGGCCGCGTGCCCAAGGAGCGGCGCAAGTACCTGCACGAGTCGCGTCACAAGCACGCGCTGAACCGCGCGCGCGGCGATGGCGGCCGGTTCGGCTCGAACCCCAGCAAGAGCGCGGCGGGCGCGGCGGGCGGCGAGGCGCGGCCGGCCGTCAGCAGCGCGTCGGCAGCGGCGCAGCTTAAGTTCGAGGTGCGCTGACGCGGGCGCGGCGCCGGGCGGCGGCGCGCCGGACGCGCCGGCTGGGGCGCGAGCGACACTGGAGGGTCGAGGCAGAGTGGTGCGAGCTCGTGGGACGGCGAGGCTAGGTCTATTCAAGGGCGTGCCGTCGAGGTGCGAGGGTCGGGTCGTGCGGGACCTCGCCATCTGTTGACGACTCGTCGGCCGCGACTCCAATGCTGAAGACGCACCGTCAAAAGTTTGAGATGCCCGACTGGTGGTTCTTGTTGCTGCCGTCATTCGCCCAAAAGCAGCCGTTTCCTTCGTATCAGAGCGCCATTGAGGACTGCCCCAGTACCTGTTGCCAAATTCCCACATGGTCCGGGCGCCTGCGTCATGGCCGTCCACGTGGCCATGGTCAGTCCGGATCCCCCGCTGTCCTGAGTCTGCATCATGTTGTCTCCAGAATAGTCCCCCACAGTACTGAATCGGCGCTGGCCTCGGTTTGTTCCGTTCTGAACCCGTTCGACACGACCCCACACCGTCAGCCGCGCACCTGCCTTTTGTACGGCGTGCCGAGGAGTAGACGCGCTGGTAAAAGGTGGCATTCGTGTTCAGACGGCGTCCGCAGAGGTGAGTTCGGCCTGCGCGGCCGGTGCGCCCATATTGTACATAACGTGTGTCTCCATTGTGAGGGCGGCCTCGCCGGCGAACCCGGTGGGGCGATGCCGTTCACTGCATCATCACCCATGCGTTAAATATAAGGCGTTTTGTAGCTGGAGTTTGGCTGAGTCTCGCCGCAGCTGGTGGTCCAGGCGCGAACAAAACACTGCTCCATTTAAGCGGACGAGCGGCATACCCGCGCGCATCCCCGTGCGGCTTGGATTACGACATGCTGCCTGGAGTGCCCAGGCATGCATTTGCCCGTATTTCAAAGATATGGGATTCCAGTGGAGCAATGTAGAAATGATCTGGATCCCGGATCTCGGCATCCCGGTATGGGAGCAATGCGCTTGTCTGTGTGCGGGTGTCGAATATCGCCCGCTGTCTACCCGGGATCATGGTACGACCAGACGTTGGGACACAGGATTGCAACAAACCAGACGTTGGAAATCAAATGCAACGGACCAGTGGTTGGAAGACGGGCGCTACAGGCTAGACGTTGGATCACGGGAACGCGACAGACCAGACGTTTGATTACAGGGGTGCGACAGACCGGCCGTTGGAATACGGAAGCGCTACAGACTAGACGTTAGATCAGGGGCGCGATTTAAAAGACGTAAGAATACAGGAGCGCGACATACCACTAAATTACGACCGTGCCCAATCTCGTGATAGAAGCGCGGTCCGTACAAAGTAAATGTGATCGTGTTGGTGTGTAATGGTGATTGGGGTTTTAGGGCGCACCGTCTAATAAGATCATTGTAGCCCAAACTGAACGTGCTTGTTTGAAGCGCTGGTGTTGTCCCTCGCAGACCACCATGGTAACCAATAAAGTAGCTATTTATCTCGACAGTGGCGCCGGATGCACATTTTGTCTATGACTAGCAATCTGGTGGAGTTCTCCGACGGAAAACATCGCACGCATCAGCACTGATCTGTGTTGACTGCTCACTGGGAGTACATCAACCAGGTTTTGTGTTAAAGGGAGTGTGCCACATTTCTATGGGATTTTGGGCTGAAACAGCCATCTAAAAGATAATTTGGTGCAGTTCGTAGCCCTGCCCTTAACAAGACCTTAAACCCTCGAGTTTCTGAGCTGCATGCCCGCGACGACATGCAGACTGTTTCGGGGAAGCTTATTTAAGGCCACCTAAGTAACCATAACGTTATAATGACGTCATTCTAATTCCATTATTCCATTAGCTATGCGGCGATCAAGGCCAAGACATACATATTTGTTGAGTCGTTCACATTTGGCGTTCACAAGCACGCTTTCCAAATATGACGGCCATCAGATGGCTCTCAATCAGTGCTGCTCACAATACGATGGTGTAATCGGACAATGACGTATTCAGGAGCATGTTTGCTTAACAGAGAAATTGCGTCGTCAAAGGCAGTCTTTTCCACCTAACAGTTTATCAATGGTTGATATGAACTTATTTCATCATATGTGATGTCTTCTTCAGCACCTTTAAATGTGGAACATGCCCGCTATATTTATGCGTGAAACATCCGAAGTATACATTTACAGCAGTACCGGCACTCTCTGTGAGCCCTAAGCTCCTTTCTTTGGTGTATGTCTGGGTTTAGAGAGAATATGCTGTGACAGGTGCGACCACCACACAAACTTTCATCGAAATAGCCATGGGTGTTGTCAACATATTGCGTTATCCATGGAGGGGGGAGGAAAGGTATCGATGGAGCGTAACCAAAGCTTAACGGTAGGTGGGGAAGGGGGATGGAGAGTGTAATGCTACGCTCATATGCGATTGCAAATCATGTTCAAATATCTTAACGTTCCGTTGGCTTCGTCTCATGACAAGCAGCACGCACGTCTCTTGCCTCGCATGTCTAGCTCAAGTAAGGGCGAGGCGAACGAGGCAGGAGGTTTCGCTTAACACAGCGTAACCATGGAAGAGTGCAAAATTTTAGGCCACATAACCAGCATGCAGTCATTAATAGAGGGGAGAATAGCAATCAATAACAAGACGTAATTTATTAATGATCCTACAACTTAACCACCTTCTTATCAGTGTACCCGACCAGGTGATTTGGTCACGGTAAATTATCGTCGCATCCTTCACCTAATGCCAGTATTTCATCGCAACGCCTTTGCGCCATCACATTTTGATCTCTTGCTGATAAGCACGTTTTCATTGAGGAGTCAGTGTTAAAATCGGATGTGTTTTTATTTTACGGTAGCGTTTTAGGCTGATCGTTTCTTGTTTGTCACTTGTGCACCGCTATTGTATGCCGTTGGTGCTGAACTATGTCAACGCACCTGGTTTGTTTTAATTTCACTGTTCTTTGAGTCGTGTTGCTGCCGTGGGCTGGGTAATCCACCAGCGCGAGTCGAATGACGCTAAATTAGTGGCAATGCTTTGCCCGTCCGGCTACCAACATCGTTGTGTAAGGTTGTGAAGTGCTGATAAGCACGCACATCAGAATCTCAATGAGAACAACTGGGAATTTTCATTGAAAACTTCTTATCGAGGGTTTTATAGTTTACCATTTTCATCAGGATGATCATTTGAATCTGTGTGCCAGTTTTGGATACAAGTTGGTGTTCATTTACATGTTGCATGGTACATGTTACATGTTACATTTACATGTCCATGTTGCGCATGCCAGATTTTGATAATGGTCCAGTCTGCCTGAATCTATCCACCATGCTGAACCCTGACATGACAGTTGTACACAGAATGCCACACTCATTTACATGAAACCCAGACCCTTTTATGTAAAACTCCAGCCAGGTCAACTTGAACCTCCTTTTTTGCATGGGGAAGTGGGCATTCATGCCTGGAATGATAATGATAGAGAAAATGATAAATGATGGTAGGCATTCATGCCTGAATGGCCCTCCATATTCTGAAAGTGATGTTGGAGCTAAACATTAGATCTTGGATTGAATGTGTATGTACAGTAGAATTGCTGCAGGGATGTTACTATGCTAAGCACACTCAGTAACTTTTTTCAGCCTGGAAAAGGAGGTAGGTGGCCCTATAGTTCCTAGTCCCGTCCTTGAGTTTGCGGCTGCCATGTTCTCATTGTTACATGCCATACCTTGATGTCCTTTTTTAAAACTTCTTTGTGGCATTCAAACACCGAGAATGATCACAAAACAGCTGAACTGACAAATCAGCCAAAGTCCAGTTTGTGTGTGTCCTTGTAACCCAAGAGAAGGTGATTTTTGTTAGTTTTGGAGTGATAAGATCATGATCAGCCCAAGACACCATTCTGATGGCTCAGACAGATGAAAGCTAAGTGAAATGTGACACATTCCTGTTTTCAGGGGCTGCATTGACCAGTTGCCATGGATGTGCAGCGCATGTGTTTGATATCAATTGTGATTTTTTTGCAGGTCTGAAGGCAGTGTGCAGATTCATGTGCATATTAAAATATTGTACTGCACTGTCAAATGCAGATGCTTGTAGCAGATAAGGAGAGTATTGAGGAATGCAATTTACCTATCTTCCAACATTAGGTGATAAGCACACTTTCTGAGGAAGATGAATTCATCATTCTTTGGTAAGTCATGTAGCCATGTACTTTGCCAAGCCCTGTGTGCTGGTGGAAATTACCATTGTATATCTTTTGAAGGATGATCCAGTCCATGTCAATGTCATAGACTTTAACTTAAATAAGCACATTTATTCACACTTCATTTTACTGTAAGTTATTTCAACTTGTTACATCTGTGTGCAGATTTAGGCATTCATCAGAAAACTGTCAGATTGTACACTAAGTTTGAGGATATGGATAAGTGTATGCCTCACATTCTTTTGCATTTGGAGGAACTTTAATCTATATGCCACAATACTGCTTCAAAAGTAATGCACATAACATAAGTACAAAAAGGCTGACTTCCCTGGTGCAGATCTGAATGGCAAATGTGTGGGGTGCATCCTGTCCACACAAACATGCCAGCTTTGTGTGGAACATGCACCCGATGCTGACCCCCGTAACCTGTAAATGCGGAGATTGGGACATGTGGTAACCTTACAAGTACATCAGAGATATGAGCAGCAAGGACTTGTGATGACCTGACTGCTCCTCTACAGACATGGGCAGCAGGTATCTCATGACCTGATGCCCATATTACATCTATGTGGACAGGGAGAGCTTGTATGACCACTGACTCTGCTGCAGATGTGGACAGTGGGAACTGGTGACCTATGCTGCAAATATGGACACCAGGGGCTTGTGTTGACCTGTGTTGTTGATGTGAACAATGGGGACTTATGGTTACCTATGCTTGCAGATGTGGACATCAGGGACTTAAGCTGACCTGTGCTGCAGATGTGGACAGCAGGGACTTATGGTGACCTATGCTATGATGTGGACAGCAGGGACTTATGGTGACCTGTGCTGCAGATGTGGACAGCAGAGACTTATGGTTACCTATGCTGCAGTCACGGACAGCGGGGACTTATGTTGGCCTATGCTGCAGATGTGGACAGCAGGGACTTATGTTGGCCTACGCTGCAGATGTGGACAGCAGGGACTTATGTTGGCCTATGCTGCAGACGTGGACAGCAGGGACTTATGTTGGCCTATGCTGCAGATGTGGACAGCAGAGACTTATGTTGGCCTATGCTGCAGATTTGGACAGCAGGGACTTATGTTGGCCTATGCTGCAGATGTGGACAGCAGGGACTTATGTTGGCCTATGCTGCAGATGTGGACAGCAGGGACTTATGTTGGCCTATGCTGCAGACGTGGACAGCGGGGACTTATGTTGGCCTACGCTGCAGATGTGGACAGCAGGGACTTATGTTGGCCTATGCTGCAGACGTGGACAGCGGGGACTTATGTTGGCCTACGCTGCAGATGTGGACAGCAGGGACTTATGTTGGCCTATGCTGCAGACGTGGACAGCAGGGACTTATGTTGGCCTATGCTGCAGACGTGGACAGCAGGGACTTATGTTGGCCTATGCTGCAGATGTGGACAGCGGGGACTTATGTTGGCCTATGCTGCAGATGTGGACAGCAGGGACTTATGTTGGCCTATGCTGCAGATGTGGACAGCGGGGACTTATGTTGGCCTATGCTGCAGATGTGGACAGCAGGGACTTATGTTGGCCTATGCTGCAGATGTGGACAGCGGGGACTTATGTTGGCCTATGCTGCAGATGTGGACAGCAGGAACTTATGTTGGCCTATGCTGCAGACATGGACAGCAGGGACTTATGTTGGCCTACGCTGCAGATGTGGACAGCAGGGACTTATGTTGGCCTATGCTGCAGACGTGGACAGCGGGGACTTATGTTGGCCTACGCTGCAGATGTGGACAGCAGAGACTTATGTTGGCCTATGCTGCAGATGTGGACAGCAGGGACTTATGTTGGCCTATGCTGCAGACGTGGACAGCGGGGACTTATGTTGGCCTATGCTGCAGATGTGGACAGCAGAGACTTATGTTGGCCTATGCTGCAGACGTGGACAGCGGGGACGTGTCCCGGTCGGGTCGCGTCCGGAAGCGCTCCAGCAAGCTGGCCGGTTACGAGCCGCAGGAGGAGGCCGAGGCGAAGGCGGCGCGCAAGGAGCGGCGCGACAGTGGACAGCAGTCAGCCGGCCGCCGCAAGACCAAGGTATCACCGGCGGGGTCGGGAGAGCCGGAGCTGGGCGCCCTCGGCTACCGACTGGCGAGGCGTGCTCGTGGGGCGGTCGACTGGGCTCTTTTATCGAAGTTGGATTACGTGTAGGAGCGTGATGGTCTGTTTCTTTTTTTATGTTATCCTGACTGTCATGCACAAAAGGCATTAAGCTCAAGTTTATGCTGGGAAGAGCATGCTACCGGTACCCCGGATCCACTACCAAGTTAGTGCCATTGGATTTTGATGGAGAGTTTTTCCCTAATCTTTTTCCAGGCAAGATTATGGACATGATCATTTTTGGGTCTTGCAGTGCCATGCCAGTCGCCCTGAGTCTCTTCAAATGGACGAGACCTGGGCAACTTGATTAGCATGCACAGTCTGTGCCGTTTGTACCTTCATGTCGAGTTGCAGATGCACCTCATCTGAATTTCAATAACTTCGCATATTTCTCACTTGACGCGGACTGGTGACAGTAAAGCTATTGGTTTACGTCCACGCCGTCGGTTTGCGTTGATTTGGAGCTGACAGTGCACGGAGCCGGCTCCTTGAGAAGCTCCGCTGTTTGCCAGGTGATGGTGACACCCAACATGTCGGAACGCGACGGCACTATGAAGGCGGACGTCATGGAAGACGTCGGGTCCGAAGAGGACCTCCAAGGTCAGTTGGAGCTGTCGTCGCGGGCTGTGAAAGGATAGTGAGTCTGCTGGTGTAGACATGCCGTTTGTGATGGCCTGTTCTCAAGATACCCACATCTGGGGTGTGCGCGTGTTCAGCGACTCTTCTACGCTTCGTCATGAAAAGCTTCACTTTAACTTTTCACAAACGCTTCGAACTTGTGTCACCGCCTTGTTTTTATTTAGCACACGTCTCATTTGATTTCCGTCCTGCACAGTCTCAGTCCGAAATGTATGCCAGCATAGTGATAAATCAAGATAATTTTGCCAGACCGCTGTGCATTGGGCGTGCCCCAGTTCTTACCACTCACCGCGATCGGCGTGCCGTCCCGCGTTCCTGTACCGCCGTCGCGTCCACAGCTCCGCATGCGGCTTCCTGCGCCCTGGGTGCCGTGATCCCTCCCTGTTGCTTGCGCAGTGCTCCTCCTGCTTCCTGGACTGTGCTCCCTCTCTGCTGCCTGGGCTGTGCTCCCCCTTTGCTTTCTCCTGGACTGCTGCACGGCGGCGTGCCTGCTGTTCCCCTCCCGCTCCATAGTGTGCTCTCCCGCGGATGTGGGGTTGCCCTTTCCCTGCCGCCGCCCAGTGTTGGGGGCGTGACCTGGCCGTGCGCCGCCGCCACCAGGGTACGAGGTGGACGGCTACGACACGGGCGGTGGCGTGGCCGGCAACGTCGAGATCAAGGCCGAGAGCGAGGACGAGGACGACGACTTCTCCAACCTCATCATGGTGGCCAACGACGACGACGACGACTTCGAGGATGACGATGACGCCGACGCCGACGCCGACGCCGACGCCGACGCCGACGCCGAAGCCGACGCCGACGCCGAAGCCGACGCCCACGCCGACGCCGACGATCCGGAACGCTTCTCGGACGTGGACGACTCTCTGGTGATCGACGAGTCGCCGGCGCGCGTGCCGTCCGTGCCCGCGCCCGCGCGCCGCGGCAAGCCGGCAAAGCCGGGCCGTCAGAAGAAGGTGGCCGGGCGCCAGAAGAACGCCACCAAGATGTGGAAGCAGCAGCGCATGACCCGCAAGGATAAGGGGGTGAGCGCTGGGCGGGACGGCGGCGGCAGCGGCGAGCAGATGTCAATGCATGGTGTCACCTGTGACGCGAGGGGCTGTCGATCCGAGGTGTCAAACACGTGCCATTTGACTCGAAGATCAAGCAGGCAAACTGTTGCAGACGTTTGCGAAACTGGTGCTTTGAGTTAGAAAAAAAAACAGCATGAGGAATGCATGCACTGATGACAATGCGACCAGCACCTATGGCCTCCCGTAAGGTGTGCCGGCCTGCCGTGTGTCCGCAGCAATCTCGGATCACGGCGTACCTGCTGTGGGCCCGCGAGGTGCGCGACTTCGTGGTGAACGCCAACCCGTCGCTGGACTTCTCGCAGGTCAACAAGCGCCTGGGCGCCATGTGGAATGGCCTACCGGACGCCAAGAAATACGTGAGTGGGGTGATGTGGCCACCCTGGTGACATGTCCTGACGCACCGTGACATAGGGCTGCCTTTGGTGATGCGCAACACGGCTTCCTCGCAGCCACGGTCATGCAAGGTGCGTGGAAGCTGGATTGTCTGTGTTGTTTTATTGAGTCAGTTTTGAACCTGGCACGGTCCGATCGTTTCGTGACCTCACGTTATGTTATGTTATGCACTTTGCTCCTTGTGGTTTCAGATACAGACTAATTCGACGATTAACAATAGTGATGACCGTGCACAACCAGTGCTTCACGTACATTTAATGATATGAATTGCTTGCTCGAGTGCTGTTGAGGTCAAATTGTTTCCCCGAGTGCTGTTTGGGTCAGACTCCCCACGAGGCGTGATGTTTTGCCTGGGCCACCACCCAAGTTGTCCCAACGATGAGATAATGTCCCCCGGGCCTGTTGGCCCATGGCATCGTACGCTGAAAGGTGTCATACAGCTCCATAGCACGCGTCACGCTCATTCGCTCGGCGGTGAAGCTCAACCCTCCCCCTTCCCTCCCTGGTGAGGAATATGCAATCCTTGGGTGGATTCGAAACTCTCGGCTGCTACGCACCGAATCCGCCGCGTTTGGCACCTGCTAGAAGCCGAGACCAGGACTGTTAACAACTACACCTCCGGGGCGGTTGGTTAGCCTCATCCAGCCCCCCCCCCCCCCCCCCACACCAGTCACGTCCGGCCACCTCCTCCCCTCTCGCCCTGACCTGGGGTCGTGTCCCGCCTCGCAGAACTTCAAGCGGCGCGCCCAGCGCATCAACAGCCGGGCCATGGCCAAGGAGGCCAGCACCAGTGCCAAGATGAAGTCCACCGGCAAGGGCAAGGGCCGCACCACCGGCGCCAAGAAGACCTCGGACGGCGCCGCCGAGGCCGCCATCTCCGAGGCGGCCGGCAAACAGCCCAGCATGTACGGCAATGGGCGCCGGGGAGGCGGGCTGTCCGCCCCGCCAGGCATACACAGTCACGCTGTGTCAGTGTAGATGGCAGACGTCGAAATGATTGTCATGCCACCGGTGCACCAGGCCAGGAGCGTGGCTCAACACTCGTGTGTGTACGGCCATGTCACGCGTGCTCGGTGTGTTCGGTCGCGTTGTGTGTGATCGGTCATGCCACGTATGTTCGGCCATGTTGTGTGCGTTCGGTCCTGTCGTTAGTGTTCCGTCATGTTGTGTGTGTTCGGCTAAGTCAAGTGTGTTCGGCTATATCACGTGTAACCTATCCTGTGAACTGACCTAAGACCTATCATCATCAACCTCGGACATGGCCCGCCGTCACTTCGGACATGGCCCGCCGTTACTCCGTCCCTGGCTGCGGGTGTGCTATCCATCTGACATTGCCTGACCCCATTGTAGTATGTGTCATGACCCTGCAGCATGACTGTGGCGTACTGACCAGACAGGATGCTGGCTTCACGTGACTTTCTGACCCTTTAACCCCGATATGACTGCAAGCACGTTAAGACATTCCGAACTTCTCCGATTTTGTTGTGACCCGCTGTCCTGATGTGGTTTGTGGCCGCCACTCACGACCTGCCGTGACCTGGTCTGACCTGTGACCCGTCATGACCCGGCCGTGTCCCGCAGGCTTCTGCCGTCCATGCCGTGATCCGGTCTTGCCTGTGACCCGTCATGACCCTGCTGTGTTCCGCAGGCTGCAGCCGTCTTTGCCGTGACCTGTCCTAACCTCCTGTGACCCGTCATGACCTGACCGTATCCCGAATCCGCCGCCGTCCATGCCCTGACTTGTTCTGACCTGTGACCTGTCATGACCCGTTCGTATCCCGCCGGCCGCCGCCGTCCATGCCGTGACCTGTTCTGACCCCTGTGACCCGTCATGACCCGGCCGTGTCCCGCAGGCCGCCACCGTCCATGAGCGAGGCGACGTCGCTGGTGAACCCTACCAACTACCGCGTGTGCACCACGCAGCCAGTGGACCTGGCGGCTCACATGGTGCTGCTCGGCGAGTCGCTGGGCGTCATCGGGCGCAAGCTGCGTGATCATGACGTGAGTGGCCCACCAACCCCGGCTCCGGCCGCGGTCTGGGTGTGCGGGGACGGCGCGGCGGGCACGGGCTGGCGGGAGGAGCGAGGGCGCAGCGCCGTTGATGGGGTGTACTTGGGATGTGCGGGACCTTCCGCCGTGTTGTCGGGTTGTCATTCGGTGGTCGCACTCGAACGTGGTGACCCCTGTCATCTGAGCCAGGTCAGTGATGACGCGTCCTTCCCCTGCAGTGTCGGATCGTGGCTGCTGTCTGGCTTTGGGTACTGGATGGTGGTCCGCCCCTCTTCCCGCGGTATCAGACTGTCGTGCCCCTCAGCCTGTCGGTGGTGATCTGTGGCTCCACCCCCAGGGTCAGATCGCCGTGTCCGGCGGCCTGTCGGTGATCTGTGGCTCCACCCCCAGGGTCAGATCGCCGTGTCCGGCGGCCTGTCGGTGATCTGTGGCTCCACCCCCAGGGTCAGATCGCCGTGTCCGGCAGCCTGTCGGTGCTGCTCGACTCCCTGCTCTGCGCGCTCGTGCCGCTGGTGGCGCTCACCAAGCAGGTGCCCGAGCTGGACGGCTGCGACGAGCGAGACCTGGTCAAGACGCTCGACAACATCGCCTACTTCATGCCCGGCCTCTGAGGCCGCCAGGCGGCGGACGCCCGCACCAGCCACCGACTCCTGCCGCGCGCCCGGCCTGTGGACACTGCTGAGCCCGCCAGGCGGCGGACGCCCGCGCCAGCCACCGACTCCTGCCACGCGCCCGGCCTGTGGACACTGCTGAGCCCGCCAGGCGGCGGACGCCCGCGCCAGCCACCGACTCCTGCCACGCGTCCGGCCTGTGGACACTGCTGAGCCCGCCACCGAAGATCCAGACCACTGAGTACTGCTGCAGCGGCACTCAGCGGTGTGCAGAAGTGACGTGTCGCTGCCAAGCTCTGTCGGGACAGATGGCGGTGTCGTCCGCATGCTCGCACCGCGTTTGCCAGCACGACCCGCTGCTGGGACCGCCGGCGTCTCGCCCCCCCCCCCCCCCGGACGATCTGAAATGTGTGCGTTAAATGGAGTATCCGTTACCTTCAGTCGGTCATTGGCCGGGAGTCAGTGTGCCATTTGAAGCCAATGCTGAGGTTCGCCGTGTCGCGCTGTCGCTTGTTTCCACTCATCAGAGGTTCGACGGCCCAGCGGTGCTGCAGGAGGCGCGCGGCCGTGGCAGGCTGCCCGCATCGGGGGCGGCGGCGGCAGTTGCAAGCGGTACTATCGTTCATGAATACAAATACCATATGTGTGCATGAGGTACAGTTAGTTTTCTCATCTCAAATACATATTCGTCCACATGAGGTTGCTCGTGCCTTGTGCCGTAAAATGAGTTTGTGCCGGGGGGAGGGGGTTGAACAGTGGAAATTATTACAACATACACCTAAATTACTTGAACAAGCAGGTTTGTCAGCGGATTTAGCCCACTTTCTTCTCAAAGTTGTGGAAACCCAATTTTGGAGGGGAGGGGGGGGGGGGTTTGACTGGTGGCGATGGGCTGAAGCCTTCCCCCCCCCCCCCCCCAACTGAAAAGGAAATTATAACCCTCCTTGCTAAGACATTTTGTTGGGGGGGGGGGGGGAGGAGTGTACGGGCACATATGCAGCCTTTCTGGAGTCAACATTGAATGATCCCATTGTCATCGGTCCGGCATGTGACGTCACAGCCAATCGCAACGTTTCTGTGTGCGATTTCTGGTGACTTGCAAATGTCGAGGAAGAATCGCGATTTGTTGATCACGAAGACTCGCACCAGCATCGGCTCAAAGCGTAAGTAAAGTCGCGCTGGCCATGAAGCCGTGTGGGCATCAGCCGCGTTCACAACGCAAAGTGATAGAGAAGTGATGAAGCGGAGCTGTGCAGGAAAGCCAGACGCTCTCGCGAGAAACCAACTGCCACAAATCCTTGCTGCCTGTTGAATCTTGTAAAGCTGAATGACCTCAAAATTCAGGTGGCCGTTCACTGACATCCCGATCCTTTCCCATTTCAGAACCCGGTTTGTGTTTGTACGTGCCGCTCGATTCTCTTGCCTCAGCCGGTGCCTTACGTTGCAGGCCACAACAATGCACGGAAGTTGGGGATTGCAAGGGAGAGAGAAAAAACGGCCAAGCTACTGATTTTATTTTCACCATGCCTCACCTTGGCTTCGCGATAATTTGTCATCCAAAGTTGAGACAAATTATTGGCTTGATTAAGATTGGACGTCGTCCCCATCCCTTTTCGCTTCTTTCTGTGCCTTTGCATGGCCATCCACCTCGTGCTGGTTGCGTTTGAAAACACAACTGGGCTCCAGTGCATCTTGAATTAATAAATAGGTTCTCAAGTAACTCGTTTTGTTTGGAAAGCAAGTCATCGTGAATCGACAAAGGAAGACAGTTTTCGCTTATGACGTCATCGAAGTCATTCAAACCACAAATGTTCGCAAACGTTCGTGTATCCTTATCCCAGACTGTGTTCAAGGCCATGGGAGCCGTGTCCCTGTACTCGCCGAGCAGCGGCACTTGCGTCCCGCGAGTGGTGGCGTGTTGGTGGCGGTCGGGTGTATCGGCACAGGCGCGGAAGTGTGATTCGGTGTTCTGGCAGTAAGTATCATTTTTCCATTCAGTTCAAAGTCAGGAGATGCTGTTGCATCTCTAGGACTCGCTGATTGCCTGCCCCATGGTTCGGTGCGTACCTACCAGCAGTGAGCACTTCTTTTCTCGTGATGTTGAAAGTCGCCCTACATGCAACTGGAACCTGCTTTTAATTATTTGTGCAAATTAACACAGAATTTGTATTCAGTTCTGAATCTTTTTTTCTGGGCTTGCAGATATTAACCTTGCATAGCTGTGTGCAGACTTAAGTATTTGTGAAATGTGGATAGATGGGTATGTAGGTATTTTCCATACAGATTCAGAAAGCAAAAATTGGGTTTAGGACACCAAGGGCATTAAGCCCCAACCCTTCTCCTGGAATGTAAGAATGACCCAAGATGTGTAAATTAAGTGAAATGACCGTATTTTCTCCCAAACTGGAGAGGGCTTTGATTGCCACTTGCAGTTGCCCATATTTTTAGAACATGCTGGTATATTTATGTTATCGTTTGTTCACCCAATTATTTTACACTCATACATTATTCAGGGTACAAAGTTTTCTTGCTCACACATGAAAGCCAAGGTGAGCATTTCTGTGATCCATAGGTGGAAGTCAGGCCTTGAAGGTTATGAGTTTTTGGGCAGTGAAGTAAGCATTTCTTTGAATACTTAATGTGGTACACTGAGAAAGCATGAAGTTATAATGGCTTTTTTTTACTTGGGTACCTGTATTGCCGACGGTGGGGAGAGCTACGCTGGCTGCAGGGTTCCTGTACTGCCGTGATGGAGAAATGCTGTCAGGTATCAGCCGACGTAGTGACGTCACTGAAAATGGGTTTCCATCGATCGGGGTTCTTTTGGGCCAACTGAAGGCTACAAGGCATTTGCTAGCGATATGATGTCACTGGTATTCGACTGGATGTGTGACGTCACTGGTTGTGAGGCTTTAGGGATCTTTTGGGTGTAATGAATGCCGTAAAGCATCACCTGACGATATGTCGTCGCTGGCATTCAATGAAACATCAGGCGCAACAGGCCTTATTCCATCTTTACCTTTCGTACCTGTCTGCTGCAAGCATTTGCGCGTCGAATAAAAGCTTGACCGAATCACCTGAATGCGTGACGTCACTAATCATCACTTGATACGAGTGCACTTAGGCCCCACGGCCGCGGTGTATCATGTTCCGTGAAATATCACCAGGTATCGTGACGTCACTGATATTCGACTAAATGTTGGTCGCAACAGGTCATGCTTCATTTTTACCTTCGTACCTGTCTACCGCAAGCACTGGCGTGATGAATAAAAGCTACCAAATCACGTGAGTGTGTGACGTCACTGGTCATGCATTTTTATGGATCTTTGGGGGCCAACTGAGAGCCGTAAAGCATGACCTAATGATGTGACGTCACTGGCATTCGACTGTGTGTGATGTCACTTGTGATCAGATTTTACGGCCTCTTTTGGGCCGACGAAAGGTCATACGACATTAACTGAAGATGTGACGTCACTGGTATCCGAATAAAATTCAGGCGGGACAGGCCATGCTTCATCTTTACCTTTGGTACCTGTCCATTGCAAGCATTTGAATGCTGAAGGAAGGCTCTGCCGAACTACCTGAGTGTGTAACGTCACTAACCATTAATTTATATAGACTGCTTTGAACCTACCGTAAGCCACACCACATCAGCTGACCATATGACGTCACCGGTTTTCGTCTAGATGTCATGCGCAACAGGCCATGCTCTATCTTTGCCTTTCGTACCTGTTCACTGCAAGCATTCGCGCGCTATATCGAGGTGGTGCCGAACCATCTGAGTGCGTGACGTCGCTGGTCATGAGTTCATACAGGCTCACTTGGGCACCCCAATGCAACAAAGCATCATATCCTGTGAAGCATCGCGGGATGATATGACGTCACTGGTATTCGACTCAACATCAAGCGCAACAGGCCATGTTCCATCTTTACCTTTCGTACCTGCCTACTGCAAGCATTCGCGTGTTATATGACGTCAATGGTCAAGAGCTCTTACGGGCTCTTTTCAACCCCCTATATGGTATAATGCTTCAGCTGACGATATGATGTCACTGGTGTTCGACTTAACATCAGGCACAACATGTCATGTTCCATCTTTGCCTTTCGCACCTGTTAAAGTATCGGCGAGCCTAATGATGGCTCTGTCGAATCACCTGAGTGCGTCGTCATGAGTTTTTACAGGCTATTGTTGGCCGAGTGAAAGCCATAAGGCATCATCTAATGATGTGTCGTCACTGGTAATCCACTAAGTGTGTGACGCCATTGGTCATGAGTTTTCCCGGGCCTTTTTCGGCCGACTTAAGGCCATTAGGCATCAGGCAACGATATGGCGTCATTGGTATTCAATTAAGCATCAGGTACAATATGTCAAGTTTCATCTTTACCTTCAGCACCTATCTACTGCAAGTATTCGCGCGCCACATAAAGGCTCTGCCCAATCACCTGAGCGTGTGGCGTGACTGGTTATGAGTTTACGCGGGTTTACTCGGGCTGACTGAAGGACATCAAGCATCATCTGGCGATGTGACGTCACTGGTATTCAACTTAACACCAGGCGCGACAGACCATGTTCGTCTTTATCTTTCGTACCTGTCTATTGTAAGCATTGACATGCGTAAGGAAAGCTCTGTGAAATCTCCTGAGTGTGTAATGTCACTGGTCATGAGTCCTTTATGGGCCGCTTTTTTGTACCTATAGGGTACAAGACATCAGTTGACGATATGACGTCACTGGTGTTTGACTTAATCTCAGGCGCAACAGGCCATGTTCCATCTTTGCCTTTCGCACCTCTATACTGCAAGTATTCGCGCGCTACATAAAGGCTCTGCCGAATCACCTGAGCATGTGGTGTAACTGGTCATGAGTTTACGCGGGCTTACTCGGACTGACGGAAGGACATCAAGCATCATCTGACCATATGACGTCACTGATATTCGGTCTGTGGCCCAGACTTATGACCACTAGGCGGCGCCCTTTATTATTTAGCCATCAGGGCATTCCGGACCGTAGCTGCTCAGGGGCGCATCCTGTGATGTCGGGCGGAATAGCTTTGCATATACGTCGGTTTGTGGGCTGGGATCACCTTTGTTTTGTGTTTACGTTTGTTCAAAATTTTAGTCGTTGAAACAGCCCGTTGCGTTTGAAGCTGCTACTTAATGGTGCGCACAATAAAATTAGTGTGCTTAACTATGGTGCATCTCCCGCCTCTGCTGCGGAATTTCGTAGCCATAGGTGGCCAAGTGACCTCCTACCAACTGATGATCAGTGACGTCACGTACTCAGGTGATTCGGCGGAGCCTTCATATAGCACGCGAATATTTGCAGCAGCCAGGTACGAAAGGCAAATATGGAACATGACCTGTTGCGCCTGATGTTTAGTCGAGCACCAGTAACGTCATGCCGTCAGCCGATGCATTACAACCTATAATGGGTTCAAAAGAGCCCATAAAAACTCGTGACCAGTGACGTCACAAACTCAGGAGATTCGACGGAGCCTTTATTCAGCACGTCAATACCTTTAATAGACAGGTACGAAAGGTAAAGAAAGTACGTGGCATGTTGGACCTGATGTTAAGTCGAATAACAGTGACGACATATCATCCTGTGATGCTTCACGGGAGGTGTTGCTTTGTGGCCTTGGGCGGCCCAAGTGAATCCGTATAAACTCATGACCAGCGACGTCACCCACTCAGATGATTCGTCTGGAGTTTAGTCGATTACCAGTGACGTCATATCGTCAGCTGATGCTTGATGTCCTTCAGTCAGCCCGAGTAAACCTGCACAAACTCATGACCAGTTACACCACACGCTCAGGCGAATCGACAGAGCCTTTTTGTAGCGCACGAATACCTGCAGTAGGCAGATGCGAAAGGTAAAGATGAAACATGGCTTATTGCAATTGATGTTAATTCGAATACAAGTGACGCCATAACGTTATCTGATGCCTAATGGCCTGAACTCGGCCAAAAAAGGCCCGTAAAAGCTCATGACCAGTGACGTCACACACTCAGTGGACTACCAGTGAAGTCATTTCGTTAGCTGATGCCTTATGGCTTTCGCTCAGCCAAAAATAGTCGTAAAAATTCATGACCAGTGACGTCGCACACTCAAGTGACTCGGCAGAGCCATCATTTAACGCACCAATACTTTACAGGTACGAAAGGCAAAGATGGAACATGACCTGTTACGCCTCATGTTAAGTCAAACACCATTGGCATCACGTCGTCAACTGATGCATTTTTCCCTATAGAGGGTTCCAAGGAGCCAGAAAAAACTCATGACCAGTAACGTTACACACCCAGGAGACTCGACAGAGCCTTCATTCAGCACGTCAGTACTTGTAATAGACGGGTACGAAAGGTAAAGATAGAACATGGCCTGTCGCGCCTGATGTTAAGTCGGACATCAGTGACGTCATATCGTCAGCTGATACATTATACCGTTTGGGGGTACAAAAGGTCCCGTAAAAAGCTCTTGACCAGTGACGTTACTTACTCAGGAGACTCGACAGAGCCTTCATTCAGCACGCCAATACTTCCAAGAGACAGGTACGAAAGGTAGAGATGGAACATGGCCTGTCGCGCCTGGAGTATAGTCGAATACCAGTGACGTCATATCGTCAGCTGATGCTTGATGTCCTTCGGTCAGCCAGAGTAAACCCGCGTAAACTCATGACTAGTTACACCACACGCTCAGGTAATTCGGCAGAGCCCCTATGTGTCGCGCGAATACTTGCAGTAGATAGGTGCGAAAGGTACAGACGAAACATGGCTTAGATAGAGCATGGCCTGTTGCGCATGATGTCTAGTCGAGACCTAGTGTCATCATATCGTCAGCTGATGCTTTGTGGCCTATAGTAGGTTCAGAAGAGTATACAAATTAATGGTCAGTGACGTACACACTCAGGTAATTTGGCAGAGCCTTCCACGGCAATGCTTGCAATGGACAGGTACCAAAGATAAAGGTGGAAGATGGCCTGTCGCGCCCGAAGTTCATTCGAATACCAGTGACGTCACATCGTCAGTCAGTGCCGTATGACCTTTCGTCGGCCCAAAAGAGGCCGTAAAATCTCATGACCAGCGACACGCACGGTCGAATGCCAGTGACGTCACATCGCTAGCTGATGCTTTATGGCCTTCAGTTGGCCGCAAAAAATCCGCCAATACTTGCAGCAGACATGTACGAAAGGTATAAATGGAGCATGACCTGTTGGCTGATGTTCAGCCAAATACCAGTGACGTCATATCGCCAGCTGATGCCTTACGGCATTTCGTCGGTCCTAGAGGACACGTGGAAACCCACGACCATTGACGTCTTACAATCGGTCGTATAGCAGTGACGTCGTTAGCTGACACCTTGTGGTCTTCAGTTGGCCGAAAGGCACCGGTGAAACTCGTGACCAGTGACGTCACACACTCAGGTGGTTCGGCAGCTTTCATCCAGCACGCCAATGCTTGCAGTAGTCAGATACAAAGGTAAAAATAAAGCACGGCCTGTTGCGCTCAGTATTTATTCGAATACCAGTGGCGTCACGCTATCCGGTGATACTTCGTAGACCATGACACACCGTGGTCGTGGGGCCTAAGTGCACCCGTATGAAGTGATGATTAGGGACGTCACACATTGAGGTGATTCGGTCAAACCTTTATGCGGCACGCAAATGCTTGCAGCAGTCAGGTACGAAAAGTAAAGATGGAACGAGGCCGGTCGCGCCTGATGTTTAATCGAATAACAGTGACGACACATGGCCAGCTGATGCATTACGGCATTCGGTGGACCCAAAAGAGCCTTACAAACTCACGACCCGTGACGTCACATACCCAGCCGAATACCAGTGACATGTCACATTCAAAAGCCTTGTGGCCTTCAGTCGGCCCGAAAGGACCCCCATCCCGATCGATGCAAAACCATTTTCAGTGACGTCACAATGTCAGCCGATGCCTCACAGCTTTTCCCCCGGACGACAATACTCGAAACCCTGCAGCTAGCGTAGCTCTTCCCTCCGTCGGCCATACAGGTACCAAAGTAAAAAATTACCGTTATAATCAGCTTTTGCAGGCATATTATATCATATTTTCTCTTAGTTCATTTACCAATATACTATATTACATGATTCTCTAGTTTAGCAGTGCTATGTAATATTTCTGCTAAGGCAATTAACCATCTATGAAATGTTCCATCAGCTTTTTTTTAGGTACACTGTATTTTAAACAAGGTTAATAAGCAAGTGTTTTTTGCCTTGTGTGAACAGTGGAGTTGTCAGTGAAGAAATTATGTGTTTTATCAAGGTCTAAAGTCAGTAAGTTTTTATGACCACCCTGTTATCCAGAGACTTTTCACCAAATGCTTTGCAGGAAGTGAGCATCAGAAGTGCTGCTCTGCTAGTGCCAAAACAACAGACATCGCTGCTCTGCTGGCTGCTCTGCTGAAGCATCAGTGGCCAAGATGGGGGGACTGGGGGGCTACTGCCACTCAGAGTTCTGGGTAAATATGTGATTGCTATTGATGTGAGGCTTTTATTTGTCAGAAATATGAATACCAATATCAGGTTAAAAATGTTATTTTGTAAGCATGCTTAAGACATGTTATACATCTTGTAACTCATTTTATTTCTATTGGAATATATAGTGCCAGCCTCCAGTTAGCCCACTGCATTAATTGTGCACATGCTGCATATTTTCTGCTAAGTTGTTCACCAACCATAATCAGTGGGTTTCAGAGGAATTGTAGCCCACTGTCATGGTTGTCTGCCAACAGAACAACACCCTGACATGGGATGCAGCCAACCCTGACTTCACTTCATGCTTCGAGCGGACAGCCCTGGTGTGGGTGCCCTGCGGCTTCCTCTGGCTGTTCTCGCCCATTGAAACCCTCTTCATACTTCGCTCTAATGACCGCTTCATACCATGGACCATCCTCAACATCTGTAAATATGTGAGTATGGCTCTGGATGCCTAGCATCTGGCGCAGGCAGGCCCAAGTGCACGCTGGGGCCATCGGATTGTCGGACCCCCTAGCAAACGCTCTGCGAGCTTGAATGCGAACACTGTTGTGCTGGGCAGGGCTGGAATTAGCCGGCCCTGGCCGGCGACTCAGATCGACCTGCATGGCGTGGGGCAAGCGTTAAGACCATTACAGTTCTGTCTGATGACCTATTGGTGCCACCTGATGACCTGTGGACGCCACCGACGACTAATGGACACCACCTGATGACCTTTTGACGCCACCGATGGCCAGTGGACACCACGTGATGACCTGTGGACGTCACCCGATGACCTTTTGACGTGACCCGGGCCCGAGTCTCCACGGACGCTGGTGTAACCAGCGTCGAACAGTGCGGGTTATGTCCCATTTAGTAAGCAGTGGGCATGAGTGTGGGCTGCAGCCGAATTGGTGGTCTTCCAATATGGAGCAGAGTAACGCCGCATCCGCGCGGACAAGCAGTTGTCTCTCTTTATGGTCGATCACTTAGCCGCCAGGGTTTCCAATAGAACCATTTAAAGACTGAAATTTGCTATCGGAGAGGACTGCATGCAAGTATGCGGTTTTAAATTGTCTGCGAAACAAGTATGCAAGTGCGGAAGAACGCGCTCTTTCGTGCTGAGACGGTCGTGCAATCTCGATCCTCCAGCCTCGTGTTTGCGCTGCCAGACAGGGATGTACACAGCATATGCGCAGACAATGGGCCTCCCACGAAGCCCCTTTCATCACCGTCATCTCGTTCATTTGCCGCAATGAATGGGTTTGGGGCGCAGAACGGGTCTAGATGCGGCTGGCATGACCCCGGCGCGTCGACACTAGGGCGCTCGGTGGTCGAGGGGTGGCTGGCATGACCCCGGCGCGTCGACACTAGGGTGCTCGGTGGTCGAGAGGTGGCTGGAATGACCCCGGCGCGTCGACACTAGGGTGCTCGGTGGTCGAGGGGTGGCTGGCATGACCCCGGCGCGTCGACACTAGGGTGCTCGGTGGTCGAGAGGTGGCTGGAATGACCCCGGCGCGTCGACACTAGGGTGCTCGGTGGTCGAGGGGTGGCTGGCATGACCCCGGCGCGTCGACACTAGGGTGCTCGGTGGTCGAGGGGTGGCTGGCATGACCCCGGCGCGTCGACACTAGGGTGTTCGGTGGTCGAGGGGTGGCTGGCATGACCCCGGCGCGTCGACACTAGGGTGCTCGGTGGTCGAGAGGTAGCTGGCATGACCCCGGCGCGTCGACACTAGGGTGCTCGGTGGTCGAGAGGTGGCTGGAATGACCCCGGCGCGTCGACACTAGGGTGCCCGATGGTCGAGAGGTGGCTGGTTTGTGCTCTTTTATTGCTCATTCATTCAAAGTTTACTTATTGAAGATGTGTCAGTTGTTATATTTGCGTTGAGTGACTTCAGTCATTTAAGATAGCTGTCACCATTTCTTGACTTGCGCGTTATTTCAACACCTGTCATGTGAAGCATAAATGTATGCGTGCAATGCGTTTCGCCATGCTGGCAGCAGTTTTACAGTCTCTTACCAACAGACACAGCGCACAAACCCGCGCACTGGCGTTGTTTTGGCCTGGGACAATTGGCCCAAAATACGTTATCGCTCGTGTCTGATTTGACAGTTAAAGCCTGCATTTCATTCTTGACCGCCATCTTATATGCAGACGCAACTTCGTGGCTTGGCGTATATTTTGATCTGTACGTGGCACCGTACCGAATATGAATACAGTACAATGCATTCCAAGTGTATCATATCATCAGGCTGTTCGTTGCCAGCGCGTTATGCACCACATGTGAGCCGGTCACCCTGGTAGGGGCCGGACATGATGAATAGTTAACCTTAATTAACCATTTTGATGGATACATTCCTTGTAGGAATGCACGCTGTAGAGGATGTGAAGTGACAAATTAGTGCTGTCGTTTAGAAAATAATTGTCTGGGATTGCATACGACCTAAAACAGTCGCTGGTGTCTGGGAAGTGCTGCAACTGCCGTTCGCTTGGTTGCATGTGGTCGCGTATTATTTGAGCTTGCCTTATTGTTCTAATTCCTTTGTTTTGGTCGAGCGTTAAGCTCGTAGGGAATGCAAAATAATGGTTAATGGCAAACTTGGGGTTGCTTTTGACGCTAAACAGCAAAACTGCACTCAGATTGACCATCACTATCTGCTTTGATATCCGGTATTTTCATTGGCCTTCTGCACTGTCTGTGGTACCTGCACCGCAATTTCCGCCCCGTTTGTGTCTGCGTGTGAGCTTTACACAGACTTTGGTTTCCATATCGTTTTTGATGGCTCACTGAGCCTGAATGGCATTGCCAACTGTTAAGTCAGTAGTTTAAACGGCTTTCTGAACACGGCTCGCGATGCTGAATATCATGTTCGCTCGTACATTTACCATGCGCTTCTCAATATGGAAATAAGCATTTGTACCATACGCAGAATTCAAGAACTTTTCCGCGGAAACGGCTCGCGCTCATCATTCAGCACTTGGGCGCGGGGCTGGTTATAAAATTTAGTGGTATTTGTGAACCAAGGCCATGCGATAAGCTATCCTCTTATCATCGATGCTACCGGTTGTGGTACCGGCAGCATGCCGGCTGATGAAGCGGTAATGTACCCTTTTTATAACTGACACAGAAATTGGTGGAGCCCTCGCCATAGGGGACTCCGTGACCCCAAGTGGGACACGGGCGCTCAGCTCCACACACCCGCCATGCGGGCTTCACCGCCATGCGTGCGCGCGGCTGGCGCGCGACGCTAGCGCCCCTGGCGATGTCTTGGCGCGGTACGTTTCCATCTCAGATCAGCATGACTTGCAATAACAGCGCCGTGTCAGGTCCCGGCTTCTTCATGTGAGGCGTGCGTTGTGGAACGTTTTCGATCGTTCAGAAACAGTGCAAGCATTTGGAGCTAGTTGCTTGTAAAGATGGGGGCGAAATTCCGCCGAGTCAAGTGGAGGTGAGCGGTGGATTACGTTTCCTCCATTGACGCATCTAATCGCCGCGCGCCGAAGCTCCAGCCATGAGGACCGTCGTTCGATGATGATGTTCCCCAAGAAAATACCATAGTATTTCCGATACAGGTATGGTATGAGGCGTGCAAGCAACGGTCAGAATTAGGGTTGATCCACACGAAACCTAGAACTGCATGCGATCCAAAATTAGTCGAGTTTGTCAGTAAACACTTGCTGTCACAGGTAGTCGAAACATCCGGATAAACACCACGTCGGGCGGCTGCCACAAACGTCATGAAGTAGGGCGGTAATGGGGCTTACGGCTCCCCCGCCGTTATTAACCCTGCTGCGTCCATCCAAACCAGCGGATGACCGGCACAGAGCCGGTTTGCGCGGAGCGGCTGCATTTCCTTCTGAGGAGCTGTCAGCCCAGGCCCCGGTCACCTTGGTTACCCTGCACAACATATATAGTTGTTGGACTCGGATGCCTCTCACGTGTGCAGCTTTCAGGGGTCCGAGTCCATGCGTGGCCGGGGAAGATCGGTGTCTGCGTATTGGCAGCAAGACAGCAAATTATGTCCAAAGCGATATGTTCCGTCTTATAATTTTGGCCCGTTGCTGAGGCATCAGTTCACTTCTGGGCAACATTCACGCGGAACTTACCCGTCTGCTTGGCCCGGGACGGGCCGGCCGCGCCACTGCAAGACACTGTAATTGTTCTTTTGTACACAGCGCTCGCTGATTGATGACGAGTGGCCGCCAGCCCGCGGGCCAGGTGAATAGCGTGCCATTACCTTCAAGGCCGAATTGGTCGCCGCCATGCGTTCGGCCTGTACTCGGCGCCTCTTCTCTCCCGCTCTCCCTGTCGTGATCTCTCTCTCTCTCTCTCTCTCTCTCATCTCTCTCTCTCTCTCTCTCTCTCTCTCTCTCTCTCTCTCTCTCTCGCTCTCTCTCCTCTGCTCCTCCTCTCTCCCCCTCTCCCCCTCCCTCCCTCCCTCCCTCCCTCCCTCCCTCCGTGCAGCCACAACTCCGCGCTCCCCACCCGATGCCACGCCGCCCTCGTCCGGCGGCGGCTGCCGGCAACGGCGCGTCTGAGCCTGCCCGGCCTGAAGGGCGACCAGCGCGCCGCCGCCACCGCCGGATCATCTGGTCTGAGCGAGCGCGTGCCGCCGGCGTCAGCAGGGAAGCCCTGCGCGCCAGCGGCTGGTTCAATAGGGGCTCACCAGCCGGCTGGCGGCCGCGGAGCCGCCACGGGCGGTCTGGGGTAACGCGACGCGGGCGGTCAAGCCGCAGAAGTAGCTGTTGGGCCATGAGTCATCCCTCCGCTGAGGCGAGCCGGTTGCAGTTCCAGGCTGGGCCGTGATCTTAGTCGTGAGCGACACGAATGCTGAGAGCTTGTTGCCAGCCATCACCGCTATGACGATATTGCAGCCCATCAAGGTGCTGCAATTTCGATGTCACATGCAGAAAGCTAGTTAGATATCTCGGTATTTTTTTTTTTTAGTCTTCCAACACGCCAGAGTGCTCCTGTTGTGACCGCATGGCAGTCATGGTGATTTTGACTTCACCGTCCGTGACCATAACACCGTGGAGATCGATCGAACGGTCGTTGTGTGCTACGCTCTGTGGTGGCATGGCCGCTCTGTTGATCCCGCTATCGACCCCGCCGCCGCCATGGTGCCCGCGCGGTCGGTCACACAAGTGTGCATGATGGCGCGGGAGTGGTCACACGGGTGTGCACGACGGCAGGACTGGGGTCACACCAGTGTGGAGTGTACATGCAACGGGCAGATCGGGCGCTGGTGAATTCGCCCCAGCTCAAGACCAGGGTGCGACCGGGAAGCTGGTTGATGTTGTGAATGATAACGCTTGTCATGAGACGGAGGCTGTCGGATGAGGAGCCGTTTATGGACGGCATGCGGCTGCTGTGGTGACCCGGCTGCCGGTCGCGCCGCTATGGGGACCCGGCGGCCGGTCACGCCGGCCGGTCGCGCCGCTGTTCTCGAGAGGGGCCGTTCACGCCGCTGACGACAACACCGACACCTCAAACGGCCGCGTTCTCTTGGCGTATTGTATCACGTCACGCTGAATATGCTCGGGGTTGCGGAGCGTCAGGCCAGCTGAGCACCAGCTGCCAACGGTTTGCGGGCGGCTCAGGAATGTATCGTGGAAGAGAGCTGTGATGTTTAATGCCATAGCTGCGGGATTAGACGAGTCGTGTGCTTTACTCTCTGGTTATCCTGCTACACTCTGCTCTCATGCTGCACGCAGATGGACCGGATCACGCCAGCATGGTTCATCGTGCTGAACACTGATCATAAGCCCCGGTCGAGGCCAGGCTGCCGGCGGATTGTTGCCGGGTTGTAGGGAAACCAACGAACACCACGCCGATCACACTGGAATAACCTGCAGGGCATATGACGAGTGCGAGACCGCTTCGCGTGTGTGTGTTGTTTGTGCGTGCCGGAAAATTGACCCCCTGAGCCTTTCTGTCGTCCCGTTGGTCGCGTTTCCCGCTTCTGACAGGGAGTGGCCCAGATAAGTGACGTTGCCCTGTCCGCAGCGATTTCTCGTGACTCTGATGTCGCGTTATTCAGGGAGGGGATGGATGGAGGACTGTAATCGCATGCTGCACACGATTGTTAATGCTGAGCGTAACTCACACCCTCCCGAAATAGTTCCGTCTTGTGTGGCGGCGTGGTGTGTTAGCATATCCAACGCTGGGATTAGTATCCAGGCCTCGATGTGCAGGCCGGAAATTGGCGCACCCTGCTCAGGGAATGATTTCTTACTGCGCTCAGGCACTGGGGAATAATACGGATAGACATGCCTGCGATGATACCCCACTAAGGATCACTTCTAGCTATTTAACCTGGAAGAGGAAATCTAAAGGAAGTGTTTTGAAACAAAATTTATCAATCGAAGCCAACCTGGTTACCGAACGGCACATGCACAACGCATGCAGACCGCTTAGACTGCAGACTCATGACCCTCCGGTCCCCAAAGGCTCGCCGCCGGCCTGGCCGTCGCCTCCGGCGGCGCCACGGTCAGAGGACCACGTCGACACCTCCCCGCGCGCCCGCCGACGCGGTGCGGGTGCAGGCCGCACCTGTAATGGCCACGCGCTCGTGGCGGGCGGCCGGGGCGGGAGCCCGTCGGTGATGTCCGAGTCACAGTGACGGGCGGCTTTGGTGGCGCCCGTCCCCGGCCGTTGCGCAACTTGCGGACATCGGACCGGCTCGGCTGCTCGGCGGCGCGGCGGCGCGGCGGCGCGGCGCTGGACGCCGCCGCTCATGTTACCGGACAGGGGCTGTGCGGCGACGCCGCGGCACGAGCGGCGAGTGGTTTCGCTCGCGGGGGTGCCGGAAGGAGGCCGGGGTCGGGTCGGCTCGGTGGCGGGTGGGCGACGCGCGCGGGGTGACCGACGTCTCGGACGGGCGGCGGCGCTGTCCGATGGTGACGTCATGGTCCACTAGGAGGGGTGACAGGTCAGAGCCCGGCCTGTCGTGATAGGCTCACGTCCTCGAGATAGCCGATAGCAGCTGGTGATGATGGGCGGACGGGACCGCCGCTCTACCTCGGACGCCATGTGGCGTTTGCTCCCGCTATTGACCTTGCCTTGCTTGGTTCGCGCCTCCCACCCAACCGTTAATGCGTGGCTAAAAAACTGATGAAATCGACAGCCATTTATAAGGGATTCGTTGTGAAAAGACGGCCGGACGGGACTTGACCAGCTCGCACTCGTGCTGCCGCCGCCGTCAGCCGCGTCACATCCGTCACCACGTCACTGTCACCGTCACTGGCGGCGCCCCAGCAGAGGCCAGCGTGAGTGCGGACACGGCCGCCGGTAGCTTGTTATGACATGGCTTCAATTCTGCGGTAAGCCACCGGCCTGCCAAGTCACGTGATCGACAAACTTGGGGGAGGGGCAGGGGGCGTCGGGGTCGGCGACCAGCCGACGTCTGACCATTGGGGGCGTTTTGGAATACGCCATTATCAAGTGACACGCTGGCTTATTCCAAGAAGGCCCGCTGGCTTATTCCAAGAAGACACGCTGGCTTATTCCAAGAAGGCCCGCTGACGAACTGCCTGCGGGAGGGTAGAGCAGCGCGCGGGACTGGGCGAGGCCGGTCTGCGGCGGCGGCGACGGTGACGCGGCCCGGGCCCGCGCCACGTCGGCCGGCGCGGCAGACCTCAGCACCGGATTCAGGTCTCGACGCGGAGCCGTATCGGCGGCTCCCTCAGTGCGGGTACAGATACCGCTATCGGCCGTGTTTGACAATCGGCCGCGGCCGCCAGCGTCGACCACCGACCTCGCGCCGCCCGGGCGCCGCTCTGCCACGCCTCACGCCTCACGGCTCATGGCTCATGGCTCATGGCTCATGGCTCATGGCTCATGGCTCATGGCTCACGGCTCATGGCTCGCGGCTCACGGCTCACGGCTTACGGATAGCGACTCCGGCTCACAGCTGACGACTCACGACTCACGGCTCACAGCTCACGGCTAACTACTCATGGATCACGGCTAACGACTCACGGCACGGCTCACGGTCGGCTCTGGCCGGACGTGGACGTCATTGACGTTACCTGCAAGTACCGTCTATAATTACAGGATAGGTCTACCGTCGTGTAGTCTAAAAGCAGACACGTGGATGCATGGGAACCGACGAGGAACCGCGGAAAAATGGGTTGACGAGAAACCAGTGCGTCAATGTCATTCGGGATAATTATGCAAGCAGTGGTGTCGGATTAATTGAAATCACTATTGAGCAACTCCGTTGCACTGCTTGACGAGCGTCGTCGACCCTAGCTGGATGGAAATGTTCAGGACATCACATTTTCTTTATTTACTTGGTTGAGGACGGAATGGCCATAGGTCAAGGACGCAAGTTCTGTCGTGTCTCTCGTGGCAGAAGTTCCCTCCTTTCATTTGATTATGCTGTGATGAAGATTCACAGAACCAATTCATTTTAGTTCACTTGCTGGTTGCTGATTATATTACCGCACCCTAGAGGATGCCGTTAAAACACGATGGAAGCCCGGTCCCCGGCGGCAGCACATGAGGAGGATAGGACAGAACCTACTGGCGAAACATACCATTCTCGAGTAATTTTGGAGGCTTTGAGCATGTTGAAACGTTCTCAGAATGCGTGACCGGACAGCATGGAGATAATGATGTAGCGACATGTAGTGGTGCTGGTAGTAGTAAGGTAGTGGTTGTCACGGTGACGGGTTTGATGTTCGAGTTATACCACTCGCGGTTGCTCCCAATGTGAAATGTTCCCAAGGTAAAATGTTCCCGATGTAGAATTTGATTTTGTGATCGTAAAGTGTGATTTTCAAGCGGATCTCTATTTTTAGCGTGTGTCTGTCTATTTTTAAATGGGTACGTAAATTGATACCTTTCTCAGACGACGTTTTAACTCAGCAGTTCACTCTTTTCGACCGCGAATTCCGGCACTCCAATTTTGGTCTAACCATGGTGATGGCGGATCCTTTCGCGGGGCCGCTCGGCCGGCAGCCGCTTCTGCCACGCGCCTGCATTGGCCGCCGACTAATTGGCCAGCGACGAGCCCTGTCCTGTGTCAGCGAGACAACGACCCTCGTCCATCGATGATGGAGAGCATAACAGCCCGGCGGCCGCGGTTCGCCGCCGCACAGGCCCTGCATCGCCACGCCTCACCGCCCTCCTCGGCGACCCCCGCCGGACTGGTGGGCACGGCAGGGCTGAGGAAGCTCCCCCCCCCCCCTCCCGGCACGGGGCGGGGGCGGACCGCGCCTTGCGACGGCCTCAGGGGCGGCGGTGTGGTGACGTCACGGCCTGCCGTTGCAGCTGTTCGCCGTGATTCTGCTGGCGTCGCAGCTGGGCTCGCTGATCTTCGCCGTGAAGCAGCACTCGGACGGCGCCGACATCCTCTCGGTGGACATCTACACGCCCGTCATCCTGTTCGTCACCATAGTAAGTCGCTTGGTCGCTTCTCGCCACCGAAGTAAGTCGCTTGATCGCTTCTCGCCACCGTAGTAAGTCGCTTGGTCGTTTCCCGTCACCGTAGTAAGTCGCTTGGTCGCTTCTCGTTGCGGTGGTAAGTCGCTCGGTCGCCTCTCGTCACCATAGTAAGTCGCCTGGTCGCTTCTCGTCACCGTAGGAAGTCGCTTGGTCGCTTCTCGTTACGGTGGTAAGTCGCTCGGTCGTCTCTCGTCGCTGTAATACGTCACTTGGTCGCTTCTCGTCAATGTAGTAAACTGGTCAATGTAGTAAAATGTATGTTACATGTAGTCAGTGTATGTGTAAAGTCGCTTGGTCGCTTCTCCGGCGGCCGGCGATGACAGCCGGCGGGACACGTTCCCTCGTGTTCTCATGCCACGTGCTGTCGGCTTTCATCCCGTTCGTCGCCGTAGGGCGCCCCAACAGCACGTACTGCGGTAGCGAAGCCTCGCAAGCGCACGCCTGAAATCCGCCACCGATGCCCGTATACATGGTTCCGACAGCGCACTGCCAGTGTCACAACTGCACGTGGCATAATCCGCCGCTTTCGCACTGTGACAAGCTGCACTCAGAGAGTGCCGCGGCGGCCCACTGGCCATCTGGTGCATCTCTTGTGGCAGCAGTAAGCCACTCGCAAGCCGTGGTCGCTTCCACGACAGCCGGCGAAACTGTCCTCTCCCGGCGGCGCCTAGCGCCCGGTGGTCCGTCTGCTCCTCTGGCCGACCCTGCGGGGCCGGGACCGCGTGGTACCCTCCGGGTGACCCCGTGATCCGGCGGTACCATGTGATCCCCGGGTGTGTCCCATGCGCTCGACGTGGTCCCGCCGCGACCAATGTGCTAATGTCCACCGGTTTGTGTTTGTGTTTGCTCGGCTCGGTTTGAACACGCCGGCGGCTGGCGTCTCGCTGTGGACCGGCACGCCAGTCCAGCCGTGACCGTTGATATTGGCACAGTGCAGTGCAGGACATGCACGGTATTTGCCTGCATGCGGATGGCATTCGCGATTCTCCGTCCAGGTCGACTGCACTCACGAGCCTCGCGGGCGGGGGCCGCGGCAGTGAATGGGCTCAACCCGGTTTTAAAGCCACTCGTTTCCATGCAGCGCCGTAAAGGCCCACGGCGTAGGAGCGCAGGAGCGCCCATGTCGAGCGCCGAGGCGGGAGGCGTAGGAGCGCAGGAGCGCCCATGTCGAGCGCCGAGGCAGGAGGCGCAGAAGCGCCCATGCCGAGCGCCGAGGCGGGAGGCATGGGAGCGCAGGAGCGCCCATGTCGAGCGCCGAGGCGGGAGGCGTAGGAACGCAGGAGCGCCCATGTCGAGCGCCGAGCCGAGAGGCGTAGGAGCGCAGGAGTGCCCATGTCGAGCGCCGAGGCAGGAGACGCAGAAGCGTCTATGGATTTCAGTATTCACCGAGCGGCAGAAACGCGCGGTGTGTTATCCGGCTCAGCATGACGGTGCAGGCAGCAGGAGAACCCGCACCTCTTAGCGTTGGCCGCCAGTTCAGCGGCCGGACCCGGCGTCCGGCCGGCGGCGTCTTTGTGATGCGCTGAGACGGTGTGTGCCGCCCCAGATAAGAATTGTGTTGGCCCTGACAGGCCCGGCCCGGCGCTGCTCTTCAGCGTCGCGCTGTCCGTGAGCGTGTGCGCGCGCCCCGGCCTCGAGGCGGGCTATCGGGGAGCGGGGATTATGTAACGTTCGTGCGGGGGACACTGAGCGCTGGCGTCGAGGAGGCATCGGCAGTGCGCACGCTTGACGAATCCGCAGCGCGTAGAGTGCGTTAAGTGGGAGTGGGTACGCCTTTTTGCGTCCGATTATTGAGCGCGTTGCCCCGGCATGATTTGTTGGCCGCGCTGACCGGTTTTGCCCCGCCCGGTTTTGCCCCGCCCGGTTCCCTGCGAAGGTCGAAGTGACGAGGGATGCGGCGCCCCTCCGGGGCTTGGCAGCGGCTCACGCCCGGCTGGCGTCCGCGGTCTCCAAACCAGGGACACTTCTCAGCGGATGCTCAGTCATATTTTGCGTAAATTAACGCCCAGGCTGGCATCGATAATGTCGAAGACAACGTCATAAGCGTAGACAAGAATTTTGTAGAATAATCCGTGGTGTCTCTCCATTTTGGTTTAGGCCTGCCACTGCGTCAAGTGACGTGTCAGTTTCCGAAAGTGTTCAGATGACTCATGTGTTGCTGACAATGCACAATACTACGCGGGGCCGGCAGATTAGCTTTCCCGGACCGAGCCCAAGTCTCACTTCCTGCCTCAGGCCGAATGTTCAGTGCAGAAATGCAACCGCAACCAAGGTGAAGGAAAACTATTCCGGCCCAAATATGGTGTACTTTTAACCAGGTTGACAAGCTGTTTTTGTGTGCCTGAACCTCGGTACAAAATTATAACCATTCTGCCTAGCACACTGGGATTGTCACATCGGGGGAGCAAATCATGGGGAGACAGAGTATTCAGTCTAGCCGTAGTAAGGAGGCGTAATCTACGACCATCGTCGTGATCAGCACCGAGACTTTCTTAAAATGCACCACTCTACCACAAATGCTATTCATCTCCAAACGCTGCTCTCGAGTGGTGTTTAAGCGCATGCAGCAAAAACCGCAGTCAGTACAAATTCCAGTCGTCTGGTTCGAATAACTGTTCGCGCGTGATTTGTCGAGATATTTAGAACCGCAGTCAAAAATGTTTTCCCGGATAAAAGCAGTTGGCGACATGCGTTTCCCCACGCACGCACGGTAATGGAAAAGGGATATCCCAGCAGGCAGACGTCTCATCGTGACTTACCACCAAGTAAGTTACCGTCATTGCTTGTGCATTTTTACACTCTGAAAGTAAATATACTTCGTGTGAGTCTTGCAATTTGCGGAAACGAGCCGGTAACCGGTAGCATCGGAATATTTTTTTTATTTTTTGTTTGCCTAGCAGTAGAGCAATCAGTCACCATTGTGTCAGCACTGATATTTCTGCCAGGTAACAGGGACCAATGTGACAATTGCAACAATGACTTGTGATGGCTAACACGGCACAAATGTTACTATCTGCACCTCATGTCAACACAGCTATGAATGCTGTCTCGGTTTGCATGGTAGCTCCGTGGAGTGAGCGGTGTTCGCTGGCACCGGCAGCAGCGGCGGCGGGTGGTGGTCGGCCGGGGGCGCCTGAGGTCAGATGTCAGTGGCCACCTAACGGTCCACGAGCTGCAGAAGTCAGCGGCTGTATGCGGCGCCTCCAAACTCCCTGTATCTCGACCCCTGGTCACCTCGACTGACCCCTGGTCACCTCGTCTGACCTCACCCCGGCTGACCCCGGCTGACCTCTTGTCACCCTCGACGAACCCGGCTGACATCACCCCGACTGACCTCTGGTCACCCCGACTGAAATGTCTGTTTGCCTATTTGTTGGCTATTTGTCGACGACTCGGTCATATTTGTCCATTACCGCCGGGTCTACCACCATTCGGCAAAACAAGCGCGGATACCAGCACGCCCCGGAGCACCAGGTCGCGTGCCGTCCCGCGCGATGTGCGGGACGAGACGAGGGCCTGGCTGGGAGTTGGCGGTGTCGTGTCGGCATCCCTGGACGCTATCGACCTCACCGCCGGTGGACAGGGCCCCTGACAGGGCAGGGTAGGGCAGGGCCCCTGGTGTGTCCGCGGGCCCTCCCCTGTCCGTCCGCAGGCCTCACACTCGGGGCGTTCGTGGAACGCGCCGGGCGCGAGCGGACAGTCTGTCCGTGATGGCGGGACCGGATCGCGCGCTCGCGCTGCTCGTGACACTGCTGAGTGAGCATGATGATGATAGCGATTGTTGCAGCTTTAAGACGCACCGACGTCGGAGGTTACTTGGCGCCCGGCTGGGTGGGGAGACATCCGCCACGGGAAGTTGACTCACGGCGTCTTGCGGGGCGAGGTGGGGGGGGGGGGGGGGGGGGGCGTAACTGGACGCGTTGCATAACGTGGTGTCAATGCGCAGTCTGCAGCGAGCTGCTGTCTCATCTCTTGGGTCGCTCGCGTTCCAAGAAGGCCAGGCTGGTCCACTTGGAGACCTGCTGTTTTGCTGTCATGCGCCCCGTTTCCGTGTGCAGTCTCAGTTACGACTTACGATGTGTGCCGGTCGTCCAGCGCAGAGCGAGGCCGACCGTGTGGATCGCTTCTGGATCCATCAGAAGTTTGGTGTTGAGGCCCACCGTCATAACCGAGCCAGTCGCGTCGAGCAAGGCCGCTGTCCGAGCAGGACGTCGGGGGCCGGCAGCAGTGGGAGATGTCGGAAGGGTCCCCAGGTCGACAGGCCGTGTGCAGAGCGGGGAGGTACGCCAGAGGCAGTGCGCTGTCTCGACCCCGACGCCGTCTCCTCAGGTCCCGCCCCCAACATCTACCGCAGTACACCCGAGCGACGCCGGCAGCTGCCGCCTGCCGGCCGACCCGTCCGCGGCCGAGGCGGCTGCCCCCCCCCCCCCCCTTCGTCATGCGCCGCAGCCCCCGGAGACGAAGACGTCGGACCGTGTCCCGGCCCAGATGCCCGCTCGCCGACCCAGCGCCGCGCCGTTTTTGTGCCGGCGCGGTGCGACGAGGCGGCGGCCGTGGGCTGACGCGGCCACGTTATCAACGGGCCGACCGTGTTTTGTGCGTGCGCGCACACTATCTCGCCGCCCGGACTCCCAGCTCATCACGGTTCCTAGCCGCTCCGTATCGGGGCCACGTGGCGCTCTCGGACTGAGACGGCCCGACCCGTGGGGTCATCCGCCGACGCACGCAGTCTGCATCGGGTGCCATATGGTCAGACCCGGCCTGAGAACGAGCACCGCATGCAGTGACTTGTGATGCTGACGCGCCGATCACACTCAGAGCGAGAAGCAGCATATGAACAGTGTTGCTGCTATGTGAACCGTTAGCGTGGCACGCCACGTGTAGTGGGCAGGCTTTTTCGCTGTTATTATTTTCGGCAGCGACCGGCACCATGGCTTGATACTCTTTGTGTCCCTTCGCGACTTGCATCGCATTGCATACGCAGATGTGCTGAATGCAAGGGCGGGCACACATCAGAGGCCATGTTACGATCATCGCTGTGCAGCTGCACGGCCGCCGTGGTCGCGCGGCCAACGTTTTGGCCGCGTGTGGCCGGCTGGCGGCTGCCTGTGCGGCGCGCCGGGGTCTCCGGCGAGCCGAGCCGTCGCCGGCACCGCTCGGCCGCCCGAGTTCCCGCCGTTTCCCGACGCGCGCCGGCCGGCTCAAGGTCGCCGGGGCCAGTCGGCGGTCATCCTTTCCCCAGGCGGCGACCGACCTGCGGAAGCGGTGAAGCGGTGCGCCCGCCGCGGGGTCTTGCGCCGGGCTGCATCGCTGACGCCCGACGGTCCGTGATGGTTGGCGTATGGGCTGTCCGGCCCAAGCCGACACCGACACGGCTTGTCATGACGGGCCGGGTTCACTGTTGGAGTAGGGGGGCGGCACGCCACACCTCGGGTAATGCGGAACAGAGGCCGGCCTGACCGCGGCTTAGTGAAGCTGCGACTGCGGTTCCCGCTCCGGCCAGACAAGCCGCTGTGTGGCACGACTGTCTGAGCCGGCGCCTCACTACGGAACCGTCGAGGAAAACCCAACCAACAAACAAACGGAATGTAGCCGGTGCCAGATTGCGCCTTAGCGCGCCCCAAAAGTCGATGCACGAGACTTGCAGCGAGACCGTGCCGGGAGGAGCGGCCAGCGCGTGTCCTCCGCTGTCGGGCCCGCCTGTGAGCCGCCTCTCGTCGAGCCGCCAACGTCCTGGCGACGCTGGCGAGCTCCGAGCGCTCCGGCGCGGCACGGACGCGCCGGGCCGGCGCCGGCATCGCGGCGTCGAAGGCGGGCCCAGCCTCGAGACGGCAGGCCGCCGCCAGGCCGGCCAGGCGGCGCACGCTGCCGCCGGTCCGTGTGCGGGATGCGGTGCGCGCGCGCGCGGTGTCTGAGCGGGCTCGATTGCCCGCCCAGGGTCGGGTGGAGGGCGCCGCCCGGAGGGCGGCAGATACCGGAGAGGGCCGGGTCGTGTTGACCGGCCAACCGACCGACAAACAGACGCGCTGCGAGGACGACGACGCGCTGCGAGGCTGCTGAAGGCAGGCGTGTTGAGCGAGGGATCACGAGTGCGCCGGTGTTTTTCTTTCGTTGTCGAACGCACTCGACTTTTGTCCGATCTGTCCGATTGTCCGACGACGTCTTGCTGTTCTAGCGGGCGAAGTATCTCAATGAGGACATCTGTGAGATATGATGGTGTGCTGCAAGGAGGCGAGACATTTGACAAAAGCATACGCTGAAGGTGTACAGGACAATATCGGCGCTCATCATTCGAGATATGTTCGTGTATCTCACTGACTTGGTGCCAGCAAAGGAACCCTTTGAGAAGTGATGTACGCGCGGCGCGAGGTGGTTGAGTTGCTGTGATGTGCTGCTGATGCGATTCTAAAGACGAATTAGTGTCGGGTGGGGCATCGGTGGTGCGATTGGTGCGTGTTCTTATCAGAGACTACGTTTTCACCTTTTCTGCATCACCAAACGACAGCACTGCAAACCTAATCGAGTCTGATGCGTCACCTGGCGAAGAGAGGGGTCAAGTGCGGCGGGCTGTCCTCACCGGTGGCCAGCGTGAGGGTCCGTGCTGGCGAGCCGGCGCCCGGGGCGTCCCCTGGGACTGGCCGCGCGCCGGCGGAAGTGGCCGCGCACCTGGCCGGGCGCTGCGGCTCTTCCGGCCGGCCTCTGGCGCCGCCGCCGCTGCTGACGCCGACTGGCGCCCGTAACGAGTGATGGTTCACACCGCCACCTCGGCCGCTGGGGGGGGGGGGGGGGGGGCGTCACCGCGGCCGGCCTCTGGCGCCGCCGCCGCTGCTGACGCCGATTGGCGCCCGTGACGAGTAATGGTTCACACCGCCACCTCGGCCGCTGGGGGGCGCCACCACGGCCGGTGGGCGGCAGGAGGGCACACACTGCTGGCACGCGGCCGCTGGTGGCCGGCGTGGACGCCGTGACCCTGCTGGCCGAGCCGGGCCGGACTACGCTTACGAGGCTCGGAACGCTCTCAATGTTTCAGACCCCTGTCATTTGTTAACGCGTGGACTTCGTTGTGGCGGTGTGAGGACAGGCGGAGAAGCCGGGAATGATCCGTGACAGCTGCTGTAGACCCATGGTGATCGGCGGCGGGGGGGAGGGAGGGGTGAGGGGGGCGTCACACACCACCGCAAATCTGCCGACAGGTGACGAAGGTTTGGCACGGTTTGGATTCTCGCTGGTGTTGTGCGGACAGGCAGAATGACATTGATGGCCTTGCTGGTGTTTGGTCGTGATGAGACCGTGTTCGCGCCGTATTGTGGGCCAACCTGGAGTGCCGGGATGTCCGGACGTGGCCCCGTTCGTCATCCAACTATCAGCTACCCTCCTTTTCCCGCTGGCGGCCGGCGGACGTTACATCGCCGTTTTCTGCCTGCGCTGTTGTCTCGCGACGTCCCGGCTGAGTTCGACACACGCGCGCACACACACACGCGTGTTCATGCGCACATACACGTACGCACGCGCGCACACGCGCTCACGCACGCACGCACGCACGCGCGCGCGCACGCACGCCCCGGCGTGCGCAGCGGTGTCCGTGACGGCTGTGGGAGAGGAGGAGGGGGGGGGGGGGGGGGAGGGGGCACGGACGGCGCTCCCCGTTGTGACGCTCGCCGCTCGCCTGCACTTAAGCCTTGGGCGGGTTATAACCATGACAACAGGTCGAACTGAAACCGACCGCGCGACGGCTGCAGTGTCCTGGGGCCAGGTGTGGGAGGATGGTACTGGAGGCCTTGCGTCTGTAGTGGTGTTGTGGTGGATAAAACAAGAGGTGTACCGCCCGTCGCCAATCTTTAGAGTTGTGGATGGCGCTTGATACCTCGGAATTCGGAGCCATCACTCAGCTTTTAGCTAGAGTTCATGTCACGGAGCTCGAGCGACCCCCCACACAAGAGCTGCTAATCGTACATCGAGTGCTTGTCAACATGGGCCCTGTTTGGTCCTCTGCAATGAATCACCAAAAGTCGCAGACATTGTTAGCCTCCACGCAGTACATACGTTAGCCAACGTGCTTGGTGATAGTTATAACGCAGTTTGGATGTGGAGTGCCAAAAGTGTGCTATGTTTCCAACCTGATGTCATGTTGCATGTGCCGTCGTCATGCCTGTGCAGTTCTGTCGTTCTGGTCACCCCGTGTCACGTGCTGAGAACGTATCATCGGTCATGGATTACGGGTCGGCTACCGCCGCAGGCTGGTCCGACACCGGTAGCGGGGCACGCGAGTATCGCCGCCCCGGCCCCGGCCCCGACCCCGGCCCCGGCCCCTGCCTCCTGCCGCTCGTAGGTCTCAAGTTCGCCGCCAGAGCGCCGGTCTCCTTTGACTCGCCGGGCCGTTTTGTGATTCAGCGATCGGTCCCAGCCGCGTCAAACTAAGCCGCTTATGTCTAGAAGCCGTGCACCCGCGCCTCTGCGGCTGTTGCGCCGCGGTGTCTGACGTCACCGTTCCCGCGTACGAGCGATTTTTCACCGCGTCGCTGCCGCTGACCGCCGGCCGCCGTGTTTCTCCGCAGGCACTGGCGCTGATCTTCATGCTGTTCGAGAAGCGGTGCGGCATCCGCACGTCAGGCGTGCTGTGGCTGTTTTGGACGCTGCTGACGGTCGGCGCCGCGCCCGAGTTCCGCACGCGCATCATGAACGCCACGGGCGAGGTAAGGTGGGGGGCTGTCACGCGGTGTGTGGGGAACGGAGGGACATGGACGCCACGGGCGAGGTGATATGGGACTGTCACGCGGTCTGTGGGGAACGAACGGGCATGGACGCCACGGGCAAGGTGAGATGGGGCTGTTACGCGGTCTGTGGGGAACGGACGGGCATGGACGCCACGGGCGAGGTGAGATGGGACTGTCACGCGGTCTGTGGGGAACGGACGGGCATGGACGCCACGGGCGAGGTGAGATGGGACTGTCACGCGGTCTGCGGGGAACGGACGGGCACGGACGCCACGGGCGAGGTGAGATGGGACTGTCACGCGGTCTGTGGGGAACGGACGGGCATGGACGCCACGGGCAAGGTGAGATGGGACTGTCACGCGGTCTGTGGGGAACGGACGGGCATGGACGCCACGGGCGAGGTGAGATGGGACTGTCACGCGGTCTGTGGGGAACGGACGGGCATGGACGCCACGGGCGAGGTGAGATGGGACTGTCACGCGGCCACCTGCACCGTGAGTCAGCTAAATGTGTTACCTGCGCTCGTCCGACAGGAGACGAAATCGCAAGAGACGACAATGTTCGTCCTCTACATGGTCTACTTCCCCGTGTTATTCGCCGAGTGGTTCCTCAACTGCTGGGCGGACGCGCCGCCGCAGCACGTCGAGGACGAGATCAAGGGGGACGTAAGTACTTGGACGTGGAGGGGAACGGTAGCGGTGGAGAGGCGCCAGGAGGCATGCCCGTACACTGTGACGGAGGCAGCGAATGGCGGCGACAAAAGGATCAGGTCGGGAGACCGTTGACAGTATATGATCTGCCTGTGCCATTGGGCGTAGGCCAATAATTTCGTTGCATTTTTTTCTGATCAATGCCCACATTTAGTGTGTCCATTGGTGACTTGTTTTGCTCGACGTGGGGGGGGGGGGGGGGGGAGAGAGTATCTCCTCCAGCCGGAGTGTTTTTGTCCTCCAGTGTGCCTTCAGGGTGATGGCTGGACCTCTACCACCCTGGCTGACTGCACCCGTGATTCATCTTGGCTTGATTTGATTTGATTGATCTTCTCAGGATGCTGACCGTATCCCCCTCCCCACGGACCCTCTCTCCCGCCCTCTAGCGATGCTGACCGTCTTTTGCCGCGGGTACCGTGTGTACCTCCCTCAGGTGACGTCCGTTCCTCCCGCGGGTGCCATATGTACTTCCCCCAGGTGCCAGTACCTCCCCAGATGCCGGCTGTACATCCCCGGGTGCCGTGTGTGCCTTCCCCGGATACCGTCTGCACCTGCCCCGGGTGCCGTCTGTAGTTCCCGCCGGTGCGGTCTGTACCTCCTGCGGGTGCCGTCCGACCTGCCCCGGGTGCTGATCACACCAGCCTGGCTCCCGGCAGCGGCCGTCCCCGAAGGCAAGCTCGTCGTTCATCAGCGACATCACGTTCGCCTGGTTCGAGCCGATGGCGTTCCGCGGCTGGCGCAAATCGCTGCAGCGCGAGGACCTCTGGGACCTGAACCCTGCCGACCGCTGCTCGCGCATCGTGCCCATCTTCAACGGCTTCTGGCACAAGCTGCTCGAGAAGAGTCGGAGGTGGGTGCCGGCCGGCCGGCGGACCGCAGCCGGCGCGGGAAGACGGCGGCCAGGCCAGGACCAGTCTGGCTCGGTGCAGCACGCGAGACGGGTCGGCGGGCCGCCGATCCGCAGGCGTAGGGCGGTTGGCGAGACATTTTTTCATGTTTCGAGGATGAGAGGCGACCGTACTGTGCAGGCCTCCCTCGCTGCAAGGCGGGAAACCTGAGTGAACAGATTGGCGGGCCGTAGCGTGGTCGCAGTTGCCAGATTGAAGAAGAGTTGGTTTGTTGCATGGTTTGAAACATCAAAACCATCATGTAAGGTATCGTTTTCTACTCTACGGGTTTGAGTCTGGCATGTCGAGAACTGGACCGCCGGCGCATTGCACTGATCAGGTCCCAGCCAGCGGGGGGGGGGGGGGAGGGGGAGGGGGGCACGCGGCGGAGCGGGCCGGGCGCCAGGCGTGGGCAGCGGATAATCGATCCGTGTTGTGCCCAGTGGATGCGCTCACGGGCGGCGGCCGAACAGTCAGACATTCTTTTGCCACCTGGCGCGTGGCTCAAACACAGCCGGCGTCCAACACGATGCCGTCTGGCCACGACCCGGCCTTTTAGCGAATAACCAGGCGAGTCGCGAGCCATGGAAAATTACGTCGCGAGCACTCCTGCTTTGCTTGGCCAGTGACGTTTTGATACGGTGTGAAAAGGCTTGCTGCGGTCCCGCCTGTGGCCGAACGAAGCCGGGATAGAGGCGGCTGGGGCGGGCCGTCGCCGCTGTCGCCGTCATCAGCGGCTATAAATAGTGGCTGAACAACATGGCTGGTCCGCTGAGCGCAGCGGCGGCCGGCCAGCCCGCGTCGGTGCCGACGCCGATCGCAACCGGCTGCCGTCGCCGCTCACCTCACACTCTCACGCGGGCTTGTCACCGCTCACCTTACACTCTCGCACCGTTCCTTCGCCGCCCATCTCACACACCTACACAGGCTCCTCACCTCTCACCTTACACTCTCGCACCAGCTCTTCGCCGCCCACCCCACACTCTCACGTAGGCTCCGTGCCGCTCACTTCACACTCTCACATGGGCTCCTCACCGCTCAGCTGCTCACCTTACACTCTCACGCTGGCTGTTCGCCGCTTACGTCGCACACTGGCTCTTAGCAGCTCACTTCACACTCTCACACTGGCTCCTCGCCGCTCACCTCGCACTCTCACACTGACTCCTCGCCACTCACCTCGCACTCTCGCACTGGCCCGTCGCCCCTCACCTCACACTCTTACCCTGGCGTCTGGCCGCCGACCTCTGACTGGTGTGGGACGGGGATGCCGAGGATGGTCGCAGTCGGCAATGCACGTGCCGGGTGCGTGTGCCGCGCTATTGGAAACTGCTATAGACATCCCCAGTGTTGGCAAGTCTCCCCGCTCCGTCGTCGCCGTGCCGCTTTTATGTGGGGGGGGGGGGGGGGGGAGAGGGGGCGAACCGACATCATCGATCACGGTCTGTCTGGCTCGTCGCCGCTTTGAACTTGGGCGGAACAAAGAGCGCTTCGGACGCTTCTGCGGCGCGACGTCACCATCCGCGTGACGTGATGTGACGTCACGTGTGGACGACGCGGCTGGTGTGACGTCACAATAGACCCCGGGTCTATTGTACGTGCGTGTGTGTGACGTCACGGTTTTGGTGGTGTCTCCCCTGTCAGTGTGTGCGACGCCACGGTATTGTCTCTACCGGCGTTGTGTGCCTGACCGGCCGCCTGTACCGCAGGGAGTTCTGGGACCAGTTCGGGTAAGACCCCGTCGGTGTCGTACTGTGACGGCTGTGTTCAGTTGCGCGCTCCACCGAACCCGGCCGCCGGCCGGGCGCCGCCCCTGCGCTGCATGCGACCGCGGTCCTGACCCGACCCTGGCGAGCCCCGCCTGTACAGAGGGTGCACCGCGGCCGGCGGGGGGAGGGGGGGGGGGGGGGGGCGCCCGCCTCTGCCGTGGATCCGGCCCCGCCTGCGGCCAGAGCATGTGTGATACGGTGGAGCCGGAGCCTGCGACTGGTGGCATCGCCGTCGGCACTGCCGCATGCTGGCGTCCAGGCGCGAGACTCGTGGTCTTGTCAGCAGCTCACTGGCATTGCGCCGCTGTGCCAACGTCTGCCTGGGCATGAATTGCCCCGACGTTGTCCATGGCACATACTATGGCCCAGGCCGGTGGGGACGGCATCTGGCTCGTAGAGATGTAAACACATTTCTTAGAATTGCCGCGGTGCGCCACTGGACTGCGTCATGCGATAGGTGTCCAAAGTACATCGTAACCATAGTGGCTCATGCGTTCCTTTCGCGCATGGTGTTGGTTTCGATCTCACATGCACAAACACCATCCTCGTACTGGTTGTTTTGTGACGCATTCAGTTGGTAAGCAAACATGCTCGAACCAGTTCTCCTGCATTATAGACCCAGCTCTTGCGTACACGTTTGGATACGGGCGCCGGCTTCCGTGCACCCATGCTGACACTCCGCCTTCGGGCTGATCGGAGAGCGCTGTCATGCAGCTGGCCCGGCTTCAGCCGGTGGCTCCTTAGTTGGTCAGGCCTGGCTTCAAAACCTGCACAGGCCCGAGACATCTTGTCCCGCTTCGATCGTGTCCCGGCCAATGACTTCACGTTCGCGCCGAGTGTACGGCGATTCCTGACGCTCCGTCTGCTGACGCCGTGTCCCGCTGACCCCCGTCCGCTGACGCTGTGTCCTGCTGACCTCCGTCCGCTGACGCCCTGCTGACCCCCGTCCTCGGACGCCGTGTCCCGCTGACCTCCGTCCTTTGGCGCCGTGTCCCGCTGACCTCCGTCCTCGGACGCCGTGTCCCGCTGACCTCCGTCCTTTGGCGCCGTGTCCCGCTGACCCCCGTCCTCGGACGCCGTGTCCCGCTGACCTCCGTCCTTTGGCGCCGTGTCCCGCTGACCCCCGTCCTCGGACGCCGTGTCCCGCTGACCTCCGTCCTTTGGCGCCGTGTCCCGCTGACCTCCGTCCTCGGACGCCGTGTCCCGCTGACCTCCGTCCTTTGGCGCCGTGTCCCGCTGACCTCCGTCCTCGGACGCCGTGTCCCGCTGACCTCCGTCCTTTGGCGCCGTGTCCCGCTGACCCCCGTCCTCGGACGCCGTGTCCCGCTGACCTCCGTCCTTTGGCGCCGTGTCCCGCTGACCTCCGTCCTCTGACGCCGTGTCCCGCTGACCTCTGTCCTTTGACGCCGTGTCCCGCTCACCCCCGTCCTCTGACGCCGTGTCCCGCTGACCTCCGTCCTTTGGCGCCGTGTCCCGCTGACCCCCGTCCGCTGACGCCGTGTCCCGCTGACCTCCGTCCGCTGACGCCGTGTCCCGCTGACCCCCATCCTCTGACGCCGTGCCCCGCTGACCTCCGTCCTCTGACGCCGTGTCCCGCTGACCTCCGTCCTCTGACGCCGTGTCCCGCTGACCTCCGTCCTTTGACGCCGTGTCCCGCTGACCCCCCTCCTCTGACGCCGTGTCCCGCTGACCCCCCTCCTCTGACGCCGTGCCCCGCTGACCTCCGTCCTTTGACGCCGTGTCCCGCTGACCCCCATCCTCTGACGCCGTGTCCCGCTGACCTCCGTCCTTTGACGCCGTGTCCCGCTGACCCCCATCCTCTGACGCCGTGTCCCGCTGACCCCCGTCCACTGACGCCGTGTCCCGCTGACCCCCGTCCACTGACGCCGTGTCCCGCTGACCCCCATCCTCTGGCGCCGTGTCCCGCTGACCTCCGTCCTTTTCCGCCGTGTCCCGCTGACCTCCGTCCTTTGGCGCCGTGTCCCGCTGACCCCCGTCCGCTGACGCTGTGTCCCGCTGACCTCCGTCCTCTGACGCCGTGTCCCGCTGACCTCCGTCCGCTGACGCCGTGTCCCGCTGACCTCCGTCCGTTGACACCGTGTCCCGCTGACCGACAGCCGGGCGCCGCCGCGGGTGCAGAAGGTGGAGTTCACCAAGGGTACTGATGATGTGGCGTTCAGCGGCCAGCGGCGGGCCTACAAGCGGGCCTCGATCCTGCCGGCCCTGGTCAGCACGTTCGGCGGCTGGTTCGCGCTGGGCGTGATCCTCAAGTTCGTTTATGACACGCTGCAGTTCGTCAACCCGCAGATCCTCAGGTGAGCTGGCCTGACAGCAGGCAGGCAGTGTGCTTCTGTTCGGCATGCAGCATACGTCTTTCAGTTTATTTTTTGACACCGGCCTTGAATGGTAGGTCGGTTTTAGGCTATCGGTACATAAAGTCACGTCTGGATATTTTCTCCATTTCGCCGTCGTCGCCACGGCAACTTTATAACGCACTCAACCGCTGAGGCCGTATGGCACTGCCCACCTTTCAGCCTGGCAGGGAGGGCAGGCACCGCGGGGAATCGAACCTCGCACCTCTGTTTGTCTCCATGCCGTGGCACTACGCCTGTCTGGGACGGGCGCAACCATGTCGCGCCGTCCGCGCCGACCGTTTACCGTCAGGCGGCAGCCGGCGCCCGGGTTGTGGCCGGGACCGGCCGACTCGGCCCGACTCCGCCCTGATCTGATCAGTACTCGGTGTGCCGCAGCAAGATCATTGGCTTTGTCGGCGACTCGAGCCAGCCCGTCTGGCACGGCTACTTCTACGCTGTGCTGATGGTGTGTGTCAACATGCTGATGTCGGCCGTGCTCAACCAGTACTTCCTGGTCATGATGACCACGGGTATGCGGCTACGTACGACGCTCATCTCTGCCGTCTACAGGAAGGTGGGTGGGCGGCCGGCCGGGCCGACTGCCGCCGCCGCCAGGTGCGACGCGTGCCGACGGGGCCCGCCCGGGATAGTGATGGGTCGGTTGGAGGGGGGGGGGGGCGGAAGGGGGAGGGGTGGAGGAGGGGGCACACGTCGTCGGTGTGTGGGTCCGCTGTGACCGACTTATTGTCGCGATCACCAGTCGTACCAGCGGCGCCAGCGCTGGCCAGCGCTGGCGAGTGCCGAGCCGGGCGTGTCGAACCGAGTGCGGCGGGCAGCCGGTGCTGTCGTGCCGCGGCTCCTCCCCGCCCGGCGAACGGTGCTGACGCCGGCCGGCCTGGCAGGCGCTCGTCATCAGCAACCTGGCGCGCCGCGAGTCGACCGTCGGCGAGATCGTCAACCTGATGGCGGTGGACGCGCAGCGGTTCATGGACCTCACCTCGTACATCTGCCTGCTGTGGTCGGCGCCCTTCCAGATCTGCCTCGCCATCTACTTCCTCTACCAGGAGCTCGGTGAGAGAAGGGCGCCCGCTGCTCGCAGCGGGGCTCACCGGCGCCGAAGGTGGAAGGGTGGTCGGTCTGTGGAGCGGGTGTCGCTACTGGAAGCTCGTGGCCGTCTGTGGTGGACCGGGCGTGGCTGTCTGGTTTGCTTCGTCAGCCTCACATCATTGTGGTCCGGCAACACGTCCGGATAGCACATCCTTCCTGGCTGTAGCGAAACGGAGCCCTCTCCGGCCCTAACGCACTGGAACCCCCCCCCCCCCACCCGGTTGTAGCGTACCTCCTCGGCTGTAGCGTACCGCCCCGGCTATGGCGTACCTCCCTGGCTGTAACCTACCTCCCTGGCTGTAGCTTACCTCCCGGCTGTAGCGTACCTCCCCGGCTGTAGCGTATTCTCGGCTGTAGCGTACCTCCCCGGCTGTAGCGTACCTCCCCGGCTGTAGCGTACCTCCCCGGCTGTAGCGTATTCTCGGCTGTAGCGTACCGCCCCTGCTGTAGCGGACGTTTTGTGCCGTAGCGTACCTCCCCAGCTGTAGCGTATTCTCGGCTGTGGGGTACCTCCCTGGCTGTAGCGTACCTCCCCGGTTGTAGCGTATTCTCGGCTGTAGCGTGCCTCCCTGGCTGTAGCCTACCTCCCGGCTGTAGCGTACCTCCCCGGCTGTAGCGTATTCTCGGCTGTAGCGTACCTCCCTGGCTATGGCGTGCCTCCCTGGCGGTAGCTTACCTCGCGGCTGTAGCGTACCTCCCTGGCTGTAGTGTATTCTCGGCTGTAGCGAACCTCCCCGGCTGTAGCGAACGTTTCGTGCCGTAGCGTACCTCCCCAGCTGTAGCGTATCTCCCCGGCTGTAACGGACGTTTCGTGCCATAGCATACCTCCCCAGCTGTAGCGTATCTCCCCGGCTGTAGCGAACGTTTCGTGCCGTAGCGTACCTCCCCAGCTGTAGCGTTTCTCCTCGGCTGTAGCGGACGTTTCGTGCCGTAGCGTACCTCCCCAGCTATAGCGTATCTCCCCGGCTGTAGCGGACGTTTCGTGCCGTAGCGTACCTCCCCAGCTGTAGCGTATCTCCCCGGCTGCGACGGTCGGCCCCGACTCTGCCGGTGCCCGCTGACTCAGTCCTCCGACTCCAGGCCCCTCCGTGTTTGCGGGCCTCTCAGTCATGATCATCCTGATGCCCGTGAACGGGATGATCGCCAACGCCACCAAGAAATTGCAGCTGCAGCAGATGAAGTACAAGGACCAGCGCGTCAAGCTGATGAACGAGATCCTGAGCGGCATCAAGGTGAGCCCCGAGCGGCGCCGCGCGCCACGCCGGTGGTGTCTGCGGAGCGCGGGCGTCGGCGCGAACCCCCTGGGCGACACAGGGGGGGGGGGGGGGAGGGGGGGGAGTGCGCCGCGTCTACCCTGCTCCTGATGTCGCCCGCCGCCGCCGACGCCAGACAGGCGCCCACCCGGAACGCGGGCGTCATCGTGGCGCCGGCCGGCCGGCTGGCGGTCTGGTGGCCTGGTAGTGTCCGTCCGACCGCCCTGAGGCCCGTCACCGACCGCCGTCTGCCGTGCCGTCCGCAGGTGCTGAAGCTGTACGCCTGGGAGCCGTCCTTCGAGCAGCAGGTGCTGGACATTCGGAGCCAGGAGATCCGCGTGTTGCGCAAGACGGCGTACCTGAATGCTGGCACCTCCTTCATCTGGACGTGCGCACCGTTTGTGGTAGGTGGCCGCCGCTGGACGGGAACAGACGGCGCCGATGGGGCACTGGGGGGGGGGGGGGGGGGATGGTCCGGTGACTGACCTGTGTAGGGGCACAAGGTGCGCGCCCACAAACCAGCGCCGTTGTTTTGTTGCGTGTGCCAAAAGGTATACAATATTTTATCGCCAAGCGATGAATGCTCCATAAGTCACGTTCAAGTATTCGGTATCAACGAGGTCCCGCATCCCGTGAAAGAGGTGGCTTGTGGTAGTAGCACGTGGGGAACTGGTAACATGTGCCAGTTCGTAGCTGTCCGCTGTAGTTTAAGCGGCAACTAGCCTGTCGTCGTGGTCGGCGTGCGCCTTGGATTTCCTCCGCTCTGGCGCCACGGCTGCTTGATCGTGCATTATCATGGCGTGCCGGTGTCCGGCCTGTCGCGTGGCGTTTTCAGAGCCACTCTGACATCTTATTGTGCTTGGACACGCCTTGTTCTTTGCCATCCTGTCATAAAACGCCCACTGAGGGCAGAATGTTTTATTGTTGTAGCCGCGTTTTCGCCGGGACCGCATGTCTATCTCCGCGGAGCGTCAACACTGCCGATAGTTGCATCGGCGGCTCACAGATGGCTCTGGCGGTGCGCTAACGCTGGCCATGTCCGACAGGTGACTCTGGTGACGTTCGTCGTGTACGTGCTGACCGGCGATGGCTCGCACGTCCTCTCGCCGGATAAGGCGTTCGTGTCGCTCTCGCTGTTTAACCTGCTCCGCATGCCCCTCAGCTTCCTCCCGATGCTGATTGTCTTCACCGTGCAGGTACAGCCGACCCGGCGGGTGGCGATGGCGGCGCCGCCGGCCACTGTCGGCGCTGCTTTCTGTGCCGTCCGGGAGTGTCGTGCCGCGACAGGTGGTGCCGTGTCAGGGCGGCGCCGGGTGGCCGCTGGGACGTCGGCGAGTGTCGTGTGCGCTGGAGGGTCTCCTGTGGGTGATGGCGCCCGTTTGCTACCTCGAGGACGGCGTGCGCTCGGGCGTTTCTGTACACATCGGTGCACGTGGCCCGTGTTTGTCTGTGCACTTTGTTTGTGTGCGGGCGTACACCCGTCCCTGCATTCGTGGGCGTCCGTCCGGCCCCGCGTCACGGCATGCGCGGGTGTCTCCGCGCCTCCGGCCGTCGCCACTCCGGCGTGCGCTCGTCCGTCCGCTTCAGCATCAGGGCGTGTGCCGCAGGTGTGCCTCGCCTCGTTCGCCACCTTCGTGCTGGTCGACCCGGAGAATAACGTGCTGGACAGCCGGCGCGCCTTCGTCTCGCTGGCGCTGTTCAATGCGCTCCGGTTCCCCCTCTCCATGCTGCCCATGATCACCATCAGCGTGGTGCAGGTGACATCGCGAGCCACTGCCCCGCCGCCGGCACCAGCGGTGTGCGACGCCAGAGGGCGCGCGGCGGCGGCCGCTGACGCGCGGCTGGCAAGGCCGGCCGGCCAGCGAGACGACTCTAGCACGCTCGCGGCGCGCCGACCCTAGCCGGCGAGGCGCGCGGGGGGAGGCGCTTGGGACGCGAGGGTTTCGAGTTCGAAGGCTGTGCTCAGATCTGGCGCTGTCCGCTGCTAACTGCTGAAGGTTGCACTCAGGCTGAGGCTTGAAAACTCTGCTCACGTGCACGCGACGACGAACGGCTAATAAGGACCAGAGTTGTTACCAGCAACCTGCTTTCCTTCCATATTTCGGCCAGGGTGTGATTACGTTGCTCCTAGCTTGTCGAGAAAGAAAGCTAAGATTTGCTTGTTGCACTGGCTGCCTCTTACTCAAAGGTGCACTGCCATGGCGGCTAGTGTGTGCTAGATCTGGCTTCTTTCACTTCATCCTTTTCCTTCGTATAGTGGAAATCATCGCCTTCGAAACAGCTATGCACTCTTCCTCAGCATGCTCCGTGACATTGGCTTTCTGTTTGTGCTGTCTGCTTGTAAACCGTAGTTGGCATGTCAAAAACCCTGGCCCTTTGTTCTACTGATCATTTCATGTTAATTATTTTTCGTATCGTTAGTACTGCTGTACAAACATTCTAGTAAACCAAGTCATCTTCACCAGCGTACTGCAGATAGTTTGTTGTGACGTAGCCGGTCTGTTCCGGACACGCTGCCGGAGCCTCATAGCACGGCTCTCTGAGGCCGTGCTAGTGACGATGGACATTGTGACTAGAACGTTGGCGCAGCGGCCAGCGAGGCGCGCAGTTCTGGCTGCCGGCTGTAAGTCGCCGTATTGTGGCCGCGCCGGCCGCTTCGGGGAGCCCCGGGCGCCGTCGCACCGCCCCCTGACCCGACCCGACCCGACCCGACCTAACCTAACCGGAGTCGCTGCGGCCAGGCGAACGTGTCGCTGACGCGGATGAACAAGTACCTGAACTCGGACGACCTGGACGACAAGGCCGTGTCGCACGACACATCCGAGAGTAAGTGTGAGGGCTGTTGCCAACGCAGCGACGGAGCAGAGGCCTCCGGGGACCCTCACTGCTCGCTGGGGGACGGGTGGGGCCCGTCTGTGCCGGTCCTCAGCTCAGCGTGGCGGAGCAGAGGCCGCCGGGGGACCCTCACTGCTCGCCGGGGGACGGGTGGGGCCCGTCTGTGCCGGTCCTCAGCTCAGGGGGCGGAGCAGAGGCCTCCGGGGACCCTCACTGCTCGCTGGGGGACGGGTGGGGCCTGTCTGTGCCGGTCCTCAGCTCAGCGGGGCGGAGCAGAGGCCTCCGGGGACCCTCACTGCTCGCCGGGGGATGGGTGGGGCCCGTCTGTGCCGGTCCTCAGCTCAGCGTGGCGAAGCAGAGGCCGCCGGGGGACCCTCACTGTTCGTCAGGGGACGGGTGGGACCCGTCTGTGCTGGTCCTCAGCTCAGGGGGACGAGCAGAGGCCGCTGGGGGACCCTCAATGGGGAACGTGTGGGGACTGTCTGGTCAGGATACCGCTCGGTCGGCCAGCTGTGGAGGTCGGGTGTGGGGACGCTGCCGCCAGTTTTGAGGGGACTGAGTGAACATGGATGCTCGTCGCATTTGGATGGCGTTTCCACTTTAATGCATCGGTAAAATTCTCCCATACCTTCGTGTGAAGGTCACAGACGGTCGACACGATCCTTTTTCTATTTGGCTTGATCCCTGCCAGAACGGCTTGCTAGTGCACCCGGGGTGCCGGTCCTGTCGTCCTGATCCGCTCCTGGTCCGTGTCCTGTCCTGGTCTGCTCCTGGTCCGTGTCCTGTCATCCTGGCCCGCTCCTGGTCCGTGTCCTGTTGCCTGATCCGCTCCTGGCCCGTGTTCTTGCCCGCGCCCACCCTCCCGGGTTCTGTGCCGTCAACCCTGGTCCGCTGGTGCCCGGTGTCGGCGCTGCTATGCGTCTGGGACGCGGCTGACAGCTGCCGACCTGCGGCAGGTGACCCGGTAGTGGTGGAGAATGGCGTCTTCACATGGGATCCCGAGTCGCCGCCCTGCCTGCAGGATATCAGCCTGCGCGTCAAGGACGGCAGCCTGGTGGCCGTGGTGGGCCAGGTGGGCTCCGGCAAGTCGTCACTGCTCAGCGCCCTGCTCGGCGAGATGGAGAAGGCAGGCGGACGGGTCAACGTCAAGGTTAGTGGGTGTCAACCGCGAGGTCAGTCACGAGCCAGTGGCAAGGTCAGTCACGGGTTAACGATAAGGTCAGCCACTGGACCATGTCGGGGTCACTGACGGCCTGAGGTCCATGGCAGTGATTGGCGCCCGTGGAGGTTATTCACTGGCTGATGTCAGGGCTCAAGGCCAGTCACGAGCCTTCAAAAATATTGTTGCCGGCTATCGGCAGTCATGATTGCAACTTCTGTCCCAATGTGTGTCTGCTTCTGGTCTCCCCACACTTCTCCAAGAATATTAGGAGCGATGTCATGAGGCCAGTGTGAGATTAGTGTGACGACGTGCGTCAGTGTCGCTGCGTTGTCGGCTGTTGTTAGACGCACGATCACTGTCGTCCAATCATCGGCTCTCCTGTCAGAGTACTGCGGCTTAAGTGACGTAGGAGTCAGTGACAACGGACATATCACTCCCCGTGTCCCACGTTCCTCAGGGTAGCACGGCGTAAGCGGCGCAGGAGACCTGGATCACTGGCTTATCACGTGTTCCTCGCGGTAGTTCAGCGGGCGTGGCGCTGGTGGCCGCTGGACCGCTATCGTGTCCTCCCGCCGCTCCGCAGGGTAGCGTGGCGTACGTGGCGCAGGAGGCCTGGATACAGAACGCCACCCTCAAGGACAACATTCTGTTCGGACGCACGCTGGACCAGGAGCTTTACAAGCAGTGTGTGGAGGCGTGCGCGCTCAAGAGCGACTTCGAGATGCTGCCGGCCGGCGACCTGACCGAGATCGGCGAGAAGGTGGGCAGACGGCGCCACCTCTTGGCTGGAGGGGGAGGCACAGTCGGACGGTCCGAGGGATCGGGGAGAGGCAGGTGCTGCGATGGGGCGGTGGAGGGAATAACGGGCGTGAGTTGTCTTGTTGGGATATCGTATATGTGGTGAGTAGCCGGATATCAGTGCCGGGCTGTGAGGCGAGTCTCGGAGGGAGCAGAGCGCCGAGGCGATGTCCCCAGCCAGCCCTAGAGAGCCGTCTACAGCCCACTGTCCGCCAGACGCCGGCTTCTGGGAAGCAGCACGGGTGTTAGCCTGCGAGTCGTGACCCCGCCGGCGTAGACGACGCCTCCGACTACCCACAGCTCAGACCGACACTGTCGCGCGGCGTGACCTGGATCCGACCGTAACCTCTCCCTTGCCACACACAGGGCATCAACCTGTCGGGCGGCCAGAAGCAGCGCGTGGCTCTGGCGCGCGCCGTCTACAGCAACAGCGACATCTACCTGCTGGATGACCCGCTCTCCGCCGTCGACTCGCACGTCGGCAAGCACATCTTCGAGAGCGTCATCGGACCCAAGGGCATGCTCAGGAAAAAGGTGGGCTCGCGGCCGTTGGCTCCGACAGGCGGCGTGGCCCTTTTGCTGACGGAACAGTGCGGTTGGGAGCTGCTCGGGTTCGGTCTGCAGTGTTCAAATTTATCGGCCGCTGCAGAGGGGGAGCGAACGGGGTGGGCAGGGGAGGGAGGGCTAAGGGCGAACGAGTTGCTTTGTAATCCGTTCGTGAGCTGGGAATTAATCAGTCTGAGCCGACACAGGTGCTTGAGTCATCACGTACCTGATCTGAATGGTCTCTGTGTGTGTGCTGGTGACCCATGGCGTCACGTATCTGATCTGACCTGGCCTGACCTAAGCTGTCCTGTCCGCTTTCCCAGACCCGTCTGCTGGTGACCCACGGCATCACGTACCTGCCGCACACGGACCTGATCCTGGTGCTGAAGATGGGCCGCGTCACGGAGACGGGCGAGTACCAGCAGCTGCTGGACTCCAAGGGTGCCTTCTCCGAGTTCCTGCTGCAGTACATCACGGAGGCGGGAGAGGAGGAGGACGAAGGTGGGTGGCTCGTCATGGCTTCGCTCGCGGAAAATCCCCGACCTCTGGCCGAGAGCCAGTGGCCACCGTGCTCGGCCCTTGGAGTGGTGCCAGTCGGTGTCGCTGAGTGTCAGCGCCTTTTTTGGCGTCCTCGCATTGGCTGGTTGCCGTTCGCGCCCGTCTGTTAGGCCCGGTGTCGGAACGTCGGCGGAGCCGATCGCTTGTGTCATCCCGTCTGTCGCCGGTGATGGGCCCGGCGCCACTGCGGGGAATATTCTATGAGATGCTAGATGTATGCGGACTTGGTGCTGCGATGTCGCCTCCCGGGTGTTCCGATGTCCATGCTCGTGTTCGTCACAGCCGTTTCCGTGTCCCTGGTGTCCGTTTCCGTGTCCCTGATGACCGTTTCCATGTTCCTGATGTCTGTTTCTGTGTCCCCGATGTCCGTTCCCCTGTTCGCACGACTGTCCGTATGTGATGCCCGTTATCACGTCTAGCGTGTATCTTTGTTATCCGACACTGGTTGCCGCGTCTCTGACGTCCTCGCCGCCTCCGGCATCCATTGCACCGCCTGTGCCATTTGTCGTGCGCCCACGGTGGGCCCGCTGCCGCTTGTGACACGCCCGTCCGGCGGCGACCAACAGAGGTGGGCGAGCTGAAACACCAGCTGGAGCAGAAGCTGGGGCGGGCGGAGCTGGAGCGTCAGATGTCGCGTGTCAAGCGCGAGTCCGAGTGTGAGGAGGGCAGCCTGCCGGAGCTGAACAGGTGAGTCGCCGCCTATGCCGGCGGTCCCGACAGCTCGGCCGGCCCCGGCCCCGGCCCCGGCCGTCACCCACCGGCGGCCCGCCGCGTCGTGCTGGGTGTGAGGGCACCGCTGGAGGCACGCGCTGGTGCGGGTCTGTCTTGTCTCCTGGCCCGTGACGTTGGTGATCGTTCACGGTGTAGTAACGTTGTGTGGTGTCCGGGGTTGGGGGAGGACTCCGGGCCACGCTCTCCAATCGCCGTGCGCCCTGGGCTGGGCTGAGTGCTCGGGGTTGCGCACAGTTATGATCTCGCTGGTGATGAGAATCTGCTTAGAGCTGGCGGCTGGATGCACATCAGGGATTGGGACACGCCCAGCTGATTCCACAGTCAATAATACACGGCTCTCGGGCTAGCATTGCTGGCCTTTGTGTTATTTTTGGGGCGATGTGTGGGCGACAATCAGCATGAGTCAGTTGGAACCGATTCCGAAGAAGCGGAGTCAAGCACGTGTTTGTAAATATCCCTCAAGCTGTGGTCGTGTTTGTTCCCATTGCAGTTAGAGTCAGTGTTTTGTCCTATACATCGAATGGCAGGGAAACCGAACCTCCTAGCTTGTGTTTCTTTTCCCCATACACTCGGTTTATATGCATTGTGTTGGCCTGTTGGTACGTGGCTTCGTTGCATGTTTACCTACTCGCATTTATAGGTGCTACTTGACCAAGAAGCCGCCTCAGTCTGATGTCAGAATGGCCGTCATAACACTAGGCAATTCACCTTAAGCGTGCCAACCCTCTTTCGATTGCATAACTGCTCTGATTAACAGTGGGTGTGTTGCTTCCCTTTACTTCTGCTGTATGGTTCTGAATCGTGTAATGCTCTTGATCTTCAGCTGTTATTCGGAGGTTGCGCCATGCGCTTGGGTGGTGATGGGCTGTCCCCCCCCCCCCCCCTCTTCTTCGTGTGCGGGCCTGGGCTTGCGCGGGGCTCTTTGCCTGTGGTTAACAGGCGCCCGCCGATTTCAGTGATGATTTAGCTGGCTCACGCCAGTCAGTCACCAGTATAAACGTCCTAACCAGGTTGGTTTTCATGTCGACACGCCAGACATGCCGGTTTCTCGCAGCGCAGGTGACCCGCATGTCACTTGGGTCATGTTTGGAGTCGAGATGCATGCGGCCTGCTGTGTTGTGGCCTTGCCCGCTCGCGCAACAGCTTCACAGAACAAGCCGACGCATTTCCGAGTGGTGATTGCAGACTTTTGTTACCTGTTGAATATGCTCGACGGTATTTTTATTTTTTTCTGTGTATTTTTCATTTGTCTGCGCAAGACTGTGCAAACCAGTCGGCTCGCTCATTCACGCTGGCCTGTGAGTGCACGCTTACACGCCACTAAACCGGCGTACCAGTGCTCGTTGATGTGTACTTGCATAGGAATCCGGTTCAATCTCTTGGATGTGTCTTATGTCGTGCTACCGTTAATGTAAAACAAGCGCTGGGCAGCAGCAGCTTATGTGCAGGATTAATGGCCCCTGTCCACGAACACACGAAGAGTGTTGGACCAGCTGCCCCGGCAGAGTCATGCGCTGGGCAGCAGCAGCTTATGAGCAGGATTAACGGCCCCTGTCCACGAGCACACGCCTAGTGTTGGACCAGCTGCCCCGGCAGAGTCAACCCCAGCGGCCAGGCACCGCTCCTGTTCGCCAGTTCGACGAGCGTGGCCGCGGTCTGCGCAGCGCCGCCGGGCTCGGAGCGTGACTGGCGGCGCCGCCGACCCTCTCGGCAGGTCCGTGTCGGTGAACAGCACCGAGCGGAACGGCAGCCTGCGGCGCAGGAAGAGCGGCGCCCACCCGGCCGGCAAGGAGGAGGACAAGCCGCCGCCGCCGGCGGCGCCGGCGCAGACCGAGGCCAAGCCCAACAACGCCGCCGGCGGCAAGCTGATCGAGGTCGAGAAGTCCGAGACGGGCAGGGTGAGCGAAGCGCGGGAGCAGGAGAGAGCGGATGGCGCAGTCGGCCACGGCACCGGCACCGGCGCCGGCGCCGGCGCGAAGGCCTGGGTTCCACTCCCGGTTGAGAGATCGTCGGGGCGTTTACGTGGCTGTTGTGTCGCTCCATCTCCATGGGAAGGGTGCTCAAGCGCGTCTTTTGTATACAAAACATTTAGTAGAAGATTCGTGTTCGGGTACATTAATACAACCTAGAGGGCTGGTAAAGTTTCGGGGATTATGGAGCACCACTTGGAGGTTCTTGGTTCCGCCCATATTCGATCGTCGCTTATCGAATGTATGCTTATGCTTCATGCTGCTGACATGCTCTGGATGCCTTGTTAATTTTCTGTCGCGACGGCCATGAGATTGACCCGACCTTTTTATTGCAGGTCAAGGGTGAAGTCTACTGGTACTATATGAAGGCAGTCGGCGTGGTGCTGGCTTTGATGACGTTTATGTTGTACATTGCAGCACAGGTATGTTAGATTTCATGCCTTTTGGGCAGATGTTAGCATCCCTATAGCATCCCTATAAGCTCGCTTACACCGAGCTTGTAAACCGTTTTTGGCTTTACCGGTTGTACTGACAACTAACTGACCCTTAACAGGCCTCTGCCTGGCGCCGAGTTTGAATGCGAAGGCTGTCAACTTGCTCAACTGTCGCGACAATCAACGGCGCCAGTGTGTGACCTCTCGCCACTATGTGCTGCCACCCCCGCCAGCGGCGGGTGCTGTACTCCCGGTAGCCCCCCCCCCCCCACGTACAGCGGCGCGCCCCTCCGCCGGCGGTGTCCCCACCATTCAGTCACACCTCCGCTCTGAGCCGGCGCCGTCTCGCGCTCTCTGCAGGCGTGCAGCGTGGGCTCCAACATCTGGCTGTCGTCCTGGACGGAGGATGCGGCTGCCGCCAACGACACCCACAAGCGCAACGTCTACCTGGGCGTGTACGGCGCGCTGGGCTTCGGGCAGGGTGAGTGGGCCGGGCCGACGGCGTTCTCGGTGACGGCGCCTGGCCGCCGTTGGCTACCGCCGACGGTGCCGCTGGATGGCGGAGCTGGGGCTGGGCTCAAGGGAAGGCTTCGCGTAGTTGCCGGTCAGCTTCGTGTCATTTGGGATGCTCTATGTCTGCGTTCTGTTTTCATTGTAGCCGAGCGTGGGAGTGCGCGGGATTGCGGCGAGTGTGCTGGTTTTCGAGACGGCAGGAGGCGCTGTTCTGGGCTGCACTTGTATGAGTTGCGAATAGCTTACAGCGAGGTCAGAACCAGTTCAGTTTTAATTTAATCAGGCACGTCATGTAACATCCGTCAGAACAAGCTGATGCGCAGTGTCTCTAAGCGCAATTTTGGGGACAATACTGTAAACATGTCATACCGTTTTCAACAAAATGTTAGGATTCTCTTGGACCTTCGCCATTATTCTGGATAAGTTCCAGTCTGAAGCGTAGTTCCCACGTCAAAGTCTGAACACCCTTTAAAAAGTATCATAATACACCTGCCCCGTCTCGCTCGTAATGCTTAAGCATCGTAGAAGCATTTGTATTTCCGCCCCTTGGCGTGCGCAAACTATATAATCCGCGCTTTCCATGGTTTGTGTCGTGTCCCGGGTTGTGTTCAGTCTGTGTGTGCTGGACGGGCCGGGCGTGCCGTCTTTGTGTGTGTCGAGTGCGTCGGGCAGGCGGTTGTCTGTCAGGTGTGCGTCTGCCTGGGGTCCGTGCCGTGCCGGGGGTGGAGGGGGAGGGGGCGGTGCCGCGCCTCTCGGCCCGACTGCTGCAGCGGCGGCCGGCCGGCCGGCGCCTCTGTTGCAGCCGTGTTCTCCGTGCTGGCCGCCTTCTCGCTCTACACGTGCCTGCTGGGCGGCGCTCAGCTGCTGCACTCGATCCTCATGAGCAACGTCATCCGCATGCCGATGAGCTTCTTCGACACCACGCCGCTCGGCCGCACCATCAACCGCTTCAGCAAGGACGTAGACGTGCTGGACAACACGATGCCGATGGTCGTGCGCGGCTTCATCATGACGCTGGTGGTCGTAAGTGCCCGGCGGTGCGGCGCGCGCCCGCCGCCGCCGCGCCGCCGCACTGCCGCCGCCGGCCGCGGCCCGTGCTAACGACTCTGTCCCGCCGGCAGCGCTGTTCGTCCTCATCCCGTCTATTTTGATGGCGTACGGCATGATGGCCGCATCGAGGCTGCTGCACTCGTTCATTCTGGGCCGGCTGTTCCACAACCCGCTGTCGTTCTTCGACACGACGCCGCTCGGTCGCATCATCAACCGCTTCTCCAAGGACATCGATATGATAGACAACACGCTGCCCTTCAACATCCGCTCGTGGATTAACTGCCTGTTCGCCGTAGGTGGCGGCGGCCGCGGCCGCCGGGGCGCCGTCCGTCCGTCCGGAGGGCCGGTGGCACCGTGTGGTCTGGTGACGTCGGGGCCGTGGCGGCTCCGTCCGCCCGTTCGTCCGTCTCCGGTACTGTCGTCGCCTGGGGCCAGCTTCTTCCCTCGGCTCATCGGCCAGCGCAGTGGTTTCTGTCGGGATCCTGTGTCCGTGTCGTACCTGCTTATTAGTCCGGTCTTGTCTCTCTGTCAGTCATCGTTGGTCCTCCCCGGTGGTGCTGGTTACGCCGCTGCGTTTCATCCATATTCGACTAACTTCTTGCCTTAAGCTTCTCGTAAAAATTGCTGTCATGGAAAGCAATGCAAACGGAATCCCGTCGCGAACGTCAATTTAAAAAGTCACAAAGTCTAAGTCAGGGGGACACTACTCAAGGTACTGCTTAACACTAAGGTTAGGGAGGCTAAAGAACCATCTCGAAAACGTAAGACACAACTCAAAACGTGAAAGTATTAAACCCAATGCTTTGAATCCCACTTAAATGTAAGAAGGTGGTGCTGAATGTTTGTAATAAGGCCCCACATTTCTATTCTTTAACTTACCTTTGCCTGTTTTTTCGTTCTTTACAGACCCTGGGTTTTTTCCCTGTCGTGTTTTCCTGCCTGGGAACTGGAATCAATAAAATACAGAGACGATACATTCATTTTTGTAGCTAAAGGCTGATTTCTTCTGTCAAGAAAACCTGCAGTTTCCATCGTGGATTCAGCTAAAAACATTAATTTAAAGAAACCACTGTAGGTTCATGTCGATGTATCAATTGAGCAAATATGCGCGAAATGAACAGTAGGCATGCATTCGTTTCATACAGGCTGGGGTATCTCTCTGGGCCTTGTCACCGAGTGGTTATCTAATGGCACGCCTTGGGCTTCTGCTTTCAAACGCCGTCAGGGGATTTATTTTTGCCTTCCAAGTGCGGATGTCCCCATATAGATGTATAGCCCTCCATTTTCTGACGCCTGCGACCACTTAGTGTCGTTTGTGTGCGTCGCCACCTTTGCCAGTAGGCTCGCGTCGTTTGTTCCGCCCCTTTGCTCCATGGCCTGGAGCCTCGTGTCGTTTGTTGCGCCCCTCTGCCCCATGGCCTGGGGCCTCGTGCCGTTTGTTGCGCCCCTTTGCTCCATGGCCTGGCGCCTCGTGTCGTTTATTACGCCCCTCTGCTCCATGGCCTAGAGCCTCGTGCCGTTTCGTCAGCTCGCAACCTCACGGTACTGCGTCGGGGCTCCCGACACAGTGACTCCCGACTCAGTGATTCCCGACTCGTGACCTCCAAACTTATGACTCAGTGACTGTCGAACTCCCGACTCAGTGACTCCGAACCCTCGACTTAGTGCCTCCGGGACTCCCGGCTCATCGGCTCCAGGACTCCCGGCTTAGTGACCCCTACCCCCGGCTCAGTGATTCCTGAGATTCCTGGCTCAGTGAATCCCATGACTCCGGTGCTCCGTGGCTTCCGTGGCTCCCGTAACTTTTGTGCTCCGGAGTCAGAGCGGCCTGTGGTCGTCCTGGAGCCGCCCGACACCGGCTTTGGTCGGGGTCTGGTCCAGTCACCACAGTCCGGGGAGCCGCCGTTCGGCCTGGGAGCACCTCTGCCCCTCGAGGCGGAGCGGGCCTGTCCGCGATCCACTTGCTGCAGCCGTCGCTCGCGCGCGTGAACGACCCAGTGAGGCGTCCACCTGCGCGGTGCCTGGGGCTGGGGTTCTCCGCGCACGTCACGGGCCACAGACCCCTCCGCTTATGGGTATATTCTGTGTCTATGTGTGAGCGCTTTGGTTGGGTCGTCGAATGCTGCGAACCCGGCGCTGCTGCCTGCGCAGCCTCGGCATCACGTCCAGGCGACTGCGCCTCAGCGCCTGGTCGGCTTTTGAAAGCGCAGTGGTCATAGTCGCTGAGATCTGTGGAGAACGACATAGCTTCGGTGATCCAAACAGCTGGAATCCTGGGGCGCCGTTGAGTATGCTAACCAGACGTCTGCCACCCCCAAAAGCTGACTCTCAGCCGTGCCTGTGTTTGGCCCGTGTACCGCGGAGGTGTCCTGATTCCCCGACGGTCAGGAGGGCTCCCGCTGAATGTGTTCCGAAGCCTCTGCCGGGGTGCCGGTAGTGTAGCGGTTAACACGTCTGCGTTAACTACTGCGCGTCTGGGAAACCAGAGGTACGGGGTTCGATTCCCCGCGGTGCCCGCCCTTCCTGCCAGGGTGAGAGGCAGGCGACGCCATATAGCCTCAGCAGCTGAGTGCGTCGTAAAGCCCCAATGACACACACACAAAGCCTTCTGCCGCTATGCGACGGTTTGCATTGCCGCTGTGCGAATATTACAGAAATGTTGTGCGAACCTGACATTGCTGTTATGGTCTATGTTACTATTATGCAAGCAGTGATATGCAAACGGTAAGGTGCAAATGGTTTATATGAATTGGTATTCTTTTATGCAATGGCTTGTTTTACTTCGTTGTGACAGGTGTTATATTTGGCCCTTCCTGAGAGGCAGACTACTGGACCCATTGGAGGGTATTTGTCTGTCAGTTTACTGGGCAGATGTCAAGCTCTCGCGCTGTTTTGTGTCCAAATACCAATTTATGACTTAATCCCAAGGCAGGGGCGTTAGCAGTCTCCAAGAACATGTGCTCAGGCTATCATGCAGCGCTGTTTTCCCTGCACTAGCCCAGTCTCTCCTGTGCGCCTAACGAGATACACGAGCTGTCGTCTGTCGCTTGTTGATGCTGGGGCGGCGCCGTCGGAGGGTCCCGCGTGACGCGCGACCGGCTCCGTTCTCCAGGTGTTGGGCACGTTCTTCGCCATCTGCTACGCCACGCCCATCTTCACTGCGGTCATCGTGCCGCTGCTGGGCGTGTACTACTTCATGCAGGTGGGTGCCGCAGGCCCGGCCCGGCCCGTCGCCGGTGAGAGGTCGGTGCGACGTGCAGGCACAAGCCGCCAGGGCCGTGAACGCGGTGGCGACGCGGAATACGACGTGGTGTTGTGTCAGAACATGCTCCACATTCGCAGCGTGCCTTTGTGGACGGCCTGCTGAACATTGCGGTGCTGCATGGCACGTGCAAGTACCGGTGGCTTCAGTTGGCGCGGCACGACCGTTCAGCGTATGGCGTGCTACCCCCCCCCCTCCCCCTCACCCCCCCCCCCCCCCCCCGCTGGCGCCCGACCCTGTCATTTGGCGGCCGTTTCAGCTGGTGTACGTGTCGACGTCCAGGCAGCTGAAGCGGCTGGAGTCGGTGTCGCGCTCGCCCATCTACTCGCACTTCTCCGAGACCATCACCGGTAGGTGGCCGGTCGAGGAGCCGCACGCTCCGCGCGCGCCGCCGCGCCGCCGATGTGTGCTCGGCCCGAGCGGGCGGCCGGCGGGTCCAGAACTGGTAACCGTCTGTGCCGCCGTGCCGCCGCCGTCGGCCGCCGCCGATGTGTGCTCGGTCCGAGCGGGCGGCCGGCGGGTCCAGAGCTGGTTACCGTCTGTGCAGACGAGCTCGCAGTCGTGCCGGTGGTCGAGGGAGGCGGCGGCCCATGCGTGTCGTCGAGCCGCCTCACACACTCCGCCCCCTGCCCAGGTGCCGTGACAATCCGCGCCTTCAGCAAGTCGGCCGACTTCCTTCTGCAGTCGGAGGAGAAGGTGGACAACAATCAGGCCTGCTACTATCCGTCCATGGTCGCCAACAGGTGGGCCCAGAGGAGCGGAATAGCATGCCACACTGGGTCAGGGCCCAGAGGAGCGGAATAGCATGCCACACTGGGTCAGGACCCAGAGGAGCGGAATAGCATGCCACACTGGGTCAGGGGGTATTCAGCCCCATGACTCCGTCTCGGAAGATAGTGAGCGTAACATCACTGCTTGCGGGCTTCTTAAGTCTGAGAATGGCGCGCTGAACGTGTTTGTGAACCGCGCCGCGGTTCTACTGGAGACGGATAATGGCTCCTGTCCACGATCGATTTCCTTTAAAAGCATGCCGCCTCTCCCCTCCGTTCGACGTTGGTAGCCGCAGGTTTGCCACCGCCCTCCCACCGTCGCATCCGGCGCCGCCCGCAGACCCGTCCTTGACGCCTCCCCCTCACCCGCGGCAGGTGGCTCGCCTTCCGGCTGGACATGGTCGGCACGGCCATTACCTTCTTCGCCTCGCTGTTCTCCGTGCTGGCGCGCGACACTATCAACGTCGGCCTCGTCGGCATGTCGGTCAGCTACGCCCTGCAGGTGACGACCACGCTCAACTGGCTGGTGCGCATGACCTCGGACGTCGAGACGAACATTGTGGCCGTCGAGCGGATCAAGGAATACTCGGAGACGCCGCAGGAGGCGGCCTGGGTCACCGAGCGGCGGCCGCCGGCCGAGTGGCCGCCCGCCGGCCGCGTGCTCTTCAACGACTACCAGACGCGCTACCGGCCCGGTCTGGAGCTGGTGCTGAAGGGCATCACGGCGGACATCGCCGGCGGCGAGAAGATCGGCATCGTCGGCCGCACCGGTGCCGGCAAGTCGTCGCTGACGCTGGCGCTGTTCCGCATCATCGAGGCGGCGGCCGGCGACATCACGCTCGACGGCATCCGCATCGCCGACATCGGCCTGCACGACTTGCGCTCGCGCATCACCATCATCCCGCAGGTCAGCGGCGGCCGGCGCCCGCCGGTCGGGACCGCCCGGTCATGTCACGGCGGCGCCATGACGTAGCGCCAGCGTCACGGCATTGCCGCCGTGTCACGTGTCAGCGTCCCAGCAACGCAGTGACACTGATAGCAGGTCCTGGGCGTGGCGTAGCATTGCTGGTCAGCGTCACACGGGCGCACGGCGTTATCGTGATACTTCTGCTGGGGCATGCTGTTCGCGGGCAGGCGCCTAGCTCAGGGTGTGACGTGCGACCTTGAAAGTAACTTCGTCGCAGCGGTGTGCGCCAGTTGTGCGCGCATGTTTTCGTGTGACGTGTTCACATGTGACGTCACAAGTAGCAGCTCAGGCGCGGCGTGTGACTGTGAAGGACAAGTCTCGGGTCAGGGCTGCAGCACCGTCATTACCCCACAGGGCAGATTCAAGGCGGCGGTGACGGAGTGCTGCGTCGCGTCCCGCCGTCTGTTGACGGAGTGACGTGTCACGTCCCGCCGTCTGGTGACGGGCGTGACGCGGCGCCGTCACCGCTGTGCGCGTGTGCAGGTATGTCTGCGCCTTGACCGACACGTGCTCGCCTCGGCGCGCCGGCAGGACCCGGTCCTGTTCTCGGGCAGCCTGCGCTCCAATCTGGACCCGTTCGACCAGTACTCGGACGAGGCCGTTTGGACGGCCTTGGAGCACTCCCACCTCAAGACGTTCGTCAAGGGCCTGGCCGCCGGGCTGCAGCACGAGATCAGCGAGGGCGGTGGTAACCTCAGGTCAGGCACTGGACGGCGGAGATGGTGACGCGGTGGCCGCGCCGTATGCACGTTCAGTCGATGGCTTCTGGCACCGGATCAGACGCGCTCGGTGGGATATCGGGCTCAGTTTAGTTAGGTCGTCGGTTCAGGCAGGTATCGGACGGAAGGAGTGGGGGTCAGACATGGAGTTATCATCAACCGCAGATAAATTGTGGAGATTGCCCCCCCCCCCCCTTCCCCATTGCCTACCTACATTTGGCTCATTGGGGAACAGCCCTGTAGTCATGGCACCGAGGCAGTGGTTAGTTCGATCTTAGTGCTTGCCCAGTGGGCACGGGAGCAGCATCAGATGAGCCACGCCGCAGTTCGCGGTGGACGGGGCGGGCGTGCACGATCCGGTGAGGGGGGGGGGGGGGGGGGAGTTTGTTGAGCCGCTTTCTCAGCGGGGCTTGGTGCCCGCTCAGGCGTGACGCCGTGAAACGAACCAAGGGATGAGAAACGTTATGAGGCGAACTATGGGGTGAGAAACGCCGTGAGGCGAACCAAGGGATGAGAAACGCCGTGAGGCGAACCAAGGGATGAGAAACGCCGTGAGGCGAACCAAGGGATGAGAAACGCCGTGAGAAGCGGCGGAGACTGACGGACGCGGCGGCCGCCGGACCGGCGCCCGCCGCTGCTGTCTTGCAGCGCACGTACGTGGGCGATGTAGGGCCGGCTGTCCGGCTGACTGGTGCCCAGAGTCGCTGAGGGCCGCCACAGCTGACGCGCGACTGGACGAGGCCCCGTCCGCGGACGTCCCGCTGCGGGGAAGCGGCCTCCCCCGGATGATGACAAACCTCGGGCGCCGGGTCCTGATAACGTGCGGTGGACATGGGCCCGGCTGTGGCGTCGCGGCGCGTGACACCGGCCGTGCGCGCGTGCCGCAGTGTGGGCCAGCGACAGCTGATCTGCCTGGGCCGGGCGCTGCTGCGCAAGACCAAGATCCTGGTGCTGGACGAGGCGACGGCCGCCGTCGACCTGGAGACGGACGACCTGATCCAGGCGACGATCCGGGCCGAGTTCGCCGACTGCACCGTGCTCACCATTGCCCACCGGCTCAACACCATCATGGACAGCACCAGGTGAGAGGGGTGCTCACCATCGCCCATCGGCTCGACACCATCATGGACAGCACCAGGCGAGAGGGGTGTTCATCACGGACAGTACCAGGTGAGAGGGGTGTTCATCACGGACAGTACCAGGCGAGAGGGGTGCTCATCACGGACAGTACCAGGCGAGAGGGGTGCTCATCACGGACAGTACCAGGCGAGAGGGGTGCTCATCACGGACAGTACCAGGTGAGAGAGGTGCTCATCACGGACAGTACCAGGTGAGAGAGGTGCTCATCACGGACAGTACCAGGCGAGAGGGGTGCTCATCACGGACAGTACCAGGCGAGAGGGGTGCTCATCACGGACAGTACCAGGTGAGAGGGGTGCTCATCACGGACAGTACCAGGTGAGAGAGGTGCGCACCATCGCCCACCTGCTCAACACCATTATAAAGAGCGCCAGGTGAGATTGCCGGCCGGCCAATGCAGCTGATTGTCATCGGCAGGTATACAGCGTCGCCTGCTCGCCTGGTCTCGCGCCTGGAATGGCCTTGCAACCAGATTCAACAGCGAGGCACCGTCCAGCGACTGGTGATAGGTCTTTGGGGATGACGCTGAAGAGGTTGTAGCTGCGCACTGAGTGGCCCCGTGGTGCTGGATAAACGTGTGCTGTTCTGTTGACATTGCACTGGGGGGGGGGGGGGGGGGGGAGGCGGGGAGGGGGCTGCTGCTGCTGTTGCTGGTGCTGCTGCCGTTGTGACGGTGACTGCGGCGGCGTAGAGTGGCCGGACGGGCCTGGCGTGTGGGCGCTCGCTCGCCCGACACCGCCGTCACTGTTGACCCGACCCTGCCCGCCAGGGTGATGGTTCTGGACGCGGGCCGGATCAAGGAGATGGCGCCGCCTTCCGAGCTGCTCGCCAACAAGTCGTCCGTATTCTACGGCATGGCCAAGGACGCCGGCCTGGTGTAGGAGGTGCCGCGCGGCCGCTGGCCTCCGAGGCAGCTGGACGGACCGGACCGGACCGGGCCGGACCTGACCTTTAGTCTGTGTTTACTGTCGGGAGGCGTGGCGCTGGCCGCTGGCTACTGGCCGCTGACCGCTGACCGCTGACCGCTAGCCGCTAGCCGCTGGCCGCTGGCCGCTGGCCACTGGCCACTGGCCACTGGCCACTGGCCACTGGCCGCCAGTGTGGAGCACGCCGCGGGCCGGGAGGCGTCACCGCCCGTCCGACCGACAGGGGTGTCGGCGCGCCGCCGCGCCGCTCGTCCGTGCCAGGGGGCGCTGCGTCGTGTGACCAACCCTCCGTTCGCACACCGCCCCCGTGTCGTCTGTCCCGCCGTTTGTACGTTCGCGGTGTGACATCCCGGTGCCCCGCGTGCGCTTTGTTACTGTTTGTATCGTTTTGTCGTACTCAGCTAGCCGTTTGTACTGGACTGGGGCCGGTGAAGACAGCCCCGCCGCAGCGGGCTTACAAAGTGGAACCGATCAGAACGCCCTGACCGTGCCAGCGGCGCAGCCCTGGTCACAGGGACAGCGTGACGTCGCTAGCTGCCTCCCGAACGGCTGCGGCGGCGCTGGGCCAGCCAGTGCCGCCCCGTTACTATCCTTCAGAGAGATGCCATCTGCGTGTCTGGCTAGGTTCCCTCATAATACTTCGGGTAGAGTTGTGTGTGCCGGTTGAATCCTTGCCCGACCCGGAACGCGTGCTGTCCAATCCAGAAAGTGTGATTCTGTTACAGTCGTGACTGCCGCCCGAAATAGGAGCGTGGAAAGTGATGTTCGCTTCGCGGCCACGTCGGATATGAGTTGCCTGAGTGCAAACACGATTGTTGAACAATAAACGAACTTGTCACCAGCAGATCTTTCACCAGCAGATCTGATCTGCGTGCACCTGCGTCGCCCCAGAATGCCGCAGCCATTGGCTTAGGTCAACAAACAACGTCGGCTTCCCTTTCAAAACATACGCCTCACCCCCGCCCGTACTGTCAGAGGACGCACGCCGCTAGCTGTATGTACAGTTCTTTTTGAGCCGTACCATTGCTACCGAAGTATTTTAAGAATTTTGGATTTTACAGAAAGGTAAAAAAGTAGACAGTATCGCACTCACCCTGCATCGGAATACATTAAAACCCTTTTTCCTGAACATTGCGCTCTTCTGAGTGACAAAGGAAGGGCGGATGACGTCAGGTCGGTGAACTGAACTGGACATAACTGATCCAGAACGTTGGCGCTCACTGAACGACTAAAAACTGGACACAACTGATCTAGAACGTTGACGTTCACTGAACAACTAATGCGCAAGCGCGGGTGCTGAGATCAAAGTTATTTTGCAAAGATATTGGAGATAATGAGATGCATTTAAGTTGCGTATCAAGCTAGGACGGTGCGGATGTGAAGGGCTCCTTGTCCGCGGGCAATTGTCGGTAGCTTCCATGCATCCCCACTGCGCAGGCCTTTTTGGATCGTCTCGCCGGAGTCCTCTCCCGGCAGCTGAAGTAACTAGCGCCGCGGGTGGCGCCGCCTGGTAGCGCGCGGCGTCTCGGCCGGGGGCGGGCGGCGCGGTTCGTGGCGGGAGTCACCCGACGGCTGCCGCCCCGCAAGCCGGATAGAGTACCGGCCGCCCCCCGCCGAGAGACACAGGCGGACGGTGCTGAGTGGTGGCGCTGGTGCCGGCCCACGGCGGCCGGCGCGACGAGACCGACGAGACCGCGACGGCCGGCGCGCGCGCCATGGAGACGGACGTTCGCGAGTTCGTCTGCAGTGAGTACCAGCCGCCGGCCGGGGCCGCCGAGCAAGCCGCAGGCACGTCTGCTGCACGCGCTGCGGTGATACGCGGCTGCTGTTGTCGAGGTATTCCAAGAGGCACTGGGGAAAAAGTCGGCTGCTGTTGGGGCATTCTAGGAGACGCTGTGGTTAAAATCTATGGTTGTTGTCAGACCTTGCAAGTGTGTATGCAACTTGCCATCCATCTAGTTGAGGCTCGATGCCTCTCGTGTTTCTGAACTTAACTTGAGATGATGTATTGTGCTTCAGGTTTAAAGACCCCTCGCCCGGAAATCTAGCATTAGCCCATGGCGTTGCATGCAAGGAACGACAAAACAATAAACCCTGCTCCTTCCCTCTCTAGAGAAGCTCGCCGCCCACGACTGGACAGATGCAGATCGTGTGGGCAGAATTGACGCGCAATACGAGTGTGACCCAGCTGCAGCTACCTCAAATGAGTACCACTTTGCCATGACCGTGCAAATGGTGGTCTAATCATACCACGGGCTTGCACATTCAAATGGCGGCCATTGGGGAGCGCATTAGGAAGGCGAATGGGAGGACACATTCGCAGGGTAAATACCCTGGCAGTGTGAGGGATTCTCCATGCCGGCACTGTTTTGGCCGACAACGCTCGTCGGAAGCAAGTATCAGTTACGTATTTACTTGTTTACTTAATTTTGTGGGCCGTCTGTTCGCAAGGCTCGATTACAAACAACGTTCCAATGCATTGTGTTTTGGCTCCAGCCAGATAGTGACGCATCTGATCAATCGTTTATCCACTGATCCCTTGCGTTGGCATTCGAGGACTTAACCGTGAGCTCGGTTCCGTTTTGCGGTATGTCATCAGCCAGCGTCTGTTTCTTGCCACACGATTTTGCCAGTCCTGTCATTTAGAGCATTTGACCACTCCGTAAGTTCCTCAGGGTTCCTTGTTAGCTCCTAGTAAACGTTTTAAAAAGATAAAACCGTCCTCCGCTTAGAAATGTAATGCTGTCGACTCCATCAGCCACGTAAAGAAACCGCAGCGGCGCCCTCAGGGGGACCACATGACTGTCAACCTCGTCCTCCCGTCGCCACATGACCTCATGTCAGCCCGCCCTCCGGGGGTAGTCACGTGACCTTGTCAGTGGCGTCCTCCCGTCGTCACGCGGCCTCGTGTTCGTCCGTCCTCCGGAGGAACACATGATGATGTCAGCCCGTCCTCCGGAGGATCACGTGGCGGTGTCAGCCCGTCCTCTAAAGCATCACGCGAGCGCGTCCAGCCGCCGACCTCGACGCTGGAGCCCGCGGCGGACACATGAGCTCCCACGGCCAGACCTCGGTGCTGACCGGCGGGCCGGCGTGTTACGACACACGTGCCGTCGGCGAGCCGCATTCCAGGGCGTCACGACCGGCCGGGCCCGTGTCGAAGTCACCCGAACTCGTCGCCCTGTGACCGGCGGAGGCGGCCAGCGCCCCGCCCGGTCAGGAATGCACTCCGAGACAGTTCGCGAGAGGCGCGTGGTACTGTGGCTTTGGTCCGATCACCTTTAGCGCCAGGCTACTCAAGGTGTACGCCTTTGTGGCTGGCTGCAAAGTGTCAGTCGTATCGTATTCACTGAGGTCGCGATTGTTTTGCTTGATTCCCAGCAGGAGGCTTAAGATACGGGTCGAGTGAGTTCATAACACTGAGCTCATACGGCTTTGAACATGTGGCGCGCATAGTTTGAAGATTCATCTCTGGTTTCAATGACGGCGTGAGGCGAGGTGGCCTCCGACACTTTCCTCGGCGACCAGGGCCTCCGACGCTCCCCCCGGCGGCCGGGACCTCCGACACTTCCCTCGGCGGCCGGGGCCTCCGACACTTCCCCCGGCGGCCGGGACCTCCGACACTTCCCCCGGCGGCCGGGGCCTCCGACACTTCCCTCGGCGGCCGGGGCCTCCGACACTTCCTCCGGCGGCCGGGGCCTCCGACACTTCCCCGGGCGGCTGTCCCGGCCGGTCCGATTCTCATTATCATGACAAAATACCACTCAGTGCTGACCTACTGGTCGGCCGGTCTGCAGCCACTTAGTGATCGGCGCGACACCGGCTGCGGCACAGAGGTTTGCACTTCATTGTTATTCCTGTCACGCCCCCCCCCCCCCCGCCCCCTCCCCCACCCCCATCGGCGACTCACGCGAAGCTGGCGAGCGATCTATTTGCGGAGGGGGAGGGGAAGGCTCAGCGCGTGGACCGGCCATTCCTGTTTACATGCTGGCGTCATGTCATTGCCCAAGTGAGCCGTTGGCGACATTCTGGAATGTCAAACAGCCCTCGGAGCGACTGACTGGAAGGCCGCGCGGAGGCCGGCGGCGGCCGGCGGCGGCACCTCTTCCCAGTGGAGAGGACAGCGCTGTGTCACGGCCGTGGGGTGCTGCACGGCGATCTCACGTGTCTGGTGGCAGGACTCCTAATAGGAGCGGTCAAAGGGTCTGAATCTGCTGTGCACGCGATCCTGCACGTGTATGGGCGGTCATGAGCTCCCCGTCCGATGCCTGCGACATCTCTCTCTGACGTTCAGTGGCCGTGACGCGTTGAGTGACGACTCGTGCGTGATTTAGGCGGCAGGCTTCTCGCCTTTCTGAGGGAAATAGGATTTTCCACAATATGCTCTCTACGCTAATTAAATAACGCATTGTTATGGGCGCAAAATGAACACAGCTGTCGACGTGCCCTAAAACCGCAATCAACCAATGGCCGACGGTGCCCGTTTCCTGCACGATGGCCATTCTGACATTTCCCGTCTTTGCGCCACGTCCGTCCGCTCCGTTCCCCATCTCCAAATGTCCGTCAAAGCGCTCCATGTCCCACCTCAGAATAGTGCGCCATCTCCCTCACGCACACGTGTGGTCCGTGTGGCCTGCCTCTTCCTTCACGCCCTCTTTCCAGTCCCCCTCCAGACTGTCAGTCAGTGCGCCCCCTCCCCGTGCCTGCCGTCCCTGCCCGTCCGGCGGCCGGCCGCGGGCTCGAGCAGGATGTCGAACGACGCAGCGGTGGGGATAACGGCGGTCGGGCCAGCCCCGACCCCAGCGGCGCAACATGAGCCCCCCCCCCCTCCCCCCCCCCACCCCTCCATCCCATCTGGCGCCGGAGTGTCCGAGCGTCCGCCCTGACGCCGGAAGCCGAGATCACACTGGGGTCACGCTCCGGCGCCGGTCCGGGCCTGTCTCCCGTCTTTGCTCCCTTGAGCACGGGAACGGTACCTGATCGGGGGACAAGAGACTGAGCCGCGGACGTGACAGGGCCCTGAACGGCCAGCAGTGCAGCGGCCCGGACACCGCCGGGGACGTTGATTTGCGGCCTCGGCGCAGGGTCAGTCCCGGCTCTGAAGTGGTGGGCTTGTTTGGGATTTTCTCGTCGGCGGGCTGATGCCGCCAGATGTGCCGTGATTGACGAGTGGAGCCATCCCCGTGATAACCTGTGGCGTTAGTGCCCCCAGATGTGGCGTTAGTGCCCCCAGATGGGTCAAATGCATCGAGGGGGTCACGGAGAATTGACCAGCAATCACCAAAGCAACCTCTCGAAGTGTACGACGAGCGAGTTAATGGCATGCGTGAGTTTTACTACCATGCATATGATGTTAATCGTAAACGAATGAAGCCCAGCTTTGGAAACACATCCGAATATGACTGTGCTTGAGTGTGGCAGGCAGGAATGCGCTGATGTTCAGCGTTTCAGCCCAAATTCGCTGACAGCATCGCTGCAAAATCTATTGGCTATGGGTCTGGCTGTGCTTGACAATTTTGGTGGACGAAATTTCGAAATTTGCCATGATTTATTCTTTTGGAAAATGTTACCAAAGCACTTCGATATATGCAGATACGTTAGCTGTATATTGGCCACAAACAAGATTATACACTTGCGTAGCACATGCTACACATATTTGTATATCCATATTCCACATATTTCAGTTGAAATTCAAGCTGTTGTATCAGGTGGCGCATTTCTCCAACGTTGCAATGCCAACACTACCGCCATATTTTCATATCGCAAACAAAACTGAAAACACACGCGTTCACAACAGGTCCGGTGCTGGAAACCGGTGCCACGGCGTCACAGCGACGGTGCCGGTGCCGACGGTGCCGACAGCTGCTGACGGAGTCGAAAACGAACATTCGTGTTGGCAATAATGATTGCGCAAAGCATCGCGCGTTATGGCGCACAAACCTCGCACCCTCGGAAGTTTTTTGGGATTGATGAGCTGGCGTAATGTCTCGGCTACCACATATGTTGATGTGGAAGTAATGACAGGGTTTAGGTGAGTATACCGACAACTCATAAGCGTATCTCAACATAATCTGAGCCATAGATGCTCCAGCAATCTATTCGAAAGCGGCCAATGGGGCATGCTCGGGTACCGATTTCAAATACAGCACCCTAGCCATTTTTATAAAGCTGCGCTGTTTGTCGCGAAAAGCTTCACGGTTGTACGATCAGTGGCTGCAAAAATACCCTGGCAAAGGCGTGACTGGCCTGGTAAGACCCGGGTCGCTGAAAACGCAGGATTTCCAGTGGCTGACATCAAGACCTACCTGGCCTGCAGCCTCGCTCCCAATGGCGTGCCTGGCACGACCGTGCTGGTCCGGTGCACTGGACGTGACCTTGGGCCACGGCTCGTGTCACCGGCTCCACAGCCGGCAGTCTACCCGACGGAGCACGCCATGGAAATACGGACGGAACGGAACGGAAGAGAACGGAACGAGACAGAACGGAACCCAGTTCACGATCAGCCGCCGCCGCCAACGCTGCCGACTTCCCCGCCGGCCCTGGCCACTTGCTGGAGGGCGGGCCTCCTGGCCTGTGCGAGAAGGAGAGGAGAGGAGAGGAGAGGAGAGGAGAGGAGAGGAGAGGAGAGGAGAGGAGAGTAGAGGCGTGGCAGAGATGCTATGTGCATCCAGGGCTGGCCGTGCCCAGGCCTTGACGGCTCTCAATGTACACCTGGCGCACACGAAACAGTGCACACCTGGCTGCTG